TTTTAACTTTCTGTATTTTTCACTTCAACTTTCTTTAAGCGTAAGGCTTTGTGTCCCTCCCAATCTTTGGCATTGGAGATAGTAGTCTTTTTGTAAAATAAAATTTACTGCAAATCAAAACAGCCGGATGAAACTATCAGTCGTACTCAGCACCAATCTTTAGGCGTCAACCACTAATTAATGAAATTAATAAATAAAAACTTACTAAATTTGCTATTTAGTGTACAATTTATTCTCAAATAACAATATTCGATGGTTTTTTAAATCATTAAGTATTACTAAATTTGAAGGAGAGGCATATTTGTAGATGACGCCTAAACATTGATGCTGAGTACGACTGCTAGCTTCAGCCGACTAATCAAAACACATAGAAACACATCAAAACCTATTTTTTTCAGTGCACATTTAAAATTACATTATACAGAAAACAACAACAACATAGCACATTATTATTCACGTAAAACAGAAACCACAACAAATACTATAATTCACAAACAAAATGCATCACACACTGACTGATCTAACGACGCCAAACGACGCGACGCCATTAGGCGCCATGTTACTTAACAGCTGGGCATTCATCGACGCATGCGCATATAACATCCTAGACCAAATCTAGACGGTCTTAATAACACCGTACTAGACGGACATATTTGACTTAGATTTTTTCTAATAAGCCAATCTGTTAAGTCACTGATTCGGGACTTGATGGACCGTCTAGAATTAGACGGACTTGATGATTGCTAATCGGGAAATCATTGGACTCTAGACTGCCACAATATTTTTCCACACGGGAGGGACATTTTTTTATTTTGTTTATTATTCTCTTTTTTCCTATTTCAATATTTATTTATTATTTTATTTATTTCGTATTAGTAAACGGGCTGAAAAAAATATCCTTTCGTTATATTCTTATAATAAAAAAATATTTTCAATTTTTCACGAAACAAAATAATAAATTTTCACGAAAAAAATTATAAATATTAATGTTCATTTTTCTTTATTTAATTAAATCGCATTATTTTTCTTTTCATGAAAATTAAAAACAAAATAAAAAAAGACATTGTTACCAAAATTCTGAAAAAAATGTATAAATTAACTGTAAGTGTGTTTTTTAAAGAAAAACCTGTTTATTTTGTCACATACACACGTCATGTATATTCAAACGATTGTGTAAATTTGTATTTCTATCAAGATTATCAAATATCATATAAGGTTAATGATCAAAGAAGAAAATAACATTATTTTTTTTTTTTTTTTTTTTGCTTTTGGCCAAGAGAGAGAAAATAGCATTTACAGAAATAGTAACGAGGAATCTGTTTTCAAGGGAGAAAAAGAGAGAAATAAGAGAAAGATAGAGAGAATTATTCAAGTATATGTTACGAGCGAAAGTTGAGTGTTGAGAGAGTATATAACTAGTGCGAAATTCGTATACCTATTTTTAATAAATTAAATCATTTACATTAATACAAGTTCGATTCGAAGTGTTTTGAACTTTCTATTTTGCTATTTCTAGAGTCATATAGTGATATTACGTTGTACTGCAATTATAAAACATTAGCGACCAATGATCATAATTAGATAACAATATTTCCGAAGAGAGAGAGAATATATTACGTAAAAATAAATTTGAATATCTTTTTATGTTTCAAATTCACTTCCATTTTTTTTACTTGATATATTTTATAGATAATAATAATAAAATTAATGTCTCTCGAAAATTTCCTTTTTTCACGATTTCATAAAAAAAAAATATAATAAAAATCTAAATTTTTAATTTAATGACTCGACCGATTGATATAAAAATTTCGTTAATATTTATTAAATTCATTTATTCACCGCGCATTTCGCAAATACATAATTAAATTCATGTCACTTAATTTCAGTATTTTACAGTCAAAAGGAATTATTTCTAATTTCAAAAGAATTAATATTGTAATCGTCATTAATTATTAAATAAAAATCTAAATTTGTTATTAATTAAATAAAAGTAGCAATTTATTAGGTATTAATTAAATTACTTCAAAGTCTAAATTAATTATTCATTAAATTAAAATCGAAATTAATCATTAATTGAATTCAATTAAAACCGAATTAATTATTAATTTAATTAAATTCGCAATTTTTCTAAGGCCATATCAAATTGAGACAAAAAACGAATAAAAATGTTGCTTTGCAACACTTTTGATTCGTTTTTTGTCTTAATTTGACATCCTTAAAAAAACTGTTGTTAAAATTGAAATTAATTATTAATTCAATAAAATTAAAATCAAAATCAATTAAAATCGTTTATTTATCATTAAAATCAAAATTAATTACTAACTAAATTAAATTAAAATCCAAATTAATTGTTAGTTGAATAAAAACCACAATTTATTATTAATTAATTAATAAAGTTAAAATCGAAATGAATTAAAAACCAATAATTAAATTTAATAAAAATCGAAATTAATTACTAACTAAATTTACCAAAAATCAAAATTAATTAATCGTTAAATTAAAATCGAAATTAAATTAAATTATCAATTAAATAAAAATAGCAGTTTATTGTAAATTAATTACATTGAAATCTCAATTAATTAATACTTAAATTTAATAAAAATCGAAATTATTTACTAATTAAATTAAATTAAAATCGAAAACAATTGTTAGTTGAATAAAAATCGCAATTTATTATTAATTAATTAAATTGAAATCGAAATTCACTAATAATTAAATTTAATATAAAAATCTAAATTAATTACTAACTGTATTGTATAATAAAAATTCGAATTAAATTAAATAAAATTAAATTAAAATCGAAATTAATTAGTAGTTGAATAAAAATCGCATACCTATTTATTATTATTTCATTAAATTGAAATCAAAATGAATTAATTAAATAAAATATTAATTAAATAAAAATAGCAGTTTATTGTAAATTAATTAAATTGAAATCACAATTAATTAATAACTAAATTTAATAAAAATCGAAATTATTTACTAATTAAATTAAATTAAAATCGAAATCAATTGTTAGTTGAATAAATATCGCAATTTATTATTAATTAATTAAATTGAAATCGAAATTACCTAATAATTAAATTTAATATAAAAATCTAAATTAATTACTAACTAAATTTAATAAAAATCTAAATTAATTATTCATTAAATTAAATTCGAAATTAATTATTAATTAATTAAAAATAGCAGTTTATTGTAAATTAATTAAATTGAAATCACAATTAATTAATAAGTAAATTTAATAAAAATCGATTTAAATATCTACTAATTAAATTAAATTAAATTCGACATTAATTATCAATTAAATAAAAATCGTAATTACATATATATCGAAAAAAGAACCAAAAAAAATCATACAGTGGAAAATTTACCTCTCTTGTCGGAAAGCAAGGGGAATAAGGAATATTTTATCTCTAAATATAAAGGAAAATATTGATTGTGAATATAAGGTTCAAAATTCCCAAGTGGAATTTTTTTTAGATTAGGTCCTCGATATTATAGAGGAGTCATGAACAGGAAAAGAAATTGGAACAGATCGATAGGTCGTCTTTCTCTACGCCAGGTTACTAAACTTCGATTCGCCCACATTCTCAGAAACAGAAACGCATTTATTGATATAACATTTTATGTATTATATGATAACAATAATCATATTATCAGTTCGAAATTTATAATAATCTTGAATATTAAAATAAATACTTAATGCTTAAATAATAAATACACTTGTATTTTGAAACTTTTTTTTCTCTATTTAATCGAAAATGAAAGTAAATGAAAAAAAAGAAAAAAGAAATATTAGGAAAATTATATTGATCTAGTTATATTTTGTGATATTTTTTTAAATATAAAATCTAAAAAATACTCGAAACATTAACGTGGCCATTGTAATATTATAACCTTTTTAAAATACGCTTGAATGAACAAAAGTTATGGTCACCTGGCACCGCTTGTTTTCTATGACAATATGACAATAAACAAATTATTGAAAACTATAATTTTAATCAAATTCACCACAAATTATTCTTTTTTTCGAAAAAATAGAATTTTACTCTATTTTTTAATTAATTCATCGTAATTTCTATTTAAGAAGTAAAAAATAATTTCTATTTTAATTCTAAGGACCTATTTTATCGCAATTAAAAATATTTATCAACGAAAGTAAAATTGGAGGAATTTATGAATGAAAAAAAAGAACTTTCTAGTGTACGATTGCGATGGAAAAATAATTTTTGCCTCAAATGGCTAATGAGTATTAATGACGTTAAATGTCAACTGGTGAAAATTTACTAACAATTTTTAACAGAAACGAACTGTTTCAATGTAGTTGACTTTCCAATTATTTGATTAAAAGTTTAATTAAAAAATTTCCTAATTAGTAAAGATTGAAATTCTCATTTTATTCTCAGAGAAGAAACTTAAAAAAAAGATAAATTTAATTAATGTACTGCTAAACGAAGTTTTAAAGAGAAACTAGTGTTTTAAATTATCGATTTCTTTCTAGTTAAGAACAAGAAGCAGCTAGAAAAAAAAGTTGCGATAAAAAGTGTGTGAATGACAGGACAATTGTGATATTGTTTCTGCTGTGACAAAATACCATCGTATCATTTACGAGTTTTTCTGTATCAATTTTACAGGCATAGTGCTCTTAATTGTCATTTAAAAAAATCACTATCTAAAAAAGCCTATTTCTCTTTAAAATTTATGACATGTTACAAGTGTGACGTAAATGAAAGCTGGAGTACGCGCAAAAGCACAAAACCTGGAGGGATCCATTTGGATTTTCTAACCTCGCCCAATGATTTTTTTTTATTTTTTAAATTACTAATTTCGAATATTGATATCTTGTGTAAGGTACAAATACCTGTATATACATATATATATAACTGACTCCAAGTAACCGGCTTGTCGTTGCTATTGAAAACCGGTATTTTCGAAATCTCAAGATGGTAAACGAGGAGAGGAATCGGAGCATAAAATTTAAAATTGCCAAAACTTACAGTCCAAATGTTTTTTCTTGGGTCCTATCATTTCCTCGGTGGTTGCTTTACAAACAGCTTTTGCAAGGCCCTGTCCAGCAATGCTGTGCCTTGCTGCCAATAATCTGTCGCTTATCGTTTGTCCCGCCATACTGGAGTTATTTCGCCTAAAATCGTGCCGTTCTGTCCCGTCCTGATTTGGTCCTTTAAATTATTGTACACTATCCTCTTGTTCTTGAGTTTATCTATATTGGATTTTCTTCTTTTTCGACGGATATTTAAAAGCACCTGTATTTTTTTTTCTTTCTAATATACAACACACGATAATGACACAAAAACTTTAAAACTTGGCACCCACCACCTCACGCACACTTGAGTAAACACCGATAACGATCACTCCACCTTCCGGTCCAGCTTAACCCTTTTACGCCCTTTTTATCAAGTTCCCGTACTTGTCCTGTTAATTCTCCAGTCTCTTTCTCTCTCTATCTATCTCTCTCCTTCTTTTTCTCTCTCTTCCCTTTGCGCGATTTTATATGATCGCTCCAAACTGAGCTGAGCGAGCTCTCAGCGTCAGCTGGAGACAGGTTCAACAATTGTGATGTAATTCAACGTTCCGCCACTTTAGCGCTGCAGTTGGCGGCCATTTTGAATTCACTTCTGCGCATGTCCAGAGAATTGTGTTTTTGTTATTGTACACGTTGTTTTTGATGTAAACAAACCATTCATTTTTATTATTTTCTGTTATTGTTTGTTGATAATTAACAAATTTTTAGAACTTTTCTAGTAATTATCAATGAAATTTACTCTAATATGTAATACCTCTGGTAAATGTCAGAATTAATTGAAACTTGCTGATGGAATGACAGACCATAACCGCACTTAGTTTTTTTTTTTTTTAAACTATTTGAATTTGTAAATATATTTTAATTATCATGAGCTGTAAAGTAAGACAACTGGTCCATAAAAAGGTATTCTTGTTCATTTCAGTTTCTTATTTTACTATTTTTTGTTTAAATTATCTGCACAATTGTTTTTCTTCTCGCTTGACACTTTAGAGGTTATGTTTTCCTTGCCAGGAATTAATTTTTATTATTTATTTATTTTCAGGTTGCTGAATGTCTACATCAAGTGGACTGTGTAAAAAATGTACAAGCATCGAATTTAAAATTGAAGCACAATGTGGAAGGGGGATTTTCCTTTAAATTACCATTGAAAAATAATGAATACGACGTTCTCACGTCAACTGCGGGCATAATAAATAATACTGATAATTATGTGAAGAATATTGAACACGGACAGAGGGAGAATAACAAGTGGATGTTATTTCAATTGCACAGGGATCCTTACGTTAAGAATGCTTTAGAAAATAATGCCAAAGAAATATCGCCACCTGTTAATCAGGATACAAAAAAAATTGTAGTAGAATTCAGTTCTCCAAACATTGCAAAACCATTTCATGTTGGTCACTTGAGATCGACAATAATTGGTAATTTTATAGCAAACGTTAATCAATATTTAAACAACAATGTTACGAAAATAAATTATTTAGGCGACTGGGGAACACAATTTGGTTTCATTCAAATTGGACGTGAATTAGGAAATATTTCACAGTCAAGCCTTAAGAGTGATCCGATGAATAATTTATACAAAGCTTATGTTCACGCGAATAATTTGAGTCTTGAAGATCCGAGTCTACTTGAAAAAGCGAAAGATATTTTTCGTAAATTAGAAGAAGGTGATGATGAAATTTTAAAGGATTGGGAAATTTTGAGACGTTGTACAGCTGATGAATTGAAAAATACTTATGGTAGATTGGGTGTTACATTTGATGAGTATCACTGGGAATCTATGTATAATGCGAAAAAATTGAAACCACTTATTGCTAATTTAGAGCAATTGAAATTATTGACAACTGACAGTGAAAATAGGAAAGTTATTTGTATAAATGAGAAAAATGTTCCTCTTTTGAAAAGCGATGGTACGACATTGTATTTAATACGAGATATTGCAGCAGCTGTTGATAGATTTAACGAATATGAATTTGATTCCATGTTTTATGTTGTGGACAATTCACAAAGTGAACATTTTTCAAAAATAAAAAAATGCCTCGAACTTATGCAATATCCGTGGTCGAATAGAATTGAACATGTGAAATTTGGAAAAATTAGAGGCATGAGCACGAGGAAAGGAACGGCTGTATTTTTAACTGATATTCTAGATGAAACGAGATTAGTTATGAGAGAGAAACAAATGCAATCTCCAAGTTAGTATTTTTGTTTTACTTTAATTTAATTTTAGTTTTTTTTAACTTTTCTATTTTTGCTTTGTCTGGAAATCAGGAAAAAATAAAATCACATTTTTGTGGCAATCCTCTACAAGATATTTTCATAATTTACACTTTTAATATAAATTATAATTAAAATTCAATAAAAATTAGTCTTATTTTCAATAAATTTTCCAGATTTGAAGCATTTTTGAAGATTTGTCAAATTTCAGATACGAAAGTTTCTTTGGATGTGATTGATGAAAGTACGGATATTCTTGGCGTTTCGGCAGTCATCATTAATGACTTGAAACAAAAACGAAATCAAGATTATAATTTTGATTGGAACAAGGCTTTAGATGTAAAATTTATTCAATATTTTATTTGAATTTCGTATAATTAATTTATGATTTTTATATTAATTTTTATCTTTTATTTTCAGTTTAGAGGCGAAACAGGTGTTAAATTGCAATACACTCATTGCAGACTAGAGAGTTTGATTGAGAATAATGATATTGAAACAGCAGTGGAATGTAATCCGGAAATATTAAACGAAGCAATTGTCGATGAATTGGTACTTATTTTTGGCCTTTTCGACGAAATGTTACTCAAATCACACGAAAAGATGGAAGCATGTATTTTTGTGAATTACCTATTTCGTTTAAGGTAATTAAGGAATTGAATTGAAAAAATACTTTTTAAAATTAATTTAAATTATATTAATTCAATTAATTCGTATTTCAATTATATTAATAAAATTAAGTTTTAATTAAATTAATTAATAATATATGAAGTTTAAATACTCTTATTTTAACTTCATATTCTTATTAACTAATTAAAATTATTATCGATGTTAATATTGTCTATAATTAATTTCTTGAAAATTAATATTCAACATGGAGAATTTTCTCCTTTTCTCTATAAATTCTCTAATGTGTATCATTTTCTTTTCTTTTCAGTCACGTTATTAACAAATGCGTAGTTTCGTTGAGAGTTAAGGATGAATCGCCGGAAATCGCTGCACAACGTTTACTTCTCTTCAAAGTGGCGAAAAACTTTCTTGCTCAGGGAATGAAACTAGTGGGATTGACTCCATTGAAAAGAATGTAAGTTTTGTAAAATAGAAAATAGAGTAATTAGATTAGAAAATGTTTTTTATAAGAATCTAAAATAAATTCTAAAGAACAGTTTTAGAGTTAAAAAAAAGTTTCTGATTCTTTATTCATTCTAACCCAATTAACTAATTTATTAATTTACGTTATTAGTTAATTAAATTGTTTAAGAGTCAAAAATGTATAAACGATTCTTTAAACTAGATAGAAAAGTAAATTTTTTCCACATTTCGTACAAATCTTCTAACGCTTTTTCCAGGTGAATTTTCTTCTGGCTCCTTCTTGACCAGGTTTCTTTCGTTCCCTTCTTCTCCAGTCCCTTGTCAAAAGACCGGCTGACAAATAAAAAAAAGGATTTTAGCATTTGAAATTTGAAAATTAATTAACAAAGTTGGAAATTGAAATATAAATTCTATTAATTTGGTGAAAATTGATTCGAACTCACCTACTTTCATTTTTTCGATCATGTGTTTGTCGACAAAACTACGAAGACCCCAGGCAATACCCCAACGAATCGCTCCTGATTGTCCGGTTGTTCCTCCCATACTAATAGTCGCTTCAACGTCGACTTTGTCCTGCATTCCAGTAAATATTAGCGGGAATATAACCTGAAATCGAAAGCAATTGTGAGTAGAGATCACTTTTAATCATAATATTCATTTTCTAATCGGCAATATGTTTTATATAATTGTATTTTATTAAAATTTTTATTTATCATTTTTGTCTAGCAGAAAATTTTTAAATTCCTAATAAGATTTTTTTTTTTTTTGAAAAATTAAATAAAACAATAGGATTTGCAACAATAAGGGAATATATTTGTATTCTAGGTATAAATTACAATAAAAATTTGCAAAAATTTTCCAAGAACCAAAAAGACTGTTATAATTTTCAACTATGGTAATTTCAGTCTGATAGTTTCCAAAATTTGCTTAACATCTCGAAATTGATCTTTGACATCATTTATCTCATCAGCAATTGTTTTCATCTGTAAATTGAACTTTTGCATAGACGATTCGAAAGTTGATCGTAAATTATCTTCAACTCCTTCATCGGTGGTCCATGAATCTTTTTTCAAATAATCACCACTCTTATCGTCCATCATTGGATTACGTTTACGAGCAATTTCAAAAGCAGCCTTCAAAATATCCCTAGGAAGACTCTTATCTATTGGATTCAATGGTCTCACGACAAAAATATCATTTAAATTTCTCATCTCATGCTTTGGTATTAATTTCAATAGAAATGAGAGAATTGATATTTTACATTGAACCGTTTCCGTATAGAGAATTAATTTCGTCTGTCGTACCAATTTTGTGACGCCCGCATGTGTTCGTAAACCCTGAATGTCATGGACAGCAATGCCTACGAGTAAATTCATTAAAATAACAGCAATGAAAATAATAAACAGCAAACAGAGAATTTGAGCACAAATTCCAAGGGGATGAAAAAAACTATTTGAAAAAGAATCTTTTAAATATGAATGACTGATGAGTCCCTCAAAGTCCAATTCACCCGCCATCATTGCAAGAATTTTAATCAATCCCGTGAATGGATTACGAAACGACGGTTCTCTGGTGTAAATCACACAAAAACTTAGAGTAAATCCAATAAGCAGTCCCGAATAAGCGAATAAAAGTTTTGCAAATTCAAATTGAATGTGCGTGAACATTGCGACGTATGTGCCAAAAGTTGGGAGTTGTCCAATCATCAACATTAAATTAGTCCATGCGCTAATAATTGCAAATGCGCCGAAATAATTTTGCCAATCGTAATTTTTTCCCGTATAAATGAAACTTGTTATAAAAACACTCGAAATTACGAAAAAATCAAGAAGACTCTCCAAATTCCATAAACAATGTTTAATGCATCTATTCATCCAGAAGGCAAGAATTTTTCTCGGCAATGTAAAACATGTGAGTGTCAACCACATGTACCATTCAAATTCAATAATCCCCTTGGAAAAATGTTGACAAATAAAATGTGTCTCTTCTATTGAATTATAACATTTAAATGCTAACGCGCTCAATATATACGACGTCATAAATATAATTGTCAGTGTATATTGAAAAATATTGAAAATATAAAATCTTCGAATTTTCTTCCATTTGAGATATAAAAAAGCCATGACTAGAGGATGTGATAATAATTCTTTTCGATTCTCACTAATGAATGTATTAATAACACTTGTCTCGGGTTTTTTTCCACTTGGCAGTAGAGTCTTGAAATCGAGACTCATTTCAATTTCACGATTCTGACAACCTGGTCGTTTTAATTTTATCGACGAGTCCAATTTTGAACGAAACACTTCGAATGATTCGGGAATTTTTCTCAGGATTATATTTAAGGCTGAGACACCTTTAGTGGTGGTACAACTCACATCGGCACCATTCAAAATCAGAATTTCGGAGCATTTCGATTTTTCGTTTAGTGATGCAATGTGAAGGGGTGAATAACCCGCTTTGTCGATGACATTCACTAGGGCACCGTGTTTTACGAGAATGTCGATTAAACGATAATCGCACCACGACGACATTGTTGCGTAGTGAAGAGGTGTGCGATCCATCACGTCAATTGCATTCACGTCGACCTGGTGATTTTCGATCAACATTCGACAGCAATTTATCGAATAAACGGAGCAAGCGACATGAAGTGGTGTCTCGCCGAAACTATTTTTTTGCGTTGGATCAGCTCCATGCTCGAGGAATAATTCGACAATTGATTCAATTTTTGCTTTGATGGCGTAATGTAGCAGTGGATTTGTCTTTGATATTCCTGGGTCATTCAAATTGGCTCCATTTTGAAGGAGTAATTTTGCAGCCTCGTAGGATTTACCAGCAACTGCCAAGTGTAAACAACTGCGACCGTCGATAGGACTCACGTAATTTAAATCCAAATTTTTGTCAATTAGATATTGAACAGAAGAAATGTGGCCTGAATAGCAAGCTGTCATGATTGCATTCGATCCACCGAAACAAGTGTTGTGAACATCAACACCCGAGGATTCGAATTTCGGTAGAAGATGTGTTAAACCACGAAAAGCTGCCCAAATAAATGCACGATTTCTAAATTCCACTTCATTATCGGGAAAGAGAATTCCATTTTTCTCCGGGATTATTCCCAATTCCATTTTTAAAAATTGCTTCAATTCGTCGGCTGACAAAATTTGTAGAATGAAACCCAGTAGATTTAGACCTTCGAATTCACGACTTTTCAGATCGTTGAAAGCTTTCTCCATGAAAGAGTCGTTTGTCGAAAATGACGAATCTTCGATGTTTATTCTTATCTCCTGGGATTTTACAATTTCTTTCTCAGTCATCGATTCTTGAAGAATTATCGGTGATTTCAGTGAACTGTAGGATTTTTTCAGAGAGTCTGAAAGGTCGTCGGCTCTCAGTTGATCGTAGACGAAACTTGCGGAAAAGTGTCGTCGACTAGTGTCGTAAGTCGGCGACAATAGGGACATCTCATTTTTATCCTGATGATTAATAGTCAACAGACTTTTCGGTCTCCTTCCAATTCCTTGTAGGTGGTCCTTAAACAAACGTATTATTCTTAAAAAGTGAAATTTATTAATTATTAATTCAATTTTCAATAAATTATATTAAAATTAAATTAAATTGAAACAAAATAAAATTTGAAAGAAAAATTTTAAAATTCTTCAACCAATTTCTTCTTTGGCAAAGAAAAATGAATAATATTTTCACCACGAATAAAATTAGCAAATTCCTTAATTGAAAATTTAATAAATCCGAAGAAAAGTACATACCATATTGATTAATTCAGCTTCTTCCATTTGAAAATAATTGTCGAACTCCATTTTTCGAACTATAAAAATTGCGAGAATTATTTTAGAAAAATATTTCCAGAAGAGAAAATTATACTTTCATATGTAAAAAAAATAAAAATTTTTACAAAAGTGTAGAAATATTTTCACGAGTTGCGAAAAATTTTTATGAAACGCTCCAACTGAAGTCTGTCGTCTCAATGAATTACAAATTTTATTTGAATTGCGTTTACACAACTACTAATCTAGAATATATCTTGTATAGGGGCGTGTCCCTGATTTTATATTTTCCTCCATGGAAAATACTCATATCTTTTAATCAATGAAATTACAGGTGAAGAGAAAGAAATTTTCACTAATTGTATTAGTTGAAGATTAGAATTTTTTTCACCTTTTTTCTTTATTTATATTTAATTTAATTATACCGGAAGTAAAACTGATAAAATTGATCAAAGAAAAGAGAAAAAAGAAAAAAGTTGTATGAAACAGATAAAAATTATTAAATACTTATTTGGACGTTTTTAAATAAAATTAGATGTTTATGTTAATTTTCTTGTAATTGTGTTAAAAAGCAATGTTACGGTCAAGGTCTCGGACCCTTATCAAGAATAATCAAATAAGTATTTGAAATAAGTTTTCATAATTATTTTTAACCTTGAAAAAAACGTCGACTTTTCACAAATTATAATATTTTTTTTTAATTTAAAATATTCGTTATTTACGCTATATTGCGTAATTTGCGAACTAGCAATGAACTTGACTTATTAATTAAAGGGTAGCTTTTTATCCATCTCATTAATTATCTTTGTGCCCTTATCTATCACGAGAAATTTACTACATCATTATAAGCCAAAATAAAGTGAATCGATTATAATAATAGGGAGTGTTAACAATTACTCTCCTTTAACGAGACAGAGTGAAAATTCAATTTTCTAATTGCAATGAAAAAAAGGACAATTTTCAGTTTTATTTTTTATTGTCACATTTACAAACATTTCTTAAAGTGTAAAATGAGTCGTAAAAAAACCAATAACTGAAAAAACAAAATGTATAAATTTCATATTTACATTTTCAGTACAATGAAAAAATTTTGTTTTAATAGTAGACATGGATCAAATTAATTAAGAAATTACAAAGATTTAACTCAATAAATAATTCAAGGACTTTGGATTTGACATTGAATAATTCAAAAAGATTTTTAATAATTAAAATATTTTTCTTTTCTTATTGTTTTAATTTACTTTCAATACGTTGTGAATTAAATTCTCTAAGATTTTCTTAGTGTCTAGTAATTGATCCTTAATGAAATGTATTTCCTCCTCACTGGCTTTCATTTGCAGTGATAATTTTTCAACAGCCAATTGTACATCCGATTCGGAACCATCCTCACTGAGTTGATTGGTCCACGAGATAAATTCACACAAATTATCATCATCCTCATTAATTAGTGGACCATTCTTTTGAGCAATATCGTAAGCCGATTTCAATATATCCTTAGGCAATCGTTTCTCCAATGGATTCAGTGGTTTAACAACAAGAACGCGTTTACGATTTTCCACATCGATATTGTGATCGGACATCCATTTGCGAAATAAATAGGGAATTCGACCATTATGAAGGACCATTTCCGTGAAAAGAATTAATTTCGTCTGACGCACTAATTTCGTTAAACCAGCGTGATTACGTAAACCCTGAATATCATGAACAGCAATGCCTACGAGTAAATTCATTAAAATCACCGTAACAAATACAATGAACAAAGTAAATAGAATTTGCGAACAAACGGAAAGCGGATGATAAATTACAAATGAACCGTCAGTCATTAAATCGGCCTGATTTATCAGGCCCTCGAAATCTAATTCTCCCGCCATCATTGCAAGGACTTTTATCAAGCCCGTGAATGGATTGCCGAATGATGGTTCACCAACGAAGATGACGCAGAAACTTATCGTGAAACCAATGAGAAGTCCCGAGTAGGCGAGAAGAAGTTTCGCGAATTCAAATTGTATGTGTGTGAACATTGCCACGTAGGTGCCAAAAGCGGGAAGTTGACCAACCATCAGCATGAGATTGGTCCACGCGCAAAGAATAGCAAAAGCTCCGACATAATTCTGCCAATCGTAGGTGCGACCCGTGTAGATGAACGATGTTAAAAATACGCTAATCACAACAATTGCATCAAGAATATTTTCAATATTCGAAAAATATTGCTTCACCGATTTATAAACCGTGAATGCCATTACTTTCCTTGGTATCGCCACCGACGTCAGTACCAATGACAAATACCATTCAATTTCAATCACCGATTTTCGAAATAAAAAACTCGAGACACGTTTATTGTTGCATATTTTGCTATTTATCGCCTCGTCCGTATTGTAGCATTTATAGGCCAATGCAGTGAGTACATAGGTCGTCATACACATCACCGTCAGTGCATAGAGGAAAATTCGGAGAAGATAAATTTTCCTTATCTTCTCCCATTTGAGATGAAGGAACGCCATGACAAGAGGATGCGACAAAAGATCCTTACAATGCTCCTGTACAAAAGTATTGATAAAACTCGTCTCACAATGATTATTACTCGGGAATAGTATATCAAATTCCATTCTCATCTCAAATTCCCGATTATGTGGCACCGGTCGTTTCAATCTAATCGACGCGTCCAATCGTCGACGAAACACCTGCAACGATTCGGGTATTTTCCGTAAAATAATATTCAACGCCGAAAGACCAGAATTTGTCGTTGCGCTCACATCCGCACCGGCCCAAATCAACGCCTCAACACAATGTGACAATTCATTCAGCGAAGCAATGTGCAAAGGTGAAAAACTCGTCCTATCGAAAACATTCACCTGCGCTCCATGTTTCAATAAAAGTTTCACTAATTCCGCCGATGACGATGTATTCATCACGGCATAGTGCAATGGCGTTCGATGCATACGATCAACAGCATTCACATCCGTTCCCTGTGCGGACAAAAGCATTTTTGCGCAATTTATCGACTGCACGAAACAAGCGACATGAAGTGGCGTCTCACCCAAACGATTCTTTTGCGCAAGACTTATTCCCTTTGCCAACAATAATTCAACAACCGATTCCGATTGTGCCTTGATACTGCAATGAAGAACCGGTTCCATCTCCTGTGAACTGAGTGTATGTAATTTCGCCCCATTGTTGATCAATAATTCAGCAGCGTCCTTTGAATTAGCAATAGCCGCAATATGTAAACATGTGTAATTATTAATCAAACTCGTGTGATTGACGTCGACATTTTTTTTCATCAAATACTCCAAACAGGGAATATTACCCGAGACACACGCGACCATTATCGAATTTGCACCCGTCACCGGATCAATATAATGAACATCAACGCCAATTGATTCTAAAATAGGCAAAAGATGAATTAAACCACGAAAGCATGCCCAGAGGAAGGCGATATTTTTAAAATTCTCATGACAATTGGTGAATAATTTACCGCTCTTTAATTTTGTTATATTGACACGTTCCATTTCCAGGAGGAGTTTCATTTCGGTGACATTGAGGGAGGACCAGATTTTTGTCATGAGACTCGTTCCATCGACTTTCATGTGTTTCAGTGCCTCGAGATTGTCGAAGAAGAGGGAATCGTCGACCGGTGGCGGTTCACCGGCGTCAATTTCAATTGGATTTGTGTCCTTTGTCTCGAGGCCCTTCTCAACGCAAATTGATTTAATGGATTTGTGGATTGGTGTGATGCCCTTGAAAAATGGATCCTTATTCACGTGATCGTAGAGACAGCCCACGGAATAATGACGGGGCTTTGTTTCTTCATTTAGTAGCGGACACGGTGGTTGAGTGTCATTTTTTCCCAATTTATAGAATGACGTCGAACTCTCCGATCTGCAGAAAATTCTATCGGGTGGCGATTTCTGACTAATTGAATAAATCTGTCTAGGTAGGGCCTGAAAACAAAAATACAATTTAGAATCGATTATTCACTTTTACTGTTGTTTTTCTTTGTTACAAAAAAGTAAAATTAAAATAAAGTCTCACCTTTTCTTGCGTGGCGACATTGTCGTACCCCATATTGTCTTAATTAAAAATTAAATCCTTATCGATTTTGATCAGATTTGTAAATTATTTAAAGATGGCTGCATCATTTTTTTTCTTTTCCTTTACATGGCACAGGTTGAGTGATACCGATCTTGTTCGCTCACTTCTAAACACTGTTAGGCGTGTAAGGTCGTTTAAACCACTTTAGATCAAACGTCGTCATTACCTTCTATATATTTGAAGTCGTGTCATTTCCCTTAATGTGTTACAAGCTCGGTTACGAATTGCGCATTCATATGCGAAGATATATAGGACATAGACAATCAGTTTATTTCCTTCCAGGGGAATGCGTACTGCTGGCTTTTATTCAGGAAAAAATTTACAGAAATATTTTTGCTAAGAAATTCTTGACAATGTTTAAGAGAAGATAAAATTAAGTGAAGAAGGTATTAAAATTTCGTCCAAATATTTCGTAAAATACAAGATAGAAACGAGTATTCGTGTAACAGTAGCAAATGAAATCTCTCATCTTTAAACGTGACCATCCACTTGATTCAGAAATTTCATATTATTGCAGGAAGCAGTTACTTTAAACACATTGACTTCACTTCGATGAACAAGATTAATTCTCTCTCGCCTTTTTCAATTCTATTTCTGCCTTTTTCTCAATTTTTCTTGTTTCTATTTATTTTTATCTTCAGTTTCTTCTTAAAATTAAAATTTCCATTGTTTTGTTTTTCAGCGGAAATTTTCCTCTCTTTACCACTTTCCTCTTTTTTGAAGATCTGAGAAGTCTTCCTGGTCGGATTCGAAAATTAAAAAATCCTTCGTCCAGATGAGTCCATTTAGCCTATCTTCAAAAAATAACACAATATTATATTGAAATGTTTTCAGAAAACTCTAATCTTTTTTATCTCTTTCGATTAGATAATTTTTGATCTCCAAAAAAAAATTTGAATCAACTTTTTTTCGGTGGAAATTTTAATACTCCAGGTTAATGTAGGTAACACGTGAAGAAAGCAGTCTTTTTATACAAGAACTGAGGAATCGCGTCAAATATTTCATTAATATACCGACGAAAAAATAATTCTTTTCTCTCCAAAAAAAGTGGGAGAAAAAATTTGTCAATTCAGAAATGCAATGATATGCACGAAATTAATTTTTTTAACTACAAACTTAAAGGACAAAATTTCAATTAATCACGTATTTCATTAATATTTTACACGTAATGTTTAATTACTTAATTATCATTTTGATAGTCGCTGATAAGTCGTTAACATTAACTGAATCAAATAAAGATAAAAAAAATAATAATATTAATAAAAAAAATTACTTTTTCGAATGTCTTCAATTTAAAAAAAAACTTAGCGTCCTTGCTTTAATAAACTAGAAACATAAAAGCGTTTATTCAATTTCCGACAATCGTGTAATTATTTTTGACAGTAAAGATGCTTCAGAGTATTTTATGAATTTTCAGAAATTTGCGGCTTATTAAATTCTCTTTTTTTCTCTTTTTTTTTAAATTAAATTTGACCTTCCTACTTTCAAACCACTTGTTATGCTATGAGCAAAATTGTCAATTGAATGATACAACAATTTCAACTTGAAGATTTCTATAGAATTCATAATGAACTTACAAGTCTGATATACTTGGGCAAGAATTATTCTCAACATTTCAATTGTAAACATTAAAATTGAAGTTAAAATCGAGGAAAAATTCAATTGATTTTGTTACTTATTTTCCCTCGAATTTTTACTTTCATCAAAATTAGAGAAAAGAGAAAATTTCACTTTAAATAAAATATTTAAATAACAAATTGTTAATTTAAACATTAATAAATATTTTTAAATATTCAAATTAAAGTGAAACTTGTTTATTTTTTTCTTAAAAATTTATTTGTACGGGTAAAAGATTAAATTAGAATCGATTGATATTTTTTTTATTTTGTACCGTTTTGTGTTTATTTTGCTTTCTTACAAAAAGAGCAAAATATAAATCTCAATTTATAATTATAAATTTGCGAATATTTTTAAAAAGTATAATAAAAATTTTTACGAAGTTCATAATAGAAATTGTAAAATTACTAAAATCGAAAAGTGAATACAAAATTTTAATTTTATTTACTTATAAAATATCGGGAAAAAAAATACTATGCCTATGATCACACTATATGAATTGAGCAACTATTTTTATAAATTCTAAGTGAGCATTATAACTAAATTGTTCTTATGAATATGCATTTTCTTTTATACGAAAAATCACTTCACTATTTTTTTCAATTTTCTTAATATTATACAATTCTTACAATCGTAATTATACATCTGTATTTATTAATTTTTTTTTATTCAATTATAATCATATAGATTGCAATTATATAATTGTAATTAAACAATTATAAATATCCAAATGGCTTATCATTCTTTTTTCAATTCTTTGAAACTTCATTCTACAATAAGAATGGATCAAAGTAAAAAAAAAAAATATTCTCCATTCTTTTTTCTTCGCCATATTATAAATATTACATTGGACGGAATAAGAATTTCTCTTAGTTCTTTATTTTTTAATAATTATTTTTTGGAAAATAAAAGACTAATGAAAAATTATCCTACAGTAAAAAAATAATCTTTGACCGTATCTGATTTTAACGAAAATGTTAAAATTCAAACAAATAAATGAAGATAAAGTATTGAAAGCTCAATGAAATTCGATTTGAGATTACGCATTTTTTTCAAATATTACAAAAAAAATTAACAACTGCTAAAAATATATTTTTATTTTTTTGTGAAAAAAAATTTTTTCTAGCAATTTTTTCGATTTATTGATGCGTAATTTCAAATAAGTGCCACTAACAGATAAAATGACTAGGCGTCTACACATGCTTTTAAAACAATTGAAACAATTTAAAACGTTTACCCATGAGCACATAATCATAAATTAAATGCAATTTCGAGGGTTGTTATTTTTAAAACATCCTTGAAATTGAAAAATTTATCAGCGATTTCATTTTTTTTTGGTTGAAAAATAAATGAAAAAATCATTTCATATGATTGTTAAATTAGGAAAAATCACAAATTTTCATTAATTGCATTTGGATTGAAACGTTGATCCAGCGCAAGAGCCATAACGAGATCTTGGATAAGTTTGTGATTTTCCTGGAAAATTTTTTTCAATTCCATCACTTGACTTCTTAATTTGACATTATTTTCGCTCAACAATTGTTCATAATTACCATCACGTCTTATCGAGGAGTACATATCATTTTTTGAATACGGAAAAGCAGTATTATTACTTTTATTACTCGACATTGTGCCAGAAATAAATTTCTTTTCTCTCGCAACTTTGTGTGCCGAAGCCAAAACTTCCGGCGGAAGCCTCTTTTCTCGTGGATTCAATGGTCGAACAGTTAATACAGCCTTGAGTGGCGATGGAAGAACCAAAGCAGTCCAACGCAACAATTTCATCAATCGTCTCGGCACAAGACCCAAAAATAGAGCCGTCTCAACATCACAAATGAGTTTTGTTTGTCGCACGAGTTTTGCCAAGCCAGCCGTCTTTTGCAATCCCTTAATATCATGAACAGCAATGCCAACCAGTAAATTCATGAGAACAATCGTGACGAACAGGAGAAATAATACAAAGGATAATTGTGCCGAAACTTGCAACAATATCCAAGAAGTCCCGCCAACATCAACCGGACGACCACCTTCCTCCTCGGGGAAGAATAATTCCTCAAAATCCAATTCCCCCGTCATCATCACCAATACTTTTATCAAACCCGTATGCGGACTACTAAATGATTTCGATCTTGGAAAAATAACACAAAAACTAGCCGTAAATCCCACCAGGAGGCAAGCATAGGCGAGCAATAATTTGAAAACCTGCGCCTGAACACTAGTGAACATTGCAACATAGGCACCAAACATCGGCAATTGTCCAATCATCAACATCAAATTACTCCAACCGCAGAGGACCGCAAATGCACCAACGTGACTCTGCCAAGTATAAGTCCTTCCCGTATAAACGAACGACGTTGCAAATACGCTCACAATAACGCACCACTCTACCATATTTTCCGCTTGCGTAAAAAATTGCCGAACCGACGAATAGGTGAAAATACCAGCCAATTTCCTCAGACACTCGAGAACCGTTAATACAACCAAAGCGTACCATTCGATTTCCAATACAATCGGATTCGTGTAGAGAAAACCATTCAATCCAGTCGAATTCGCACACAACGGTGTTCCAGGATTATCCAACTGTCCATGCGACTCATTATAACAATTGTGAGCCAACGCCGTTATAACCCATGCCGTCAACACCAAAACGTACAACAAATAAAACAACAATCGTCCAACATAGTACTTCCGAATTTTCTCCCACTTCAGATAGAGAAACGACTGACACAACGGATGCTCTAAAATCTCCTTATAACCCTCCTTGACGAACGTTCCCAAATAACCAATCTCCCCCTGCTCCTGATGCTGCAAGAGCGGATGAAAATCGAGTCGCAATTCAACCTCACCGGTCGCCGATCCATGCTGATGGAGCGATATCGACGAATCCAATTTCTCCTTAAAAACATTCAACGACGTTGGTGTTTTCCGCAAAATTATCGACAGAGCCGTCGTTCCGCCTTTCGTCCGCGCACTCAGATCCGCCCCTCTCTTTATCAAGATATCCACACACTGGGACAATTCATTAACAGCCGCAACGTGTAACGGCGTGTAACCATATTTATCCGCCTTATTAACATTCGCCATTCTCGTAATCAACAAATCGCTAACGTCATAAGCCAACAGCGATCGTCCCAAAGCCAAATGCAGTGGCGTCCGTCCATCATTATCCTCCGCATTCGGATCACAATTCGCCTTATGCAACAGGATCTCAACACACTCCAAACAATGCGAACGTGCCGCCAAATGCAGCGGTGTGTGTCCTCGTGAATTCTTCATCCTCGCGCTCGCTCCATTTTTCAGCAGCAACTCCACATTCTCCACACAACCCGCCTCGGCGGCAAGATGCAAAGCCGTATCCCCCTTCTTCGACGCCAAATCCACTTGACAACCACTCGACAACAAAACCTCCAGACAAGTCGAATCACCCCTGTCAGCCACATGATGAATCGGCGCATATCCATTCTTATCCTTAACATTCAAAGCCGGATTATCCTTCGCCAACAGATGCAGAACATTAAGAGCATTACTCCTAGCCGCCGAATGCAGTACCGACTCATCGCCCAACGGCGACTCCTGACTATAACCCTGCTGCTTAAAATGCTGCGTCACATCCACCGAATCTCCAAAAGCAGCATAATGAAACGGTGTGTGCGCTTTTCTCGAATTAATATTAGCACCATTGGTAATCAAATACTTTACCCCCGTCATTGAATTACTATAGGCGCACAAATGCAGTGCCGTCAAGCCTAATTCCTGTTCCGAATGATTTAAGTCAGCGCCGCATTTATGCAACAGGGGAATTAAATCCCCACGGCCTAGAAAACTCGCCTGCAGTAAAAGAGCATTTATCTCCGATAATTTATAACCATTCCCCAACTCCTCACTATCGATGGTTATTTTCAAAGTATCTAAATCGTCTAATAGTTGAAGACGACCACCAACTCCTCGCATATGTTCAACGAGGAGATTTCTTATCAAATCATTCGTCACCTGTACTGCACAATTTTTCTCATCGCTTATCGAACTTTCACTAATGCACATCGAGTAACAATGTGGCTCCTCAACAGGCGGTGGTGTTCCATATTCCATCGAACGATCATCCAACGTCCATCCTTCCTCCGTTTCCGGTGTCACTGGTCTCTTCGACACGAGCCATCTTGTCAGCAGGAGAGAAGTCGCTGATTTTGATTTTAAACAAGGGGGAGTTTTCACCATTGGCGATTGCATACTAAACGCACGTTCCAATTGCACTCGTTTCCTCGCTGCTGGCAAAACCGGCGGTGTTGATTTTTGATCACCCATTGTGTTTTAACTCAGGATCATTTCTCTAAAATAAATAAAATGAAAATTAATTTATAAATTTTTGCCACAGTGGAACAAATCAAAAATAAAAAAAAAATGATAACGTCTTGAATGAAAAATTCTTCCTGAATATAATTAAGAGGACGACGAATGTCAATTGAAAAATTGTTTCAGCTCTTGATGTTCCATTTTGAAGAATAAAAAAATAAATTCCAAGAATTTACAGTGAATCACTTATATTGAGGTAAACAAGAAAATTACCGGCTTTAATTTGAGTGTAATAATGACTTTTTACTCGCTTCAAGGTAACTTTCAAAATAAATTAATTCTTTGAGATTAAAATGAGAATACAATTGAAACTACTCTTAGAGGACAATCACACCTGACAATCACCTTTTGAACTTGAACTATAAAGATGTCGATATTGAAAAGTTAAATATTCTGATAATGAAAGTCACGACAATGTACCAAGATCATTCTGTCTGGCTGACCATTCTGACACTGACTGAACGACGTAACCAAGCTGGTCTTTGGTTGATCTTAAGCACTATATAATAAAAGGAGGCACTCACATGTGACACAGAATTGCACATATGCAGAGAACGTGGAAAGAACCAAGCAAACCGGTTGACTTCGTGGACCACGATTGACTGACTATTTTTTTCAATGATGCTATTAAAGCAAATCTAACTTATTCAAAGTACAGTAGCGTTGAAGAAAAAATAAAAACCAAATACTATATTTAACTTTCTTTTTAACATTTTTGTTATTAATTTGTCCAAGCACGAATTTATCAGCAAAAAAAACTCCGATTTCGATTAAATAGCGATTAAAGATTGTCTTTAATCTCTCTTGTCTTATTTCACGTGAAATTAATCTCTTTTTTTTTATTTTTCCCTTATTTTTTTAATTTTCCCCTTATTTTTGTTTATTCAAAATGGAAAAAATTGATTTACATATCTTGAATTGACTGGAAAATTAAATTAATGACAATAATAGAAAAAATTAGAGAAACGAGAATAATTGAAGGGAAAAATTAAATTAACGACAATAATCGAATAGAAAAATTAAACTAACGAGAAATTGAAAAATTATTTAAAGGAAAACGAAAATAATTGAAAATTTTTACCAGTGTTATTATTTTTGTTTATTCAAAATGGAAAAAATTGATTTATCTTGAATTGATTGGAAAATTAAATTAATGACAATAGTAGCAAAAAATTAGAGAAACGACAATAATTGAATGGAAAAATTAAACTAACGAGAAATTGAAAAATTATTTAAAGGAAAATGAAAATAATTGAAAATTGAAGAAATGACAATAATTGAAGGGAAAAATTAAATGAACAGTAATTGAATGGGAAAAAAAAATAAATTGACGACAATAATCGAATGGAAAAATTAAATTAACGACAAAAATTGAATGAAAAAAATTAATTGTTAAAGCAAGGAAATAAATTAGTTTTTATACAAAAAGGGCAAATTAAAATCAAATTCTTTAAAATGCAGTCATTTCTATTTTGCATTCTGGACCTCTAAACGAAAAAAGGATCACAAACTTGTTTCGAATTTAGTTTTTATTAGGGGACTCCCATGTTATTCAAGAAAAGAAGAAATAGACAGAAACGTGTTCTTAAATTAGAAAAGGAGAAAAATTTTACTAAAAATGTTTTAAAATTAAAAAAAAAAATTTCTGAATATTTAAATAAAATTTTAAATAAAAATAATTAATATACAATCAATGTGTAAAATTACAAATTTAAAGGCCTCGGGTCGTTGTTTAATTTATTTTATCTATTCAAGTTTTTATTTTATTTAATAATAATTTAATTAATATCTAATATAAAAATTTAATTTTAATTTAATTTAATTAAAAATATTTTAATATTAAATAAAATCATTTTTTTAAGATTTTTTCCTGGAATTATTTTTTAAATCAATTGTTTTTAATAATTTTGAAAAAGTTTTTTGGAGAATTATTTGTTCAAAAAAAAAAGGAAAGTTCGCTTGAAATAAAATTTGAAATTCAATTATTTTCAATTCAATTTCATGAAATTTTGATTACTTGAAAATTTTTCTATTAAAAATATGTTAAAAATTCCAAAAAATTAATAACTCATTTTTAAAAAATTTACATCAAATTGTTTCAAAGAACTGTCTTGTTTAAATTTGTAATTAAAATTATTCAAAATTCAAATCTTATAAAAATTTTAATTTGAAGCCTTTTGAAATTTAATTATTTCCAAAAATTTCGACTATAACTCTTCCAATATTTACTTATTTTCTAGAATTTTTAATTCGATTTCTTGTCTAAATTTATTATTCTTATTTATTTTCACAAACATTTTTAAGAATTGAATAAATCAAGAAATAAAAAAAAGTTTACTTGAAATGCATTTTAAAATTCAATTATTTTCAATTCAATTCTACAAAATTTGCAATTATTTGAAAAAATCCGAAAGGAGTTAAAAAATAATTCGAAAAACATTTATCAGCAAATGTTTTAAAAATAGTTTTTGACAATCAATTTTATTTCATTTTTAAATTTATTCTTATTTGCGAAAAATTTGTATCTTAATTAATTTTATTATCCAATTGTTGTCGTTTCATTATTTATTTTCTATAATTGATTTTTTATCGTTCACATTTCGAAAATGCCTAGAATATATTTTTTTTATGGATTCTGATGACGCACAATAAAATTTATGGCATTAATTTGTGTTTTATAATACTTGAATCTGCACTCCAGGTGCATATGTCAAATTCAAATATTTTTATCTTTACTTGTATCCTGTTTTAAAAAGTTTATAGAAAAAATTGGAAATATTACTAAAAGAGAAAATTCACACGTGTTGTATAAGATATTATTAAATATAAAAATCAGCATAGTTTTTTCGTATTGCTTGATTTATAGTTTGCTATAAATATGCAAAAAAATACTAACTTTCAAAAAAATTAATTTTTTGAAAATTAAAAATTAAATAAATAAAGAAAAAAAAATATTTGAGATTATTTTCTATGAAAAATAAATAAATTTTATATTTATATGGAAAATTTATTTTAAAATTAAAATTAAGTGTTCTACTTTTGATTGCTTTTCTCGTTCAATTAAAACCGGTTATTTATTTAAACTGAAAATTTTATGACCTCCTTAATATTTTTATCACTTGTTGCAAATTCGATATTTTTTCTTTTCTTGTAAATTGTAATAAAATCGCACGTAATTTTTTGTTTATCTGAATTAATTTAGATTAATAAGAAATTAATAAAAATTTTGTTGTTATTTATTTGTCAAAAGCGAAATATAAAAGATTATTAATTACGTGATGGAAACAAAAAGTACGTTTTATAATATTTACTTTTTGTTTGAAAAAAATTTTGAAGAAAATATTTTCATTGATTGCAATTTTAAGCAGATTGAAATTTATTTAAAAATATTCGCACGTGTTATTATATTTTTAAATCAAGCGTATGTTTACCTGAGTAACGGCGCCGTAACAATGCACTAAAGTATCTTAAATATGAGAAGGTCGTTGATGACTAAACCAGACGAATGAGAGGTTCTTCCACTTGGCGAGGAAGTTTTTTTTGAATAGCGGTAAAGCACTTTCTAGGTGTAATTTACCTGCACATGAAAAGGTCGCAGCAAAACTGAAAACACAAATAAATAATTTTAATCAATTAATTTTTAGACATATTATGGTAAAAAAATTCTATACTAACAATATTTTTTCTTCCTTCTTATAAATTAATACCAATTTACTATTAATAATTCCCGAGTAATTAGTTTTTGCAAAAACACAATCCATTATTCAGTAAAATAACGAAATCTTTTTTTTAAAATAACAAAATTTAAAATCAGAAAATGTTGTTTTAATTCTCACCGGATGTAATTGGCGAATGTATTTGAGATGATTCATGACCGAAGGTTACTTAATAAAAATAAGCATCCTGCAAAATGAAGAATAGAATAATAAATAATAAAAATTTATTTTCGTATTAATCGCAAGGAAAAAGGAATAATTGACGAAAATTCAAAATACTGCGGTAGTAGATATAATTATTTTACGTAAAGAGACGCACGCAATTGTTAGTTTTTGATTTCTATGGGAATTTTCTAATTTTTCCTGTTTCCTCATTTATTATGAATTATTCAAAAAGTAATAGATTTCTCAATGATGTACGTAATTCAGAGAAACAATTTGTCCGAGAAAACGTAGGTAATAGTAAGAAAAATCTAATCAGAGTGAGAGAATTTAAATAAAAATAAATATCGACTCATTTTATTCACGCATAAAATTAATAAAAATTGAATAAATTGAATAATTCACTTACCTGTGAATGCGCAACAATTGAATACTTGAGTTATTAATCATTTCACATAACTGGTTAAACCAGACGAGAAAAAAAATTTTTTTTGACACGGAAATTATTAAATTTTATACCTAAATACGAATCATTAAAATGAGAAATAAAAAACAGTTCGGATAAGCAATGGAGAATTAGTTTCGTAAATAAATTAATTGACTTTAGTCATATTAATATAATAAACAAAATGAAGAATTCATATCGGAATTATTAATATTAATATTTTTGATATTATTTTTTAATATTCAGTTAAGTTATTACTGAATAGTTTTATAAAAATCTTTAGATGGTAAAAAATTGCCGATTAGAAAATGAGACTATATAATTAATAATTTTTATAAAGTTAAAAACTCACTTGTTCCCTGCTTTGCCAATCATTAAAGTAACGAATATTCTCACCATTGATTGATATTTTACCGGTACCTTCTCCTCGTAGAATTACCTGACCCCTTGCAGACTTTCTTTTGCAATCTAAAATAAATATTAATTAAACATTAATATTCCTTGATCTCTTTAGAAAACAAACAGAGAATTAGAATTACAAATTTTTCTGATTCAATTCTAATTCCTTTTATTGCAGATAAAGAGTAAATGATTTATTTTTTACAAAATCAACTTACCAGGGACACAGACAAAAGGTCTTCCATCTGCGTCATATTGCATCTGGAAAAGAAAGAAATATTAAATATCTTATTAAATAATAAGATAAAAATTGTAATTCTATAAATTTATCTTCTATATTAATAATCGTTGTATTCCGATAATCGGTTCGCAATTTGAAATTAGTTGTTGTTTTCTTTTTTGTTTCCTAACTTTTTGAATAATTTTTCTCTTCAAATGTTTTCAATTTTTAAATTAATGCATTGAAAATCATTAAATTTCTGTAAAGAATTTTATTCAAATTTTTTAAAATCCTAATTACATTCTTTTGAAAAATGCCTTTTAATTTTTTTTTAAATAAGTGAGATTTCTTAATAGTTTTAATTGAAAATTTTTAGTAATCGAATTTTATGAAAAATTTCTTTCAAGTTTTTAAAATAATCGTGTTTGTTAATAACTGAAACATTTGATTTCAACATTTGATTATTGAAGATTATTAAAATTTTTAGAAAATAATTTAATTTCTTTATGGAATTTCATTAAAATATTGAATTCTTTTAAAAAATATCTTTATTTTTTTTTAATATAATCGATTTTGTTAATAATTGTATTAATTGTTATAATTAATAATTTTGCTATTAATTAAATTCTATTAAAATTATTGATACAAAATTGAATTTTCTTAAACAATTTTATTAGAGTTTTTGTAAATAATTAAATTCTTTGGAAAAATTTCTTTAAGTTTGTTGGAAAAAATGTAGTTTTTTAAAATAATTTTAATTGAACATTTTGAAAATAATTGAATTAAACAAAGAATTTTTAAAACTTTTCAAAACAATCGTGTCAGTCAATAATTATAATTGAAAATTTGAATATTGATTTTTTTTAGAATCGAATTGAATATAATTGAATTCCTGAGAAAAATTTTACTATTTATAAAAATAATTGAATTCTTGCGAAGAATTCAGTGAATATTTAAAATTTTTCTATTAATTCTATAAATTAACAACTTTTGAACATTCAAATTAACGAAATATTTTCATAAATTACTGATTGCCATAAAAATTACGACTTCAATTTTACATTTAGAATTTTACTTTATAATTTTTTTTTATAGTGACGCAAAATTATAATAAAAATTGAATTTGAAGAAGAAATAAATAAATTTTCTTCATTAGAAAGTTCTAATTTCTAATTCTAATTTTATATTTAATTAGATTAATTTATTACATATGAGTTATTTTTGTCAAAAAATATCAAACTTACCGGAAGTAGTTCAACTGAATCGGAAATATTTTGTAATTCTTTTCTGTACTTCATGATAAATTCTTTGGCTTCATACGATACAGGATGAGCTGCCAATCTGTCCATAGTGTTTATAAAGTATTCATACTAAAATTATTATAATTAGTTTCTGCTTTTAAAAGATATTTTGTTTCCAAATAATGTAGGAAATAATTACCAAATTATCAGGAACAGTTTCGAAAAGAACTTTTTCAAGCTCACCATTTGTCAACCAAACTGAAGTTTCTAGATCGCTGTAAAAAGTAAAATAAATTTAATTACTTGTGAATTAAAATAAATAGTGTTTCGTGTTTAATTAGCAAATTTCTACGTACATTTTCACATTGTCATCTGGTCGTGAACCTGACATGTAAAGCTTATCTTCTTTTTCATTTAATTTATGTATTTCGTCTGCAATTTTCTGTAAAGTTCATTATATTTAGAAATTGAAAATTAAAGGAAACTTATTATTACTACAAAATTATAAAAAAGATATTGTAAAAAAAATCGAAAAATAGAAATTTTAGAAATAAATTGTAAATATTTTACGTGAAGTGTTTGATAATAATTTGGTCTGCATGTGTAAAACATAGAATGGAAAGGTCTTCCGGATTCATCAAATTCTGCTGCTTTTCGTGGAGGAAATATTTCATCTGGTGGTTTCATCATAGGTTTAGCTTTTTTATCGAATACTCCAGAGGGAAAAAGATATTCTATTGCTTTCTAGAAAAAATTAAATATAAATAAATAAAAAGTACTTTTAAAAAACCAAAACAGAAGTGAATGTTAATTTATCAATTTAAATTTATACTTTAATTTACTAATCTATCTATTATTAGTAATGTAATAAAATTATCAATAATAATTCAGAATTAAATCAAACCAATAATAGTTGAAATATAAAAAAAACTTACATTTATATCATCTTGTGAGAAATTATCCGGATTTTCACCCATCATATTAGCGAGATGTCGTTTTCCAATTTGATATTCAGCTCTCGCTTTTTGCATAAACTCATCTATTCGACAGTTTAATTCATTAATAAACAATTAAATCAAAATAATTAAATATGTATACATTAAAAACAAATGGAATATATTAACTTACTGTGCTCTTTTGAACGTTCCAAATATGCTTTCATAGATTTACTTATTTTTTTACTCGGCCCACCAAAGACAGCAGATTCCAATTCATCGGCTAAATTTTCGGCAATTTCTTCTTTAGCGGCAGAATATGAACATTTATTAAAAATCTACAAAGAAATAATAAATAAAGAGAATAAAAACAATCTTTGAGGTTAGGATTTCTGTCCTCGTCAGGAAGATTAATAATTAATGTTGTTGGTGTAAAGAATATTCATAGAAAAATTAATTTTATTACCTGGCAATTAGTAATTGATAATAAACTATAGAAATTAGCATTTTTCGTTACAAGACTACTGTTATTTTTACTTAAATAACAGATAAATGCACGTGAACTGGAGAACGCCATGTTTCCCCTATTGACACTGTCGTCTGCTCGTCAGGGCTGCAAACAGAAAAATTTGAAATTTAAGTTGGTACAGCTGTAAATTTAAAATTGATAACGACTACATTTTTGTTTAAATATATATTTGAAAATGTTGAAAATAAATGTTGTTTATTATTTATTAACAACAAATTAGTAATAATTAATTAGTAAATAATTAATTTCTTAGTTAAGTACATAATTAATTTATTATTTTTTCAGTTAATTACAGAATTGATTTCTTAATTAATTACTCAATAAATTACCTAAATAATTTAATAATTAATTTCTTAGTTAATTACGGAATTGATTTATTAATTAATTACTTCAAAAATTACCCAATTAATTTATTAACTAGTTTATCGATTACATAATTAATTTCTTAATTAATTTCATTATGAAATTTTTAATTAAAAAATTAATTAATGCCACAATTAATTATGAAATTAATTTATATATTTTATCCTCAATAAATTACACATATAATTCATTAACTAATTTCTCAATTAATTATGTAATTAATAAAAAAATTAATTTCCTAATTAACTGTTGAATTTAATATCAAATTGATTCCTTAATTAACTACCTGATTAATTCCTTAATTAACTACTTAATTAATTCCTCAATGAATTACCCAATTAATTCCTTAATTAATTAATTGATTAATTTTTCAATTTAATACCTAATTAGTTTCCAAATAATTTTTTTAAATTCCTCCATAAAATAACTATAATTAACTCATCATTTAATTATAAAATTAATTTATATGTTAATTTGTCAATAAAATATCAATTTAATTGTGTATTTAATTTCTCAATCAGTTTGTTTGTTAACTTCTCGATTAAATGCCTGATTAATTAGTCAATTAATTAACTAATTAACTCCTCATTTAAATATGAAATTAATTTATATGTTAATTTGTCAAAAAATTACCAATTATACTATAAATACCCTAATTATTTACTCAATTAAGGAATTTATTTATTTCTCCATTTAATTTCTTTATTAATTTTTCCATTAAATATCTAATTGATTCCGTAATTAAATTTAAGAATTGATTTATTTATTGATTTTTCATTGATGTACCTAATTAATTTATTAACTAATTTCTGAATTAATTATTTAAATAATTTTTTTATTAACTCCTTCATTGAGTACCATATGAGTTCTAAAATTGAATACCTATATTTAATACTCGGATTAAATTCTTTATTAATTTTTCCATTAAATATCTCATTAATTCCGCAATCAAATAAAAAATTGATTCATTTATTGATTTTTCACTAATGTGTCCAATTAATTTATTAACTAATTTCTGAATTAATTATTTAATTAACTCTTCCACTGAGTATCAAAGTACTTCTAAAATTAAATACTTAATTAATTCTTCAATTAATTAAAATATTAATTTTTCAATTCAATTGCTTAATTAATTTATCAGTTCATTCATCAATTAATTATCTTATTAATTTAGTAATAAATGCTTTTATAAATTAATATCATTACTTAATATATTTACTAGTTATTTAATAACATTACAAAGTAATATTAGATAATTACAGTATTAAGTAATTAATTAATTACATTAATGCGTTTTAATGTTAATTAATTAAATTAATTGTTTAATATTTAAATTAATTATTTAATATTTAAATTAATTATTTAATATTTAAATTAATTTTTTAATTTTTAAATTAATTATTATTTAATGTTTATATATTTTTTTATCACACTTAATAGAAGTTTTGACAACATTAATTACTCAATAATTATTTATATGAATTTTTGACTGTACGATTTACACTGAAAAAAAAATTTATTTGCTTCAAATAACCAATTACTTGTCTCTTAAATATTTACTTGAATCAAATAAATTTTATTCAAGTCAATTAAATTTTATTTGTAACAATAATTTCATTATTTGAATCAAATATGAATTGAAACATTAATGGTTCAAATATTTAATTTATTATTGTTTCAAATACAATTTATTTGATTCAAGTAAATATTTATTTGATGAAAGACAAGAAATCGTTTACTTGAATCAAATAAATTTTTCTTAATATATACTCATTGCTAATTATCTGTATAATTATTCACTTAATTAGTTACATAATTAATTTCTTTATTTACTAAACTAAATTTTTAATTTCTTCACTTTAATGCAAATTTTTTTTTTATTTAAAGTAAATTAAAAAGAAATATGTTTACGTCTTGAAAAAATTGATGGATGCGCGTTTCTTTTAGGTGGTAAAGATGGAGCGCGCAATGTCTTTGAATAAATTTTAACTCGTCTACGTTTAAGAACCAGTGCTGCCGCAAAGAACCTCGCTCTATATCGAGAGCCCTCCCGAGAGTCTCGGCTCGTAGCGGGCCAACGACGGTCTTCTTCCCAATAGTTTTTCCAATTTCTTTTTTTATTTTTTTTTCTCTCTCACTCAACGTTTGCGTCGTCTTCAATTTTAATAATTTTTTTTTTTATTTTTTATTTCTATCATGTTTTTTCTTTTTGAGATTATTCTTCATCTAGAACGTAAATGAAGATTAGTGAATTCATTCTTCTTCTTTTTTTTTGACATCAAAATTTTAATTATTTAATAGACCGGACATTCGGGTCACGTGTCATTGTCCTCCTCCTCCTACTACTCCTTCTACTGCAAAATTTCTTCAGTTTAAATCAACGAAGAAATCATGGGCAACGCCCAGAGGAAGTCACATTATTCGAAGCCAATTTCTTCTTCGGGAAGCGGTACGAAGAAGGTACACTGGGAAGGTCCAGGTAACTTTTTCCATCCTTCCGCCTTTTTTTTATGTTAAAAAAATCGCTTGTTTATAACGCTTTATTTTCAAAATTGTTTTTTGAAAAAAGATTTTTTTCTCTGATATTTGAAAATATTTTCTTTTACTATTGAATAGTTTGGAATAATTTTTTTTTTTCTTTCGAATTTGATTTTGGAGAATTTTGAAAAATGGGTGTTAAACTAATTTGATGAGGAAAAAAAGATTTTGAATATTTTTTTTTTCTTTTGCGATATTGAAAGATGTTGATCTTTCGATTTGGTATCCGATGTCATCCTTCCCGGAGCTGCCCAGTGGTTTCGCCTCTTCTGATTGCCAAATGCTCATCGTTTTATTTTGGGAGAGCCACGTGCAGCTATCCATTAGGTCGCGTGCTCCCCAACATATTATTATATTGAATGCTTTTGTTATACAATACAAGCGTACAAATACATATCGATTTGAAATGTTGATTTAAAAATATTTTCCTCTAAGTAATTTTTTTTTTCTGTTGAATTTTGATTTTGTTTTAATAATTTGCAGTAATTTACTATTATAATATATTCCCTCATTGCTAATTATTTTGTAAAAATATTTTCTACTTGAAAAATAAACAGCAATAAACAAACAATTTTTTTTTCAATTCAAAAAGAAAAATTATTCAATTTATTAATTTATAAATAATTTTAATTTTCGGTGAAAGTTCTTTTTCAAAATTTTTTCCTTCTTCAAATCAAAGAGAATATGTCATTCTTTATGAATAGTCTATTTCAATAAAAAATTAAACGGCAGGAGATAAAAATAGAGACTGTTTGAAAAAAATAATATCACAGAAAAAAAAAAGTTTTTGCAAATCTCTGCAAAATTTTATTTTTATGCGCATTTTTCCTTTATTCAAAACTTTTCTTACTTTCCTACAAAAATCTTTGGGTTTTATTTTTAATTCACGAATAAATCATTCTTATTAGCAGTTCTCCTTTGCTTCTTTGAGAAAAACCATGTGCTTTTTGCAAGCTAAACAGTTTACACACACACAAAAACATAATATTTCATTCATGACGTTGAAAAAAAAGAAAAAGAAAATCAGAGAGAAATAAAAATATACCAATTGGCAAATTTGATGTTTCTGAGCAAAAACTTTAAAATCGAGATTGAAATAATAGAAAACCACGCAGATAATTGGGAATTCATTAACCGCTGCCTAATTAATTATTTAATTTAATCAACTGCTAATTAATTCACTACTTAATTAATTGAATACTTAATTAAATAACTACTGAATTAATTTACTATTTAATTAATTAAATTAATCACAACTTAATTAAATGACTGCTTAATTAATTTACTAATTAATTAATTCACTAATTAATTAAATCATAACTTAATTAAATAACTACTTAATTAATTCAATTTTAAATTAAATCACTATTTAATTAAATCACAACTTAATTAAATAACTACTTAATTAATTCAATTTTAAATTAAATCACTATTTAACAAAATCGTTACTGCATAAATTTACTACTTAATAAATTTATTATTTTCTTTATTAATTATTTAATTAATTTTTACTCACATAATTATCATAATAACATAATTTTTATTCACATAATTAATTCTGGACTGATTTAATTTACTTCTTAATTAATTCATGACACAATTGATAAAATATCAAATTTATTAACAGCTAAGTTTATTAACTGCTATTTTTTCTCAAAAAGCAGATTTTGCAAGAGCATATGAGAGTCTTTTTTTTGTTTGACTCATAAACTATGAGATTATCACAAATTCTAAAAAAAGACCTTCAATTTTTTCTATTTCAGACAATAATTTCCTATTAAATAACTTAACTCTTGAAGATTAATTTAATTGAATTTTAAAAGAGTTGCGTTCACAATTTTTATAAATAGAAGAACTTAAAAAAAAGTTTTAATTTTAAATTTTGTAAAATTTCAATTTTGAATGAATTTCATTAGAAATTTTAAAGAACTTAGATTTTTCAAAAATTTTAATAATTTAAATTCTTCAGAAATTAGTTATTATTAATTAGTATTAATAATGAATTTATAGAAGAATTAAATAAAATTCTTCTCAAAAATTTAATTATGTCCAGAATTTTTTTCAAAATTCTCGTTAAAATTTCAATTGTCTTTATAGAAATAATAAAACTCTTCTCCGAAATTCAATTATTTTTAAAAATTTTAATAAAATTCTTGGTGAAATTTCAATTATTTGCAAAACTTTCCCTCAATTCAATTATTTACAAATTTTTATAAATATCTTCCCAATAATTAAATTATTTACCAATTTTTATCAATTTCTTCACAATAATTCAATTATTTACTAATTTTTATAAATTTCTTCCCAATAATTCAATTATTTTTAAAAATATTATAATTTTTTACGGGGATTCATTTATTTTCACAAATAATAAAACTCATCGTAGAATTTCAATAATTTTTAATACAATTTTAATCGGATTCATAAAAAAATGTAATATTAATAAAATTCGTTAAAAGAATTCAATTATTTAAAAATTTGTTGATAAAATTCTTCATGAGAATAATGAATAATGATTAAATATTTATTTGAAATAAAACTATTAAGAAAAAAAACTATTGAAAACTACTTTATTCATTAGCACCTGACACAATTAATTAAGCAACTAATTATTATAAAAAAGTAGTTAAATTAATAATTTATTTGAGAAATTAAATTTAATTGTTTAAATAGCGTCTATAATTGATTTACGAAAATTGAAATAATTAAATATGAAATTAATTGATGGGAAATTTAATTTGATTTGATTTAATTTAATTGGTGATTAAATTTTTTTTGGTTTTTATTGTTGAAGGTTTACCAGCATCGCCAGGAAAGCCAATACTGATACCAGGCACGGAGGAAACACAACCAGATGTAGTCAGTATCAGATGGGAACGATCAACAAGTAATGGAGGATCGGCTATTATTGGCTATCTTGTTGAACATCGAAAATTGGGTTCACCAAATTGGATTCGTTCAACGCCAGTTCTTTGTAAATTTTCCGAAGTCACATTGAGTGGTCTTGAACCAGGATGGCGTTATCAATTTCGTATTCGTGCCCAGAATGCCCTGGGACTATCGGAACCAAGTGAAATTTCCGATCCACTCACTGTCACTCTCCAACGTGCCATTGCCTCATCGCCTTATTTTGATATTGAATTAAAAGACACAACTTCACTTGAAAACGAGCAGGTTTTTTTTACTTCATTATTATTTTCATAAATAATAAAAATTTCTCAGAAATTCAATTATTTACAAATTTTTTTTATAAATTCCTTCCCAATAATTCAATTATTTTTATAAATAATAAAATTTTTTCAATTATTTTCATAAAAAATAATTAAAAATTGTAGAAAATAATAATTGATTTGAAATTATGGAAATAATTTTTGAAAAAGTTACTGTAATAATATTCTTATAATTTAAAAAAATGATTTTATCACTCGGTCATCTTTAATTATTATAAAACATGAAGAAATCGATCACTCCGAGTCTTCGACTCGGAGCAATCGCTATCTTCATGTTTTATAAAAATATTCTTATAAGTTATTGAATTTAAAAAGATTTGAATTTGAATGTTTTGAAAAATTTTAATTCCTACGGAAAAATAATATTTAAATATTTATTTAAAAAAATGTTATTGATGTTTTCAAATAATTTTACAATTAAAGAAATTCGTAAATAAATGTAACAGAACATTTTTTTGATTAAAGTTTTTTGCCTCTATTTTCTAAAAATTTAAAAAGTTTCAATTTAATTTTTAATTAAAATTTGTAATTGAAAAATAGAATAGAATATGTAATGTTTTCTTATATAAAAGAAAATGATGAGTTTCTAAAAATATTGTTATTGAGAAATATAAATTCTATGCATAAAATGGGTATATTTCCTATTTCTTAATTATAATTTAACAATTAACAATTTTCTCATATTTTTTATAAATAAAAAGGAGTAAACTTTGCGTAATTTAGATCAGTCAAACGAAATTTGTTATAGAAAAAAGCATGTAATAAACAAAATTTATTTGTTAATCATAATTTTTTTACATTTTCTAATTTCAAATATTGTTTTATTATAAATCATGAAGAATACCTGCACTTTTTCGATCTGTCAAACAATATTTTTTAAAGAAAAAAACACAAAAAAAACTAATTTCAAAATGTGGATCGACAGAATTTTGTATCCTAACTTTTTAAATAATTTTTCTTTTTAAATATTTTCAATTTTTTAATTAGTGTACTGAAAATCCTTGACTTCTTGTAAAGTATTTATAAAAAAAATTTGAAAATAATTGAATTTTATGAAGAATTCAATTAATTCAAAATTGTATTTTAAATTCTTTAGTCAATATATAAATAATAAAAATCTTCGTAAAAAATTAAATTATTTTTATATAAATAATAAAATTCTTATCAGGATTTCACTTATTTTCAATACAATTTTAATTGAATTCTTCAAAAATTTCCAATTATTTTTAAAAATCTTGTAAAAATTCTCTGAGAAAAACAAATATTTTAAAGGCAATTTTAATAAAATTCTTCTCAAAAAATCACTTATTTTTTAAAAATTTGCAAAAATTCAATTATTTGCAGAAAGAATAAATTTTTTCGCAAGGATTCAATTATTTAAAAAGTTTTAATAAAATTCTATTCAAGAATTCAATTATTTTCAGAAATAATTAAAATTGTTGATTTACTAAAAATCATTGAATTCTTGTAAAGTATTTATAAAAAAATTTGAAAATAATTGAATTTATTTCGAGAATTTTATCAAAAATTTTTTTCATTAAATTTCATAAAAATAATGTAATTTTTTAAAATAATTTTTTAATTGAAAATTTTGAAAATAATTGAAATTTACAAAGAATTTTATTAAAAACTTTTGAGAACAATTAAATTGTTTAGAAAAATTTTATTACAATTTTTTTAAAATAATTGAAACCTGTTAGAGAAATTTTATTAAAATTATCTTGAATATAATTGAACTTTTTCCTAGAAATTTTATTAGAAATTTAAAATTGTATTGGAAATATTTGAATTTCTAAGAAAAATTTTATTATTTACAAAAATAATTGAATTATTGCCAAGAATTTTACAATTTATAAAAATTATTGAATTATTTGGAAGAATTTTATATCAGAATTGTTGAAAATAATTGAATTTTTATTTTAAAAAGATAATTGAATTTAAATTTAATTTAATTGAATTTAAATTTTATGAATAATTATATTCTTTCGAGAAATTTTATTAAAATTCTATTGAAAATAATTGAATTCTTATAAAACATTTTATTATTTATGAAAATAATTGAATTTCTTGAAGGAATTTTATTAAAATTTTCGAATAATAATAAACAAGAACATTTAATTTCTAAAATATTGTAAATTTATTTTCGAATTTTAATTTAAATTTATATTTCGATTTTGAATTGAGATTTTGAATTTCGATTTAAATTTCGATGTAAATTTCGATATGAGAATAAATTCGACAAAAAAAAGAGAAAACTTTCTTCTTATTTACAGGCGGAATTTGAAGTCCAATATTCCGGAGTGCCATCACCAAAGATTGCTTGGTTTAAGGATGGTTTTGAAATATTTAGCAGTCGACGAACGAGAATTGTGACAGAAAATGGAAAAAGTGTTCTGCTGATTCATCGAACGGCAATTGATGATGAGGGTGAAATTAAATGCACTGCGACCAATCGCGCTGGACATGTGAGCACAAAAGCGAGACTCATGCTCGAAGGTAAATATCTTCAGTTTTATTTCTTCTTTTCTTCATTTTATTTCGAGTGCAATAAAAATTTCTTTTTAATATTTTTGTTACATTGAATAGTGATAATCTTTTATCTTCTATTTCTTCACCGAATACTCCATTGAATTTAGCTTTATATCATACAAATACAATAAATCATTCTCTGTTTAATAATTTGAATTTTAAATGTCTTCATGATTTGAAAATTAATCTTATTTTCAATTTAAATATTAATTCTATTTTCGATTGAATGTATCTTCGTTTGAATATATCTTCAGTTGAATGTATCTTCGTTTGATTATATCTTCATTTAAATGTATCTTTCGTTTAAATAATCCTTTGTTTAAATATTTCTTCATTTGAATGAATCTTCTTTTGCATATTTCTTCATTTATAAGTCTATCTTCGTTTGTATATAAATCTTCTTTTGAAGATACACCTTAGTTTGAATTAATCTTCAATTGAATGACTGTCATCTTCTTTAAAAAATATTTCTTCATTTAAATTAAGATCAATTTTTGATTTGATCCACATTTTTGCTGTCAATTCTTTGCAATTTGATACTATTAAATGAACAGTGAACTGCCACAAAATATCTTCACATTTTCAAAGAAAAATTCCAATTTCATTGATCACTAGCTCCACCGAGAATACGACTCCCCCGACAATATGAGGACGGACTTCTATTCGAGCAAGACGAAACAATTCGATTGAAGATAACACTCGCTGGTCGTCCACCGCCTGATGTCACATGGTATCACGATGGTGATACAATAAACAAAGACGAGAGACACATTTTCGAGTCAATGGACGGTGAGAGTGTGCTGAAGATACCTGACGCTAAGAGAAAAGATCGTGGCGAGTACAGTGTGAAGGTGACGAATAAATTAGGTGAAGACATCGCTTCATTTTTAGTCACCGTAACAGGTAGGTAGGTAATGGTTTTGCCAGCCAAATTTTCATCTATATCTTTATATATTTCGTAATATGAATTTTTGGCATTGAAAATGAATGAAATTGATTTGTGTGACTTTTTTTTAATTTAAATTGTTTGTATATTTATGTAGATCGACCTTCGGCACCGGGCAAGGCCACGGTCGCAATGACCTTGGGAAGGTCCGTCACACTCAAGTGGATGGAGCCGGAAGACGATGGCGGTTGCAAAATTGGTACATATATCGTTGAATACTATCGAGTCGGTTGGGATATGTGGCTCAAAGCTGCGACATGTCGACAGACAACGACAACATTGAGCGAACTTATCGAGGGCTCGGAATATCGTTTTCGCATTAAGGCGGAAAATCCTTATGGTGTCAGTGATCCCAGTGAGGAGAGTGACGTTGTCTTCATTCCAGATCTGAAGCGGGGGTGAGATTTCTTTTTTCTAGAATTCCTTTAATTCTTCTTATTCTTTTTGGATTTCTTCTTATCCTCCTTCTTATTCATTTCCTTCTACTATTTCTTCTTTTTGTATTTTTTCTTTTCCTTCTTCTTTTTGGATTTCTTATTCTTCTTCTTTTTCTTGAGTTCCTTCTTCTTTTACATTTTGTATTTCTTCTTCTTTTTCCTCTTTCTTGAGTTTATCTTCTACACCTTTTTGAATTTCTTCTTCTATATATTGTACTTCTCGTTTTGGTATTTCTTCTTCTCTTCCTTTTTGCATTTTTGCATCTTCATCTTCTACTTTTTGAGTTACTTCTTCTCCTTCTTCTTTTCCTCTTTGAATTTCTTCTTCTTCTCCTCTTTTCTCCTGTCCTATCTTTACCTTTTTGCATTTCTTCTCCTTCACGTTTTGCAATTTTTCTTCTTCTTTTATTTATTGCATTTGTTATCTTTCTTCCCTTTTTTCAATTTCTTCTTATTTTTCTTCTCCTCCGCCTTTTGGAAAAAAGATAATGATAATATAATTAATATAATTATATGATAATGATAATTAAAAAGAATTTCTTTTCCTTTTCCTCATTGCATTTTTTTTCTTTCTTCTTTTTTTTGAATTTCTTCTTAATTTTCTTCTCCTCCAACTTTTGGAATTTCTTCTTCTTCTTTTCCTTATAGAGTTTTTCTTTTTTTCTTTTCTTTGAATTTCTTCTTATTTTTCTACTTTTTTGACAAAAATTAATTCTACAGAATAGTTAGTTAAAAGTACAAAAAATTCAAATTTTCAAATCTAAAAATAACAAAATTATTCAAAAATTCGAAAAACCGAATTTCTTAAAATTCAACATTTTTTATTCTTTTTTATGGCATTTAGCTTCATTATTTTTAAGCTCTTCAAAAAAATTTTACTTATTTAATAATCTCCACTCTTTGGTAAAAAATCTAAAATTATCAAAATTTTCCAAAAATTCGAAAAACCGAATTTCTTAAAATTCAACATTTTTTATTCTTTTTTATGGCATTTAGCTTCATTATTTTTGGGCTCTTCAAAAAAATTTTACTTATTCAATAATCTCCACTCTTTGGTAAAAAATCTAAAATTATAAAAATTTTCCAAAAATTCGAAAAACCGAATTTCTTAAAATTCAACATTTTTTCTTCTGTTTTATGGCATTTAACTTCATTATTTTTGTGCTCTTCAAAAACACTTTACTTATTTAAAAGTCTCCAATCTTTGGTAAAAAATCTAAAATTATCAAAATTTTCCAAAAATTCGAAAAACGGAATTTCTTAAAATTCAACATTTTTTCTTCTTTTTTATGGCATTAAGCTTCATTATTTTTGTGCTTTTGAAAAACACTTTACTTATTTATTACTCTCCACCCTTTGGTAAAAAATCTAAAATTATCAAAATTTACCAAAAATTCGAAAAACCGAATTTCTTAAAATTCAACATTTTTTCTTCTTTTTTATGGCATTAAGCTTCATTATTTTTGTGCTTTTGAAAAACACTTTACTTATTTATTACTCTCCACCCTTTGGTAAAAAATCTAAAATTATCAAAATTTACCAAAAATTCGAAAAACCGAATTTCTTAAAATTCAACATTTTTTCTTCTTTTTTATGGCATTAAGCTTCATTATTTTTGTGCTTTTGAAAAACACTTTATTTATTTATTACTCTCCACCCTTTGGTAAAAAATCTAAAATTATCAAAATTTTCCAAAAATTCGAAAAACCGAATTTCTTAAAATTAAACATTTTTTCTTCTGTTTTATGGCATTTAGCTTCATTATTTTTGTGCTTTTGAAAAACACTTTACTTATTTAATAGTCTCCACTCTTTGGTAAAAAATCTAAAATTATCAAAATTTACCAAAAATTCGAAAAACCGAATTTCTTAAAATTCAACATTTTTTCTTCTTTTTTATGGCATTAAGCTTCATTATTTTTGTGCTTTTGAAAAACACTTTATTTATTTATTACTCTCCACCCTTTGGTAAAAAATCTAAAATTATCAAAATTTTCCAAAAATTCGAAAAACCGAATTTCTTAAAATTCAACATTTTTTCTTCTTTTTTATGGCATTAAGCTTCATTATTTTTGTGCTTTTGAAAAACACTTTACTTATTTATTACTCTCCACCCTTTGGTAAAAAATCTAAAATTATCAAAATTTACCAAAAATTCGAAAAACCGAATTTCTTAAAATTCAACATTTTTTCTTCTTTTTTATGGCATTAAGCTTCATTATTTTTGTGCTTTTGAAAAACACTTTATTTATTTATTACTCTCCACCCTTTGGTAAAAAATCTAAAATTATCAAAATTTTCCAAAAATTCGAAAAACCGAATTTCTTAAAATTAAACATTTTTTCTTCTGTTTTATGGCATTTAGCTTCATTATTTTTGTGCTTTTGAAAAACACTTTACTTATTTAATAGTCTCCACTCTTTGGTAAAAAATCTAAAATTATCAAAATTTACCAAAAATTCGAAAAACCGAATTTCTTAAAATTCAACATTTTTTCTTCTTTTTTATGGCATTAAGCTTCATTATTTTTGTGCTTTTGAAAAACACTTTATTTATTTATTACTCTCCACCCTTTGGTAAAAAATCTAAAATTATCAAAATTTTCCAAAAATTCGAAAAACCGAATTTCTTAAAATTCAACATTTTTTCTTCTTTTTTATGGCATTTAGCTTCATTATTTTTGTGCTCTTCAAAAACACTTTACTTATTTATTAGTCTCTACCCTTTGGTAAAAAATCTAAAATTATCAAAATTTTCCAAAAATTCGAAAAACCTATATTTATTGTAATGAAAATGACAGAATTACAGGGCCTCTGAGCAACAAATCACAGAGTCATCGAGAAATTCACAGAGGACGAAGCGAAAGACGAGAAGTGAGTTTCGTTGAACCTTCGCAAAGAACCAGGAGTTTGACTCGCGAAGAAAATTATTCAAGGGGAGATCCTGTTGAACGTTCTCTGTCATCACAACGTCTCAGCTCAGGAAGATCATCGAGATCCGACAGCAGAGTGACCTTTGCTCTGGACGTTGTTGATCATTCCGAGGAAATGCAGAAGAAAAATGATCAAGTAAAGGTACATAATGAAGAAATAATAATAGTATTAGTTATAATAATAATTATAATGATAGTGATGATGATGAGGATGCACCCACAGCATCTAAACTTGCAGCAACATTAACAACATTGCTGCAAGTTTAAATGCTGTGGGAGCGATGATGATGATGATGATGATAATGCTGAAGATAAAGATAATGCTGATGATGATGATAATGCTGAAGCTAAAGGTAATGCTAATGATGATGATATTGTTGATTATAATGAGAAAGATGATGATAATGATGATGTTGATGATAATGATAATGTTAATGATGATGGTGAAGGTGATGATAACGAAAAAGGAGATGATAATAATTTGAGTGACTAAAATTAAATTCCCTTTCAGGTGTCAGATGTTCATGAGAAGAGGAAAGAACCCACAGCAACAACAATAATTGTCACTCCAACGTTTGACGATTCGGGAGGAGAATCTCCAGTTCCTCAGCCAAGATCACGATCGATTGGAGGGACCACAAAGACTCCAGCCCCACCTAAGCCACCGAGAGCTCATGATCCTAGGAGTCAGGTACCGACTTCACCGGATCGCACTCATTTGAGTCCACCCAGAACTCCAGTTTCCACTTTGAGAAAAGAACAACATTTCACTGATTTATCGGCTCAGGGTGATTCAGCATTTTTGGATGTTAAACGAAAACAATTCGCTAGAACTGAACCTGCCTCATTTGCTGATGATGATGAAAATGCTCTGCATGGTAGTTCGGAATTTGTTCTTGTTCTCTATCCCGATGATCGGGACTCTCAACAGGAGCTTGATCGCCATTCACAGACGGAAATTGATTTTTCAGGTAAATGTAAAAGCTAAAGTGATGTAATTGATTTGTTTATTAACGCGATGGAAATGAAATTCGAATTAGAAGTGGAATTAGAATTGAAATTTGAATTAGAATTTAAATTAGAATTGGAATTAGAATTAGAATTAGAATTGGAATTGGAATTAGAATTTGTCTCTTTCGTTCTGTTTTAACTAACAATCTTGATTTTTTTCCTAAAGGTCGACCAAGATCGAGAACAATGGGAAATGAAGAAGACGATTTGGTTCCACCACCAAAGTCTATTTCACTTCCGGAATTATTCAGAATTGATCATCAATTCGTGGAGACAATGCGCGAGGCTGTCAGTTCAACAGAACTACTTCACGAACGTGCCATGGAAAGATTCTATCGTGCAGTTGCTGTCGACGAAGCTAAACGACAAATTCCCCAAGAGATCGATAACAGTGATCTAAAGACTGACCCAACAAACGATACTCTCGAAAAATATCCCCTCTTCGAGCAAAGAATATCCCTACGAAAGAAAGTTCCAGCTCATTCATCGCTCTGGCAAACTAAACGCGATCGCAGAAGATGCAGTGACAGTCAAACCGACACTTTACGCGTTCCCACCAAACTAATACCCGGAGTTTTGGAAGACGTTGCTTCCGATCCTAATTTATCGTCCCTAGAACCAAAGATGGATCATTGGGGTAGTCAACAACTGGATTCGGAAAATTCCCCAATCGACGAGATGAATAGGTTTTCGGGAAAAGTAAGAACACAATACTCAGGTCAAGATGACTATCCAGAAGAGGTTGGAATTGGTGAATACTCCGAAGAAGTCGATCGAGTGGATTCCGAACCTATTGATCCAGAAGTTGATCAAACGGAATATTTTGATGAAATAGATCAAAAGGAGTATTCGGAAGTGACAGAAGTCGACAATTCCGAACCTCTGCGAAGGTGGCATGATTATTCATCAGAAAATACGTTCACTCCGATAATGATCGAAGAGCCTCAGGAGAAAAAAATCGAAACAACTTGGCAGCAGAAACAATACGAGGAAGTAACCGAGACAATGAGTGTCGAAACTTCCATCGAATCATCCGAAGAAGAAAGTAGTGACGAAGATCTCCGACTATTCAGAGCAAGAATTTTGGCAATTCCAGTCGAAAACGAGGAGGACACCTACCATCCCAGGGGAAATCCAGTTCGTCACGTCAGTCCAGAAAAAACAGCACAACCACCAATTCCCTCACACAGAGTTCAGGTAATCGAACCAACTCCCGAAAGTATTCGCCAATCAATTCCATCGCCACCAATGTCGCCCGTCACCATAGTTCCAAAATCAATTCTCAAAAAGCGAGTCGAACCCGACTCGGTACCAGTGAACCAATTCGGCAGACCGGTACCACCGGAGAAACCAATCGAAACCGATGTCAAAAAGTTACCGGACGAACCAAGAACCAAAAATACAAGTGATTTCACTGGTACATCCGCTCCTGAAATGGTTTCAGGTGAAATGTCACTATCGGCCATTGACAACGAGAACGTCCTCTCAGCGGCCGAAGTCGCGCAAAACAGACGACGACAATTGAAGCAAATGTCCAAAAGTTCGATTACATCATCAGACAATGAGGAGGAGCGCTTCGAACAAAGAATGGCCGTCGTCAGTCACTACACCGAAATTGTTAATCAATTCTCCCAAACACATAAACCATTCCCTCCCCAGAAAAGAGTTCCAACCCCCACCTTTTCCCGAACGGAAAAAATAAATCCCGAAGAAATTGTAAAATCGTTGTCGATTCCACCCACGAGGGTCGATTATTCCTCAGACGAAAGATCGAGTGATTCCCAAAACTATAGAGACAGGAATCTTAATCAAGAGTTCAACCAAAGATCAGGTACTTTTAGTCCGACTCGAACGGAAACACGACGCGCTAGATCACGTGCCGACGAAATTCCCGCGCCAAGATCAAGAAATGTTTCCACCGACAGGGCTGCATCGTCCAGATCATCATCCAAGACGAGAAGAGGTGAAAATTCCAAACCAAGATCGAGAAATGTCTCCAGCGAGAGAGGAGGCGGATCATCGAGATCGTCATCAAAGACACGAAATGATCAGTCTAGTCATCAAAATCAGTCGTCCAAATATCAATCCAGTAGTCGTACATCGTCGAGATCGAATTCTCGTGATCGTTCACGTGCTCAAACACCAACCGAGGCGAAAATGGAACGATTGCAAAGTCAAAGTGGTGGTAGGAGGCAACGATCGAGGCGAATATCAACCCACGAGAGATATGATTTTATTGATCCTCACACAAAATATTTACTAGAAATTCAAGCCGAACGGAATGTTAGATCGAATTTCAGTTTTGTGACGGACGTGATTTTATTGTTGGCCGCTGTGTATGTTTATATTTTTAAGGAGGCAATTTTCGCTATTCCCATTATTGGACTGATTCTTTATCGGCGAATTCAACAAGGAATTTGTGATTTAATTCCTAAATGGTTGCGTGGTCCTAGACGTTAAGTTTCCAAAAAAGGGAGATGAAAATAAACAAAAAAACAATGAACAAATGAGTGAAATTGAATAATTGAGTCTTCTGGACATTGAATGTAATTTAGGAAAATAATTTTTTGAAATACGAATGAAAATAAGGGTGAAATAATTCGAAAAGAGAATTACGAATTCGAATTCGAATCAAATATAAGGAATTAAAAAAAAAGGACGCGAGTCTGTATGAATTGCTAAAGCGTCTGGGTTCCAGTTCTAATTATAATTCCAATTCTAATTCCAGTTCCAATTCCAGTTTCAGTTCTAATTTTAATTCCAATTCTAATTTCAGTTTCAATTCTAAGTTTGATTCCAATTCTAATTCCAGTTCCAATTCTAGTTTCAATTCTAATTTTAATTTAAATTCTATTGCCAGTTCCAATTCTAGTTCCAATTCTAATTTTAATTCCAATTCAAATTCCAGTTTCAATTCTAATTTTTATTCCAATTCTAATTCCAGTTCTAGTTTCAATTCTAATTTTAATTTAAATTCTAATGCCAGTTACAATTCAATTCTAATTGTAATTTCAATTCAAGTTACAATTTTATCGCATTAATGCACTTCAGGAATTAAAATTTTAATTAGAATTGAAAGGAAAATTTTAATTCCAATTAGAATTCGAACTAGAAATAGAATTAAATCTACAATTGGAACTAAAATCGAAATTAGAATTAGAATTCAAATAAGAATCGGATATAGAATTGGAATTAGACTTCAAATCAGAATTGAAACTAGAAATTTAATTCAAACGTGAATTTAACGTGGAATTCGAATTTAAATCCGAATTGGAATTGGATTTAAAATTAAATTTTAAAAAGTAGAATTAAAACTAGAACTGGAAGTAGAATTTAAATTCGAATTAGAATTCGTATTAGAATTGGATCAGGAATAAAAATAAAAATTGAAATTACAATTAAAACTAGAATTTCAATTCTAGTTTTAGTTATAATTTTAATTCCAATTCGAATTTAGAATTAAAACTAGAATTTCAATTCTAATTTCAATTCTAATTCCTAATAAATAATAATAAATCAAAATTGAATAAATAATAATTGGATTTTAACACCAAATGTTTTGTTTTAGACCACTGTTGAAGACTAAATTATGACTCCTTTTTTCAGAGAGTGAATTAATTTTTAAAAAATAAAGTGTAATTAATTGAATTAACTTTTTAAAAATAAAGTGTCACGAAGACTCAGAGATATTATAATATCTCAAAAATTGTAAATATTGTATACTTGTCCCTACTGTCAGTTTTGTAACCGCTGATCCAATTTTTCCAGTGACAAGCAAAATTACAAAAAATTTTTAAAATATGTCTATAAATAAAAAATAAAAGAAAAGAAAAAAAATTAACAGACGTCAGCTGGAATTTATTTATTTACAGTAAATCTAGTTTTAATATTTTTTAATTTTTATTAAAAGCTTTTAATTTATATTCAATTCTGAATTAATTAAATTAATTTCATTAAGTTTAACACAACTTTTTCGACTAAAGTTTCCTCGAAGATTATGTCAAATTTTGCATGTCACTAGGTTTTTCGTTTGATTTCTATTGAAAGTGTAATAATTGCAAAAAAATCGTGTTTTTTACGAACAAATGTGTCTGATTATTGGTTTTTATGTCTTTCGACAACTGTGCTTTATGTGTACAGAAATGTTAATATATAATAAAATAAATAATATATAATAAAAATGTATAATTAAAGAAAACAATTTTTTACCTTTCTATATTTCAAATTTCCTCTTACAGAATTTATTTCTGTAATTATTTTTCTTTAACAAAAATGTTTACAAAAATTCTTTTTGTAATAGAAAATGGTTTTAACGAAAAACTTGAGAAAAAACGAAAAGTCTCTTAACGGAAATTTTATAATGACTACAAGAAGAAAAATTTGCCTGGAACAGCTACAAATTTCACTAAACTGAGAAAAAACATTTCATAAATAATAAAATGTTTTGTAAGAATTCAATTATTTTTAAAAGTTTTAATAAAAATTGTAATAACATTTTTCTGAACAATTCAATTGTTCTCAAAAGTTTTTAATAAATTTATTTGTAAATTTCAATTATTTTCAAAATTTTTAATTAAAAAATTATTTTTTAAAATTACAAACATATTGTTCCTTGGAGGGCTCATTAGCCCTAGGAACCGTTTAAATAAATAAATAAATAAATAAATAATTTAATAAAAAAATTTTGATAAAATTCTCGAAATAAATTCAATTATTTTCAAATTTTTTTATAAATACTTTACAAGCATTCAATGATTTTTAGTAAATCGACAATTTGAATTATTTCTGAAAATAATTGAATTCTTAAATAGAATTTTATTAAAACTTTTGAGAACAATTGAATCCCTGCGAAAAAATGTATTATTTCTGCAAATAATTGAATTTTTGCAAAATTTAAAAAAATAAGTGATTTTTTGAGAAGAATTTTATTAAAATTGCCTTTAAAATAATTGTTTTTCTCAGAGAATTTTAACAAGATTTTTTAAAATAATTGAATTTTTTACGAAGATTTATATTATTTATATATTGACTAAAGAATTTCATTACAATTTTGAATTCATTGTATTCTTCATAAAATTCAATTATTTTCAAATTTTGACTGATCTAAATTATGCAAATTTTTCTCCTTTTTATTTATAAAAAATATGAGAAAATTGTTAATTGTTAAATTATAATTAAGAAACAGGACGTATACCCATTTTATGCATAATTTATATTTCTCAATTTATTTACGAATTTCTTTAATTGTAAAATTATTCGAAAACGTCAATAATTTTTTTTTAAATAAATATTTAAATATTATTTTTACGTAGAAATTAAAATTTTTCAAAACATTCAAATTCAAAATCTTTTTAAATTCAATAACTTATAAGAATGTTTTATAATAATTAAAATGACCGAGTGATAAAATCATTGTTTTATATTATAAGAATATTATTACAGTAACTTTTTCAAAAATTATTTCCATCATTTCAAATCAATTATTATTTTCTACAATTTTAAATTATTTTTTATGAAAATAATTGTATTATTGCGAAGGAATTTATAAAAAAATTTGTAAATAATTGAATTTCTGAGAAATTTTTATTATTTATGAAAATAATTAAATCTTTGCGTACTATATTTTTGTGAACTTGAAATTTATTTGAAAATAATTGAACCTTGGGGAAGAATTTTGTTATTTATAAAGATAATTGGAGATTTTGACGAGAATTTTTTTTAAATTTAAAAGATAATTGAATTTTATGAGAAGAATTTTATCCCTCTTGAAAATAATTAAATTTCTGCAATTATTTGTAATTGTTCCAAAATTAGATTTTTATATTGTTTTCAAGAAAAATTTGAATTACAAATTTTTAAATTCTATTATTGTTAAAATTACTAATTAATAAAAATTGCTAAGTAAAAAAAATCGAACGCGAATTGTTGCTAGTGAAATAAATAAAATTAAAATTTTGTGTTGCAACAAAAATGAGTCCAAATTTTTTCTGTTCTCTATCCGCATCATTTCGTTTGCGAGAGAACTTTCATGCCATCTAGGCGACAGTTTAAAGAAATGTATTGGCGCGAAATTCAAAATTCAAAAAACCATAATAAATAATATTTTGATATTAATAATACATGATTAATTAATATCTATAAAAAATAATTTTGTAACTTTTTTGCATTATTCTAAACAAATGAATAAAAAATCCTAAATAGGTTTTTTTCGTAAATTTCCAATTGAGACTCTATTTTAGGATCAGGCCGAAGGAGGGGGGAGGGGGGGGGGAGCTAAAACAAAAGCATAATTTGAACTCGGGAAAACCATTAAATTCAGGGGACGAGTGCAAATAGTGCTTTAAATATATACGCACTCTGACCACTGTATTTTAAAGTAGATCCCACGGATTTAGATGCATTTAATTAGTTCCTCATTCCTTGTTCGCCATTTCTCTCCTATTCTTTCCTTTTCTCTCTCTCTCTCTCTCTCCCTTTTTAAAATACAATTTTCCTTCTCTCTTGTCCATAAAAAATTTCTTTCTTTTATAGAAAGATTTTTATTTCACGAAAAAAAAAATTTTGAAATTCCATGACGCGTGGTTTTATATTTTTTTTATTACGTCAGAATTCCACTATAGCTTTTGGAGTGAGAGAGAGAGAGAAAGAGTGAAACTCACAAGCGCATGTCTGTGTTTAAAACGCGACGAAAAAGTTTTTCTCAACATATGTACAAAAGAGAAGAAGAGTGGAGAGAGTGGTCGGCGCGCACACAACGCCGTTCATCGTTGACGATTTTAGATCAGAGCCCTTGGCTTGGCGCAGTTTAGGGTTGCGTGCGGCAAAATTTTGCTTCTTGGTAAAGTGTTTGGTGAAAATTGTGGGAAAGGTGGGGAAAAAGGCGAGAATCGAATGCGAAAAGACGGGAACGAATAGGGAAGTGTTATTTCGGCACGCGCCAAATAATTCATTTTTTAATTGAGTAATTTAAAAAAGAGAGTTATGTCAATGGAAAAAAGAATCGAAAATTGCTTCTTCACTTGACGGAATGACCTTAACAGGTAATTAAATATTTTTGGAAAAAAGAATTTTTCAATTTTTTGGAAATTTTTTTTTTTTTTGATTTTGTTGTTGAAAATAATTTTTGTTTTTTTATTTTTCTAATTAGCTTTTTTTTAACTTTTAAACTATTTTTTTCCCCTTTTTCCTTTTTTAATTAATTATCACCTTTTGCGTAAATTATTCCTTTTTTAATTTTTCTAATTTTTTAAAGTCTTAACAATTTTACCCTTTAGATAAAATTTTCTGTTTATTTCTTCATTTTAATTTTTACCATTTTTCGTAAATTATATTTTTTTCTCAAAGTATTTTTTTAAAATTCTTTTAACGACAGAAAAATTTTATTTTGCTTTTCCGATATTGAGAAAGAAATTGGTTTAGAAACATTTTTTATTTTTTCCTCTTCACCTAATAAAAAGCGTCAAAACAAGCGGATTTGGGTCGGATTTTTCTCGATGAATGCGACGGGATGCACTTGGTGAGAATATTTTGAGAGTTGGCCAGTCTTTAATAAACACCGTGTTGCATAAACGTGAAAAATTATTGTTTTTTTCTCTATATTAATAAATTTTTCAGAAAAATTTGTAAAATAAAATAAGCCGGTGATAATTATTGGAAAAACTAATCAACTGTCATCATTTATTAGTAGGAGAATTTTGAATAAAAATAGATTTGAAACTACTGGTTATTTTTTTTTTTTTGCTCTGACGTGTGCGTATAAGTGTGAAACTTTTGACATGCGTGAGCAACGTCAAATTTTGATTGACATTTATGTGAAAATTTTCCAAAATCTATTAATGAAGAAAATAGTTGAATATATTTCTGAGGGAAAATTCAAATTAATGGAGGGGAAAAAAAATTAAAATTAGAGTAGAGAAAAAAATGGGATGGAAAATAATTGAAAATTTCGTTCAAATAGTATTTTAGCGAAATGAAAAGTAAGAAAAAAAAGAAGAGAAGACGAATAGTAAAGCAGTCGTTTCTTATACGTGGTGATTTGAAGTCGATGATATTTTTAGAAAGCCGGTTAGTCGAACTTAGCGAATCAACTCAATTGCGATTTCAATTGCATTTCTAAGTTAATTTTTTTTTCGCCTCCCCCCGGTAAAAATTAGAAACATTTTTTATTATCTAAAATTTGAGTTGAGTTTTTGTATTTTTGCTTGAATTTTTTTTTTATTTTTACACAATTTTGCAAAAAAAAAGAAAAATATTGTTTTCTCTTCTAATTTTTAACGATAATCGTAGATCATTCCTCCGGAATCGAAACATCAATATGGGAGGAAGAGGAGGAAATAAAAGTGAAATGCCGATCGAACGAAGACGTTGTCATCGCGGTGAAAATTCGCCAAACGGAAATTTGCGACAATTTTCTCTTCGAATTGTGAGTAGATTTTTCCCTTTGATCTTTATTTGTTTTTTTAACTTATAAATAAATAAATAAATAAATAAATAAATAAATAAATAAACAAATTGTCTTGAAAAATATTTTCATACTGAAATAAGTTTGTAAAAGAAAGAAATAATAATTAAACGAAAAAATTAAAATATAAATAAATCAATAAATACGAAAATTAAAATATAAACGAATTCAATTATTTAAAAAAAAATTTAATAAAATTGTACGCAAACATTCAATTATTTTCATAAATAATAAAAATTTGACAGGAATTCAATTATTTACAAATATTTTTATAAATTTCTTTCCAATAATTCAATTATTTTTATAAATGATAAAATTTTTTTTAAGGAATTGAATTATTGCGATAAAAAGTAGTTAAAAATTCTAGAAAATAATAATTAAATTAAATTAAATTTTGAAGAAGTTTTTTTTTCCTTTATTTTTTAAAAATAAAAAAATTTTTAATATCATTTTCAATGAGAATTTGTAATTTACAAATAGAATTTTATAAACATTTTTTCTTTTATTTTTAAAAAATTTTGAATTATATTAAAACAATTATAATTAAGAAATAGAAATTGAAAGAAATGAAAATTAGGCATAAAATGAATATATTTCCTTTTTCTTAATCATAATTTTTTAATAATTAACAATTTTCTATTTTTTATAAATAAAAAGGAGTCAAACAAAATTTTTTATAGAAAAAAGCATTATAATAAACAACATTTATTTCTTAATTATAATTTATAAAAAATTTTCTAATTTTTTTATTTAAAATATTATTTTATTATAAATCATGAAAAAATTAATTTTTTGAATATAAACAAACCAATAACACAAATTAAAGCAAAAAGAAATTTCCTGACGTCGTTCATTTGAATGTTCAAAACTTTAGGAACATAAAATAAATAAAAAAATAAAGAAAACATCAATAAATAAATAAAACCAAATTAAAAATAAATTAAAAATTGAAAATTAAAAATTAGATAGAAATAAAAATAAAAAGGAAATGAAACTAAAATGGAAATTAAATTGAAGTATAGTGATAAGATTATAAATAAAAAAAAATCTTGTTGAAAATTTTGATAATTAATAAGAAAACTTGAAATTACGTGGGGATACAAAAATGAATCGAAACATTGGATTCGGTAATTTGTCCCGGTTCCCGTGAAACTGTCGTGCGTGCCAAGCATCATCAGAAGGTGTTTATTTCAAGCAGTCGTGGATTTAATTTTGCGAGGTCGAAATTATTCTCGTCATGTCATTTCGACGAGACTGTCTTCAATGCCAGGGACGTGTGGGATCATTGCATTTTCCTCTGTTTTCAACACTTATAAGCTTCGTGGGAATAGCTTCATCACAACACAAACAAAAACACAAAAAATATAAAACTTTATAATATGCCTGAGCAAAAAACTTGTCCTTATAAACTTTGTAGAAAAAAAAATTCTTTTTAGTAAAATTTAATAATTAACGAAACGTATATTTTTTCTAACCCCTACATAAAAGAGGGAGAGAATTTTTACTTATTTGTAAAATTTATTTTATATATTATATAAAATTTATTTTATATATTATATAAAATAAATTTTTAAAAAATCCTTTTTAAATAAATATTTGAAATAAAATGTAAAAAATATAATAAGTAAACGAAGGTAATTTAACGAATACGTATAAGTGACGAATTAGAACAAATTTGTGAATTACGTGGTCTAGTGCCAATTGGAAAATGTGCGTCAAAACTGTCTCATTACTGTTGAATGTTAAGTTTTGCCGAGTCTGGAAACTTGAACCAGAAATATTTCACGGATGTCTGACTAATAGGGATTTATACTACTTATAAAATATAACTTTGAATTTTTTTTTTAAATTTTGTGAAACTTGTAAATTTTTGAAATACTAGGGGTCTTTTAATAGTTTTTACGCAAAACGTAACTTTGCGGATTTAAAACTTTTCGTCTGACTTTAAGTGTCATTTACTACTTTTATGCAGAGGAGTCAAGAATTTCGAAAATGTGTCTCAATAGAAGTAGCATTTTCTACTGTCGGCGAAATTTAAATTATTTAGCACACTATGTCTGACACTGAATATTTTACTACTAAAATAAATGTTGTCTTACTCTTTTGTTACTTTAAAATAAAAACAGTCTGACTACTATTGATGTTTACTACTGAAATAAAAATTTTAATATTTTTTCATCACTTGGAGGAATTTTTACTATTAACTACATTTTACACTGAATATTTTACGGATAAAATAAAAAAACAAAATTTGTTTTACTTGACAAACTGTTTCGCTACTTAAAAAAAATTGTCTGACTGATAATGATTTTTACTACTGAAATAAAAATTTCAATAAGTATTTGTCAGTTAAAGGAAATTTTTACTACTAACTACGGTTTACACTGAATATTTCACTATTGAAATAAGAAAATTCGTATTAATGAAACTTCCGTTATTTGAAAATAAAAACTGTCTGACCGATATTGATTTTTACTACTGAAATAAAAATTACACTAATGTTTCATTAGTTGAAGGAATTTTGACTACTAACTACATCTGAGACTGAATATTTTATCACTAAAATAAAAAAATTTGTCTTACTAAAAAACTGATTTGATACTTAAAAATATAAATTGTCTGATTAATACAGGTTTTTACTACTGAAATAAAAATTTCAATGTTTCGTCAGTTAAATCAGTTTTTACTACTAACTACGTCCGACACTGAATATTTTACTATACTAAAAGAAATTTTGTTCTACTGAAACATTCTTTTTACCTATTTAAAAAAAAAATTTGTCTGACCACTACTGATTTTTACTACTGATAGAAAAATTCCAATAAGTATTCGTCAGTTAAAGGAATTTTTTCTACTAACTACGATTACAATATTTTATTATTGAAATAAAAAATTCGTCCTAATGAAACTTTCGTTAGTTGAAAATAAAAACTGTCTGACTGATAATGATTTTTACTACTAAAATAAAAATTTCAATAATGTCTCGTCAGTTAAATAAATTTTTATTTACTACGAACTACGTCGGAAAATAAATATTTTACAACTGAAAGAAACCACTGGAAAATTGTAAATGTAATAATATCCACAACTTGTCTGACCAAAACTGACCTGTTCTACTGAATTAAAAACATACGGAATTAAAGATTTTTTGGCAGACAAATGCTAATCTTTATTACTGTCAAAAATAGATTGTCTACTACTGACCTTCACTACTGTGAGAAAAATTGAGTACAAAAAGCACTTACTGAAATTGCTCCTATTTGCATTTGTCTGTTATGAATGTAGAAAATTTTCGTCTGGCACGTAGTTTTTTTTACTATTAATAGAAATATTTTCTCCGTTAGATTAAAATTATTTTTTACTAAATGAATTAGAAAGAAAATAATAATGGAAAAAAATAAAAATAAAAAAATAAGTATAAATAAAGATAACGTTGTCTGACTAAAAATGCCTTTTACTACTGAATGAAAAAAATGTGCAATTCTGAAAACGTCTCACTAAAACTGATCGTTACTACTAAAATAAACAATACAAAAATTCTGATTACGTCTGACTGTAATACTCTTTTACTACTGAAATCAAAATTTGGATAATTGGACTGTATTTTACTGCTCTGAAGTAATAAAAATAAATAATTCTAAAGAATTATCTATCTAAAGAAATCTGACAAAAAAACCTAATTAAACAATAATACAAATTAAACATTTCTATAAATAAATACTACTTCGTCTGACTAAAAGTTGCCTTTTACTACTAAAGTAAAAAATTTAACTAAAAAAGTCTGACTCAAACATGCAGTTACTACTGAAATAAAAAAAATCAAATCAAGTATTTTTTAAATACTTCTGAAAACGTCTGACTAGAATATTTTTGTACTACTGATTAAAAATTTTAATAATTGAATTGTATTTCGTCTGACTAAAACAGTCTTCTTCTACTACTGTCAAGGTTGAACAATGTTAAAAATTTGTCTAACAAAACAAAAATAATACAAAAATTAGAAAAAAATCTTCTTTCAAGAACTTGTTTACTACTGCTACTAAAATTACATTAAAATGTTTTGTCTGACTCTCACTGACATTTTTCACTTTACATTCTTGATTTTCTATTTTAATTTCCAGTCCATACTCACTTTCGAACTATTTTTTTTATTATTTTTCAAGTCCAAAAATTTCCCCCTCTCAGCGTATAAGATGAATTTTTAATTTGCTTATTAAAAAACAATTCTCATAAAATTTTTATATTAGTATAATTATATTTTATTCTATTTTTTAAAGACTTTCGCTAAATTTTTTTCCCTCTCAGCGTAAGAGGCGTTGCTACGCAACGCTTTTGATTCCTTTTTTGTCTTAATTTGATATCCTTATAGAAAAACTATGTAAAGAAAGTGTTTCGTCTGACTAAAACTGTTTTTACTACTAGACTAAAAAAATATTTAATTAAAAAATAAAATAAATAAAGAATTTGTACAAAGCAAAGTTTTCATTCGTTTTTTGTCTCAATTTTATATCATCATAAAAATTGTGGAAAAGAATGCTTCGTCTGACTAAAACTGTTTTTTACTACTAGATTAAAAAATGCTAATTAAAAAGTATAAAAGTACAAAGCAACGTTTTAATTCGTTTTTCCATATTTTACATCATTCGAAAAATTGTGAAATAAAATTCTTCGTCTGACTAAAACTGTTTTTTCCTACTAAATTAAAAAAATTTAATTGAAAAAATAAAAAAAAAAATTTGTACAAAGCAACGTTTTGATACATTTCTTGTCTCAGTTTTTATATTCTTTCAAAAATTGTGTAAAAAATGCTTCGTCTGACTAAAACTGCTTTTTACTACTAAATTAAAAAAATTTACTGAAAAAATAAAACAAATAAAAAATTTGTACAAAGCAACGTTTTGATTCGTTTTTTGTTTAAATTTTCTAACCTCAGAGAAACTGTGAAATAGAATACTTTGTCTGACTTAAACTGTTTTTTACTACTAGACTAAAAAAATCTAATTAAAAAAAAAGCAAAAATAAAAAATTTGTAAAAACAAAAAAAAAAAACAAACAAAGCAACATTTTGATACGTTTCTTGTCTCAATTTTTATATTCTTTCAAAAATTGTGTTAAGAAAATTCTTCGTCTGGCTAAAACTGTTTTTTACTACTAGATTTAAAAATGCAAATTAAAAAAAACAAATTTGTATTAAAAAATTATATTGTCTGGCCCTAACTGTCTTTTACTACTAAAATAATAAATTCAATTTAAAAAAGTCTGACTTAAACAGGCCGTTACTACTTAAGCGTTCATTAAACAAAAATTATAATATAGCAAAGTTTTTTATACCATTAGTATAACTAAATTTAATTTTACTATTTTAGAGTCTATTGCTAAATTTTTCCCCTCACAGTCTACCACCAATTTTTGTCTCTCAACAAAAATATTTTTTCAAAAAAAGAAATCCTTTTTAAAAAAAAATTCTATCAAAATTTTTGTACCATTCACATAACTAAATTTAATTTCATTATTCTAAAAGTCTTTTGCTAAATCAAGAGAGAGAGAGGGAGGGAGAGAGAGACATTAATTCTTGACCTATTTTTGCGCTTTGTGCTTCTCCTCGTTTGCGTAAAAGATGAAGAAGAAGATGAAGAAGAAGAGAAGGGGGATGAACGGTGGGAAATGGCGTAGTTGAGACTATGTCTGCCACCTAAAAGACACAGACTGAAACTATCAGTCTCGCGAGAGATCCGACGACGACAACGATCGATTAAACAAATTTAAATCTATATTTTATTATTGGACTGTATTTATTCAGTGCCCTTGCAAAAGTGCAATGCTTCGAATTAGGACGAAGCGAATCAAGCAAAGTGGAACGATCTCATTTGATGACATTCGCCTAAAAAATTCATTCCTATTTAATGTGCTTTTTTCACAAATTATCAGTGCAAGTTTTCGAGAATTATAAAGAATTCGTAATTATTGGTGAAAAAAAAAAAATTTTTTTTTTTGAGAAAATTTCTCGTTTTTTCTATGGTGAAAAAAAATTTTTGAGAAAATTTTTCGTTTTTTTCAATGGTGTTGAAAATTTTATTTTGAAAATTATGAATCGAAATAGGAGATTTTTTACTGAGAATGTGATTTCTATGAGTTTCAAACTACGATCTAGGCGCGATTCGCTTAGATGAAGAATTGTGATTCGTCCGCCATTGTTGCCGCGTTATGGGTAGCAAATGTTGCAAATGTGCCAAGAAAACCCATGCCGCTAGTTCCAATGATGGATCCAGATACCGGTAAACAGTCGAGATGATTTTTTTTCTTTCGTAACTATTTTTTTTTATTTTTTTTAATTTTATATTCTTGAATTTCCTGAAACGCTTCTTAAAATCTTTGAATTGAAGAAATTGCAATGCAAAGTTATTTCTTCTTTTCTTCTGTTTCTTTTTTTTCTTCTTCTTCCTTTTCTTTTTTATTTCACATTTTTCTTTTTTTTATTTCTCTCCATTTTTTCTTCTTCTTTTTCTCTTAATATTTTTCATTATTTTTTATACAAAAAATTGTTCTTTCGTGTATAAACTTCATTTAAATTTTTCTTCTTAGTTTCACTTCTTTTTTTCCTCAATTAACTTTTCTTTAATTTTTCTTTAATGTTTTTTTTTTTGTAATTTTTGCTAAAAGAAAAATCTGATAGACAGTCAAAACAAAAGTTAGTTAAAAAGTAAGTTTCACTTCTTTTTTCCTCAATTAACTTCTCTTCAATTTTTTTTACATTTTCTTTTGTAATTTTCGCTTAAGGAAAAATCTGACGGACAGTCAAAACAAAAGTTAGTTTCAACCCTTGTTTTTACATTAATTTCTCATTAAGTTTTAAAATTTTTTTTTGGGAATTTTCGCTTAAGGAAAAATTTGACTGACAGTCAAAACAAAAGTTAGTTAAAAAGTTAGTTTCACTCCTTTTTTCTAAATTAATTTCTCTTTAATTTTTTTTACATTTTTTTTGTAATTTTCGCTTAAGGAAAAATCTGACGGGCAGTCAAAATAAAAGTTAGTTTAACTCCTTTTTTTCTCAATTAATTTCTCTTTAATATTTTTTAACATTTTTTTGTAATTTTACTAAAGAAAAAATCTGACGGGAATTTAATTTTGTCGTTTCCTCTTAAAATACGAAATAACTTTTGTTTTGACTGTCCGTCAGATTATTCCTTAATTTTTATTGCATTTCTTCTGTCTTCTTTCCTATGGAAAATTTAAATTTGAAAAAAAAATTCAAGAAAAGATTTCAAACTTTTCTTGAATTTTGTTTTCAAATTTAAATTTCCCATAGTTTTGAATCGTTGAAAATTAACTTCTTTACGCTTCCACCGAAACGAATTAAAAATTTATTTTATCGCTTTCTCCTAAAATACGAAATTACGACATTGGACTAATTTTCGTTTTGACTAAACTTTAGATTATTCTTTAATTTTTTTAAATTTTTCTTTAATTTGTATTTTTTTTTAAATTTTTCTAAAGAAAACTATTAAAAGAAACTATTAAAAGTTGTTAAAAATTTTTCTTTAATTCTTCTTCAATTTTTCTTTGAATTTCCTTCAAATTTTCCATAATTTTGAATGTAAATATTCGCAGCGATATTTGACAGGAAAAACACATTTTCTGCCTAATAAATTAAAAAAACAAAACTTGTCATAAAACAAAAAAATTTTTTTCCTACAAAACAATAATTTTCCAAAGAACAAAATAATTGTCACCAATTTTCATGGCTAGAGAAATTATTGTTTCAAAAGAAAATTTATAAAGATCTTGTCCTACAGCAATAATAGATAAACATATATATGTATATTGTGATCTAGAAATATCACGAGCCTCGTTTTCTGACGGTTGCATACCCTCGTGGATCTGACGTAAGCTTGTAACAGATATCCGCGCTTGGCTTTTATAATTTACATCCTCATCAACAAACATTTTAAATTAGTTTTTTTTTGCTTCTGAATTTCGAAAAAGAAAGATTTTCCAAAAACAAAATTTTGTTACGAAAAAATTGAAATATTGAATCATTTTTCTTTTAGAGAAAAAGAAGAAGAAGAAGAAATAAATTTGAAATGCTTTGCAACGCTTTTTTTTGCTTTGCTATATAATGTGAATTGGTATTCGTGTATTCTTGTTGGTATTGCGCAAGTCTGACGGGCTGAATGAGAGGAATCTATAGAATTAGAAGAACGTTGAAGAATAGTCGATGACGTTTCGATTGGACTTTGACTATCACGTGTGAAAAAAGACGGCAAAAATTTTCCAAAAAAGAAATTTTACAGTTTGTTAGAATTTTTGTTTTTTTACTTATTTATCTACTGACATTTTCTTAGGGTAGTAAATGTTTTCTTTTTTTTCTCTTAGATTTCTTTCTTTTATTTTTCTTCTTTTCTATATTCTTCTTTTTTCCCTTACCTTCCCCTATTCCATATTTTTCTCCCTTTCCTTATTTTTCGTCGAATTTATATTTTTCTTCTTTCCTTTTCCTTCTCCTATTCCATATTTTCTTTCTTTCCTTATTTTTCTTCTTTTCTACATTCTTCTTTTTTCCATATTTTTCTTCTGTTCTATTTTCTTCTTTTTGAAATGTTTTTCTTATGCTCTGTATTCTTCATTTTTTCTTATTCTTCTTCTATTCCATATTTTTCTTCTTCTTTTTTTTTTTATATTTTTTTTCAAATTTATATTCTTCTTTTTCCTTTTCCTTCTCCTATTCCATATTTTCTTTTTTTCCTTATTTTTATTTTTTTTATTTTTCTTCGAATTTATATTCCTCTTCTACATTCTTCTTTTTTTCATATTTTTCTTCTTTTCTACATTCTTCTTTTTCCATATTTTTCTTCTTTTTGACATGTTTTTCTTATGCTCTGAATTCTTCATTTTTTTCTTATTCTTCTTCCATTTAATATTTTTTTCCTTACTCCATTCTACTTCTATTTTTATATTTTTCTCTTTTCCTAATTTTCCTTTTTCACCATTATTGTTTTTTCTTTATTGTTCTTTATTGTTATTTTTTATTAACATTTTTTCTTCTTATTCTTCTTCTGTTCCGTATATTCTTCATTTTATTTCCATTCTACTTCTATTCTATATTTTTTTTTGTTTCTTATTCTTCATTATTTTTGTATCTAACTTCTTTTGTACATTTTTCTTCTTCTTCTTCTTTCTTTTGTTCTACATTCATTTTTCTCGTTAATCTACTTTTGTCTCACATTCTTCTATTTTTGTTTATTCTCTTTTTTTCTATACTCTTCATCTTTTTCTTTATTTTTCTTCATTTTTACACTCTTTTATTTTTTTCTACTTTTTCTGTTTTTCTCTAATTTTCTCATTCAAATCATCTTCTTTTTCTTCAGTAGCTTCAATTTTCAATGCAAGAAATAAAATAAATACAATAAATTAAATAAGTAGAAAAAATGTTATTAAATAAATAAAGTTAATAAATAAAATAAACAAATAAAAAAAAAACTGCCAAATAAAATAAAAAATAAGAAAATGAATAAAAAATTTGTTAGAATTTAAGGAAGAAAAATATATAAAAAAAATTATTTTTGTATTTATTCTTGATTTTCTTTCGCTGCGCAGATATCGAGGGGAGCTGCCGATTTCAACAAATCGCTATCGAATTGAAACACAGGGGAATTTAGTGCAATTAACATTAAAGGAAACAAAACAAGATGACGCCGGACATTATTCGTTGACTGCAAAAAGAATAACACAAAATGGAAATCAGAATAAATATGCAAGGCGAATTCACTTGAGAGTTGACGAATCGTCTAGTTTCGATGAAGGTGATTTGCCTATCTTTGTCCGAAGACTGAGCGATCTATCAGTTAAAGTTGGCACGAGAACGAGATTTTTGGTTGAAATACGAAGTCCCGCTACACCAAAAGTGGGTACTTTTCTAATTTATTTTAATAAAATAATTTTTCGATTTTAAAACATTTTTTGAAAATTTACAAAAAATTTTCTCTCTGAAGGTAACGTGGCACAGGAATGATGAAATTATTCAAGGAAATTCACGTTTTTCATTTGTAAATGAGGGAAATTTTTATTGCGTTGACGTTGCGCCGGTAACAGTTGACGATGAAGGACATTGGACGTGCATGGTGGAAAATTACTGCGGAAGATCATCTTGTTCATCGCACTTGACAGTCATTGGTGAATAAATTTTCTTTATTTTTTTTTTTTAGAAAAGTTTTTTCTTCACATTAATTTAATATTTAATGCAATAATTGTTCTTGTTTTTTTCTTAAATTTTTATGTGTATAATATTTGTTTATATAATTATTTGTAACTTTTTATTTTACATTTATTTTTTATTCTTTTATTCAATACTAATTATATTTTTAAATAGTTATTAACTATAGTAATTATTATTAGTAATTACTAGTAATTAGTAATAGTAATTAGTAGTGGTAAATTACCAATAATAGTGGTAATTACTAATAATAATATTATTAGTAACTAGCAAAAGTAATTAATTGTAATTGATAATAGGCATTAATAGTAATTAATGGTAATTAGTAGTAGTAATTGATAGTAATAATTAAAAATAATTAATAGTAATTAGTGAAAGTAATTAATTGTAATTGTCAATAGTCATTAATAGTAATTAATGGTAATTAGTCGTAGTAATTACTAGTAATAATTAATGATAATTAGTTAAAGTAATTAATGATAAGTGGAAATAGTCATTAATAGTAATTATCAGTAGTACTTAATAGTAATTAGCAGCAGTACATACTAGTAAAAATTAAATGTAATTAATAGTAGTAATCACTACTAATTAGTAATAGTAATTAGGAAAGGTAATTAATAGTCATTGGCAATAGTCATTAATAGAAATTATTAATAGTAAGTAATGGTAATTAGTAGTAGTAATTACTAGTAATTTGTAGCAGTACATACTAGTAATAATTAACAGTAATTAATAGTAGTAATTACTTATTGTAATTAATAGTAGTAATTACTTATTGCAATTAATAAAATTAATTAATAGACATTGGTAATAGGAATTAATAGTAATTAATGGTAATTAGTAGTAATAATTCCTAGAAATTAGTAAAAGAAATTAATAGCTGTTGGTAATAGTAATTAATAGTAATTAATAGTAACAGCAAATTAATTTTTTACTTACTTCTATTTTGATATTTCATTTATTTATGTTTTAATTTTATCCATTTACTCTTATGTTTATCTCTTTATTTATATCCCTTTCTTTCTTCTATTTGTTTCTAAATTTAACTTCTAGGTATTTATATCCGAATTTCCTGGCTTTATTCCTGTAGTTGTCTTCAATTTGTTTATAATAGTTTTTTTATGTCTTCAATTTAATTTCTATTTTTAACTTTTATTCATTAAAACATTTCTTCTATCTTTTTGTTTCTTCTTTTACATTTTCTTAGTTTTTTTTTCTTAGTTTCTTACATTTTCTTCAAATCTTCATGTTTTTAATTTTCTTCTGCAGATAGAAAAGAAAAGATAAATTATAAATTATAAAATAAATAAATAGTTACTAAATAATAATAATGATAATAATCACAATAGTAAATTGATAATAATAAAAGCAATGAAAATAAATTTTTAAAAAATTAATATTTAATTCTTCGTTTCTCAGTTCCAAAGGCCTATAAGAAGCCAGAATTCGTTGGAGAACTTCGAGCAATCCTAACGGAGACTGGAACCGTTTCGTTGGAATGCAAAGTCGTTGGAGTGCCAACACCATTGTTAAAATGGTTCAAGGACAATAAGGAAATAAAAGCAGGTGATGTTTTCGCCCTGACGGCTAACGTCGATGATCCAACATCTCTGGGTACTTATACTTGCGAGGCAACAAATTGCATGGGAACATCTTTCTCTTCTTCCAAGGTTTATAAGCAACTTTTATTTTCTTCTTGAATTCACAAAAATTTTCTGCTTTTCTCTTCTTTATTTCTTCTATTGTGGATTTTTATTGTTCTAGGTTCACGTTGTTGGAAAAGGAAGTAGAGAAGGATCGCTGAGACCAGCAGACACCTTGGCACCATCTGGACCACTTCCAATTTTCAAACAAATCCTCAAAGATGAATCCTGTAAAATTGGAGAGGCTCTGTGTCTTTCTTGCAAAGGTACGGTTTTCTATTTTTTTTTCAACAACTCCCAAGGATTTTTGATGATCTCTCAGTTTGCGATCACCCCTGATGATCTCTAATGATTTCAAAGAAGTTTTTCTAAATTTATTATGGTTTCCAAAGATTCCTGATAATTCACTAATGTGTTTAATAAAAATTGAATCGAGAATTTAGTATAGTAAATAATAAAATTTTCCAGTTGACGTTCCACCGTGGCCGAAGGAAATCCATTGGTACAATAAAGAAGGTAAAGTTGAAGCAAGCGAAAGATATCACATTCAAGCTGATGGTATAGGTGGTTATTCGATCGAAATAAATCCCGTCGAAGCAATGGACGAAGGAGAATGGAAATGTGTTGCAACGAGTTTCGAAAATATGAAGCAATTCACGACCTGTTATGTCGCCATGTCCAGTAAGCTTATTCAACACTCAATTAATCTTTATTATCATTATTATTTTCGATATTTTCAAATATCTCTTTTCTAGTTCCAAAAAATTATCGAAAGCCTCGATTCATGGAGAGCTTAAAGGCGATCTTAACAGAAGAAGGATTAGTGTCCTTTGAATGCAAAGTCGTTGGTTTCCCCACGCCCCTGTTGCAATGGTTCAAAGATGGACAGGAACTAAAGCCAGGGGATGTTTATCAGCTCACTGGTGCCAATTCGTTAGGTATTTTTGAATTTAAAAAGAAAATAAAATTCTTTATGATTTCTAATTTGCTAAAATATATAATTTCACTTTTATTCTTAATTGATCATCGATCACTGATCAACTGTCAGTGATAAATGATCAATAATCAACTGATCAATGATCACTGATCAACTGTCAATTTCAGGTTCTTATTGTTGTATCGCAAAAAATTGTATGGGTGAAGCTAAAAGTACAGCTGAATTAACGGTGGAAGACATTCAAAATCAGTTGAATGAAGAGGAACGTCTTCAACTTTTGAGTACAAATCAACCACCAAAATTCATCAGGGGCCTTAGAAGTTGCGAAGCCAAAATTTGTGATCATTTCCGATTCACTGTTCAAGGTATAATTCTACATTCAATTTACAATTCGATCAAATGGTTTACACTTAGTTGGAAAATTAATTATGTTTTCAAATTCTCCGATTAAGTGAGTCTTGCACCTGCGCCAAGTCTATTTTGGTATCGAGATGATTCTCAAGTTGATGAGAATGACAAATTCAGAATAGAGAAGGAATCATTGGGAACGTGTCATCTAGATGTGCAGCGTCTTGACTTTGTTGATCAAGTGAGTTTCAATTATTATCGATACTTCATCAATGATCTTTATCATTGATCAACGATCAATGATAATTATTATCAATGATCAGTTATGAACGATCAATTTTCAGCGTTTATTGTTCAATTATCAACGATCAATAATTTATAATTAACGATCAATTATTAATTTTTGTTATTAGTGTTTAAGGATCAATGATCTATCATCGACGATAAAAGATTATTGATCAATAATCAATGATTAATTTCAGTCATGATTGATCAATAATCATTGATCAACCTTCAGTGATTGATGATCTATAATCAATGATCAATCAGTGATTGATGATTCATCATCAATGATCAATGATTAATTATAGTTATGGCTGATCAACAATCAGTGATTAAGGATTAGTTCCACTTATCACAGCTTGATATGACGATTAACTAACAATTGATGATTAATTCACCAGGCTGAATGGAAATGCGTGGCGAGCAATGATTACGGACACAGTGTGACATCCTGTTTCCTGAAACTGATCATTCCAAAACATTATAAGCAACCGAAATTTCTAGAAAACTTGAGAGCAATTCTCTCCGAAGAGGGTGCAGTTAATCTCGAGTGTAAAGTAATTGGAGTACCTCAGCCAACTTTGAAGTGGTTCAAAGATGGTGCTGAGCTGAAAGCTGGCGATATTCACAGGATAACATCAGGACAAGATGGTACCTGCTGCCTAGGAACCTACACCTGTGAAGCCTCAAATTGCATGGGAAGTGTGAGCAGTTCAGCCTCCCTGCTTGGTTTCGAAGATCGAGTTGTCACATCACCAGGGAATGGAATTCCAGCCCGGCCATTCTCAGCCTTTGATCACGATCGTGAACTAGCTCGCAATCTCTCCCTATCAACAATTCACGAGGAGAGAACATCTCAATTGTACGACACCATTCAAACCGATCAATCAATCACCGTTGATGATCGCGGCGAAGTCTCATTCAGCTTCGATGGAAAAGAAGTCTCCGTAAGTCTCTACGAAACACCCGATCTCACCGAGGAGGAAGCCATTCAAATTGTCGAAATGTACGCTGATCAACTCTCTGAGCATGTCACCTCACACAATATTATCGAACTCCCACCCATGAGATTCATGAAGGAGACTTCAAATTCGGGTAATTTATTGATGGAAGCAGTTGTCATTGACGTGTCCCCGGAATATTTTGTCTCTATCGAAGAAGGTGATGATCTACGAACTGAAGCTGACGTCGAGGATATGTCAATGATGGACGAGCAGACCACTATCTCATCGCCCCTACCGGAAATCATCTTCGCTGATGGTGATCGTCCACCAGTGAAACCTCCGAGGAGAAAATCAAGCGCCAGGAGCGAGAAGCTGTCTGAAAGTTATCACAGTGCGAGGGAACCACAAAAGAAAGACAGTTTCGAAATGGACGTTGACACTGAACCATTCACCGATGCTCTTTCATCAACCGACAGTAAGTTACAGAAAAATCAAGACTCCTTCGATTCCCTCACCAATGGCAAGAATCAAAAACCCCGAAAGAAGCGCTCGTTGATCGAAAAAACCCCATCCGAAGAATTGCCAGATGAATTGAAGAAGCTCAAACGGAGCGATTCGGCCGATCCGGTTCTAACCGGAAAATCCATTGATGACGAATCGGAAAAGCAATTACTGAACAATAAGGAAATGCTTCTGAACATGAATCAAGAACTAGCTGAACCAGCATTGATAATCCGGAATGCTTTGGTCGACTTCGATTTACTTTTATCCCTGGCCGAGTGCACTGATAACGAGCAGAATGCATTCATAACCGAAAATTTTGTCCAACCGATTCAAAGACTCTGCAATCAGATAAACATCATAGAGGCAAAGGCTCTAAAAGGTGCTGGCAAACGATCTCTAGCGCAAAACGTAAGAATCGCTGTTTTAGAAGCAATTAGCGGACCAACCGAAGAACTACTCCGGGGAATCGAGGTAATGAAGCGAAGAGGCGCCGACAATTTGAAACTCGATCCTGTCATTCTGGAACCGTTGGCTGATCCTGTTGATGAAATCCTCTCCGGATTGTCGAAGATAGACTACGAAATTTCCGGTCAATCAAAAAGCAAAGAACCGATCGTCTTGGAAAGAATGAGGAGAACTATCTCCTGGCTCGGGGAACGTCTCCAACAATCCGAGGAGTCATCAAACTTGTCAAACTCCCTAACAATGATTCATAGAACATTGAAAGAATTCGTAGATCAAGTACCATTGAATCCAGTCAATGGAACCTGGAGCGAGAACATCGATGCCGTTCTCATAGAATCTCTCTGTCGACCCCTGGAAGACTTGACCAGAACTTCAGCCGATATTCTCCAAGAGGTGAATCCAGAAGTCGCCAAACAAATCGCGGAACCTTTCGACGAATTGTTGACCAGACTCGACGCATTAGTTGTCGCACTAGAGGGCTACGAGACCGATAATCGGACCGAATTTGTCCTGGCTCTGAAATCTTCCCTAGTCGGAGCGGCGGACGAATTGACCAACATCTCCAAACCGTTATCCTTCGACGAACCTGGAACTCTATCCGAAGTGATTCTCGATCCCCTGATTGACGTCCAATCCTCGGTGAATTCGATCCTAAGAGTTATTGACGATCCCCGTTCGGAGAAGGAGATCCAAATTTCCCAAGTTCTAGGCTCATCGGAATTGATCATGACATTGACGCAATTACGCCAAGCTTTGTCGAACGCCGCACAAATAGCGACAACACTCAAGGAAGACGAGACGATCAATTCTTTGATCGACCTACGAGAACCCTTGTTCGATCTGCAAATTGCTCTGTCATCAGAATTACTCTACGAGGAAATTCCGATTATAAACAGCATCATTCCTCCTATAAACACACTGAAGAAGATGTTCTCCACGACTCTTGAGCACGTGAGCGGAATCGAGATTGTTAGTTCAATGAGTCCGATACTGGAGACACTGGGGGAAATACAGCAGCAGGTTCCCTTGATCATTGATCAGCTAATGATGATGGAAAGTCAACCTGACGAAATAGGAGCAAAAGTCGACAGGAGAAAGGAATTGACCGAAATTCTGGAGTCATTGGAAGTTGCCTCGCAACTGACCACCGTATTTTTTGATATTTCGACAATTTTGGAAAAACAGGAACGTAAGATTGGTGGAACAACCATAAACGATTCCGACCTCATCGCAAAATTAGAGGAAGTGAGAGAAAGTCTGGGTTCCACCACTGTCGCTCTAGGCAATCTTCCAATAAAACTGGACCTAAATGATGACGACATAATCAACGAGTTGGCCCAGTTGAGTGCACCGTTGATCAATTTTCAAAAAGAGTTGAATAAACGACACAATTTAGAGGAAGAAGAAGTTCTCCAGGGACTAAGAGAGCCGATTAGGCGGATACGAACCATAATAGAGAGTCTTGCCCAAGGAATAGAAAAACCTGAGAAAGTATTGTTGATTCTAGGTTTATTGGGTGACATCGAAGAAAACATCCTTGTACAAAGTTCAGGGGTCAAAACAATTCTTGAAAGTGAAGAAATCGATCTCGAGAAGGTGGAAGAGGTGACGAATTCGGAATTAAACGAAATGTTCCAAAAATCAATGGACCGTGAAAAAATGATCGAAATCGAACCGACAGGTATTAATGATGCTTTCTCTGAAGCAGTTGCTGGTGAATTTGCCGAAGCAGCTGAACAATTAGCATTGTCTAAAATAGCCGCTAGGGAAAATCAATTTGCTGATTCATCAGTAGTTGCAGAATCACAAAAATCATATGCTGGAGAAATAGAAGTAAAATTAACGGAATCAGACGTTTGTCCAGAAGGCAAAAAACTTCAAGAAGCTAAAATTGTTCAACAAGCTGATCAGGAAGGAATCACCAATCTTCCATCGATCCACACGTCGATGGAACTAACCGAAATTGAAAAAACTCAAGAAACTCCCACCGCTGAAGTCTCCGAATTAGCCCAAAAACCAAATGTCTATAATGTTGGAAGAATCGAAGATGTTTCGCAATTAGAAGATATTTCACCAATAGAAGCAACGAACATTGAAGAGATATCGCAGGAAATTAATAAATTAACCCAAATATCTGAAAGTAGAGAGAGTCATAACATTCCCGATCAGCCGAAAGTACTCCAAATGGGTGATTCTGATGAAATTACGAGAACCGAAGAACTCGAGAGTCTGGACGAGGATTCGATTTCCAAACAGTATGCGACTAGAGTTCAGGAATTGGCGAAAACGTTGCAAATAGCCGCTGAACAAACGGAACATTTTGATGATTCATTGCTCTCAAGTCTGAAAGACAGTAAAGATATTTTGAATTTTAAACTACAGGAATTGCAGGAATCTTCCGATTCTATGAAAATGGAATCAGTGGATGTTATGCAGAGAGAAGAACTGAAGGAGCTGAGGGAAATTGATCAAGACTCCGGTTTAATCGATGAATATGAAACCAAAACGGAAAGAGGTTTAGGTTCTGAAGTATCATTGCAGGAAGCGGTGAATATTACGGATTCACCACAGGTTTTAAAAATGCCAATTGATGAAGATATTTCTTCGTTATCTGAAGAAGTTGTGGGAATTGATAGAGAGACAAAGGATCAGATGGCAATGATGGAAGTTGTTCAGGATTTGTCGACAATTGATTCTTCAAGACCGGAAGTGTTGAAAATAGGAAAAGTGGAGCAGGAGAATGGAGGAAGGATGGAGGAAGTTCAGAAGAGTCAGGATGATCAGGAATTTGATCAGCAATTTAATGGAGAAGGACTGGTAGTTGGTGGAAATGAAAAATTACTCTCGGGAGCAATTGGAGTTAAGCAGGAAATTTTAGATTTGGCTCAAACGGAAGTTTCTGGAGAACTTGATGAAGCAGCAGGATCTTTAGGTCCAGAGAAAATGGGAATTGCTGAAGATGCCAAGGAAACGATACATTTGGAATTAGATAAAATGTCTGCAACTGTGAATCAAGAAGATTTATTAGTTGGTGATGAACGAAGAAAGGATAACAAGGAATCAGCTGAAACTTCTGATCCATTAGTTGTTACAGCAACTGCAGAATATCAAGAAAAAAATAAAGAATCGAAACAATCAGAATCAGCTGAAATATCTGCTCCATCAGGTGATGCAGCAGACCATCAAGAAGAAGATAACAAAAAATTGAAACAAGCAGAATCAGCTGAAACATCTTCTCCATCAGCAGTTGCAGAAGATCAAGCAAAAGGTAACGAATCGAAACAATCAGAATTATCAGAAATATCTGTTCAATCAGCTGATGCAGCAGTAGCTGCAGCAACAACAATTGAAAAAGAAGATATCAAGAAATCAACACAATTAGAAGCAGAACAAGCAGCAGCTAAAACATCATCAACTGAAGCACAAGAAGCTTCATCAATCGACACACTAACAGAATCACCAAAAATTACAGAACCATCAAACATTTACAATGTTGCCAAAGCAACAGAATCTTCAAAATTGGAGGAAGCAGATTCTTTAACGGAAAATTTGCCCGAAGCTAAAACTCTTCAGGCAGTTGTTGATTCAGCAACGAGTCTAGAAACTGCAACAGATTTACAAAAATCAAACGTTTTGCAGTCTTCGTCAATCAATGAACCTATAACCGAAGATATGTCAAAGGAATTAAGAGAATTGTCAGAAAGAGAAGAAATCTTAAACCTAGCAGAAGAGAAACTAGAGGAAATCAAATCAACCGCTCGTACAGAATTACCGGAAGTGTACAGTATGGCAAAAAGTAAAGATATCTCCCAATTGGAAGAAGAAGAACCAAAAACTTTAGAACCAATCGATCAGGAATCAGAAAATCTGACCGAATTAGATGTTTCTGAAACATATTTGAGAGGAAACCAACTGATCTTCAATAAGCCAAACGTGTTCCAAATGGAAAACATCGAAGAAATATCAACAAGTGAAGATCTACAAAGTATAACTGAAGCAACTTTGTCTAAACAAGCACAAGAATTTGAAGAATCGGAAAAAACTGTTCAAATCGGTGCTGAACAAACGGAACAATTTAGAGATTCACTTGCTGAAAATTTGGACACTCAACCAGATTTGAAAGAAAATTTAATTGAAATCGTAGAATCTGAACGAACCGATTTCGTTAATATTCTCAAAGAACCATATCAAATTTTACAGAAAGAAGAAATAACAGAGCTCTCTGAATTTGATCAAACGGGAATAATTACTGATGAAAGTTCCATTGAGGGAGAGGAGGGAAAAATTTTAGAAACAGTTTCCTCGCACGAAAAATTCGAATTAATTGGTGCGCCAATTGTTTTGCAAATGGCAGTTGGTGACGATATTTCTTCACTGTCGGAAGAAATCTCAACTATGACGACTAAAGACGATTCAACCTTCCATGAAGCGATGGAACAAGAAGAAGTGATTGACATCCTGGATAAACCACAAGTTCTCCAAATGGCAATAGCAGAAGAAAGTGATCAGAGTTTTAGGGAAATTAACGAGCAAATGTTGACGAAATCTGTTGAAGAAGTTGTCGCTTCAATTGAAGAAATACCGGATGTTTTGAGTGTGGCAAATATGGAAGAGGCTAAAATTGAAGAAAGTGGTCTCGCTTCTGATATCGTTTCTACTGAAGAATTACAGGAAAATTCGAAGGTCGCAAATATCGAAGAAGCTAAGGCTGAAGAAAATGGTATCGCTTCTACTGAAGAAATACCGGAAGTATTGAAGGTCGCAAATATCGAAGAAGCTAAAACTGAAGAAACTGGTACTGCTTTTGGCATCGCTTCTACTGAAGAAAAAGCGGAAGTTTTGAGTCTCGCAAATATCGAAGAAGCTAAAACTGAAGAAACTGGTATTGCTTCTGCTGAAGAAATATCGGAAGTATTTAAGGTCGCAAATATCGAAGAAGCTAAAACTGAAGAAATTGGTATTGCTTCTACTGAAGAAATATCGGAAGTATTTAAGGTCGCAAATATCGAAGAAGCTAAAACTGAAGAAACTGGTACTGATTTTGGCATCGCTTCTACTGAAGAAAAAGCGGAAGTTTTGAGTCTCGCAAATATCGAAGAAGCTAAAACTGAAGAAACTGGTATTGCTTCTACTGAAGAAAGAGCAGATGTTTTGAATCTTGTAAACATTAAAGAAGCTAAAACCGATGAAGTTGGTAACGCTTCTATTGAAGAAAGACCAGAAGTTTTGAATCTAGCAAATATCGAAGAAACTAAAATAAATGAAGCTGAAAGTAAAGAAGCTAAATATGAAGAAGCTACAAGTGCAGATACTGGTATCGCTTTCACTGAAGAAATGCCAGAAGTTTTGAACCTCGCAAATATCGAAGAAGTTAAAATTAAAAAAGCTGAAATTCAAGAAGTTGAAATTAAAGACACTGAAGATGCTGAAGCTAAAGAAGTTGGTACTAAAGATGCTGAAATTAAAGAAGCTGATACTAAAGATGCTAAAATTAAAGAAGCTAAAATTGAAGAAATTGTAGATTCATCGAAAAAAGAAACTAAAGACATTCATCAAATGGAAGAAGCAACAACAAAAGAAATTACAGATGATGAATCAAAAGATACGGAAGAAAGGCGAGAAATCTCCGAAGAGAAGATACAAATTCCAAAGGAACTAATCATCAAAGTGAGTAACAATCTGAACGAAGTTAAGCAACAAATAACGAACATTGTAGAAGAATTCGAACAAAGACCAGTAACAACTCCCTCATTGTCAGTCTCACAATTAGCAACCGCAATCGAAATGTTAAGGAGAACAGTTTCGAATATTTCTACAGAATTTGCAACAACCGCCGAAGAGTTTTCAAAGTCCGACTATGAAGCAGAATTCAGTGGTGAAGAATTGTGTGAAATTAACGTCAACGAAATTACGAGCGAATTAACAAAAATGCTGAAACCGTTAATGAAAGTTAGCGAAGCTTTGTCAGCAACACAAGAGTGTGGCGCTCCCGAATTGGTACTTCTCAACAAACTCAACAATCCGATTGAAAATATAAAACAAAATATCGTCAAATTGTTGATAGAATCTAAAATTGAATCATCATCGATAATCACTCTGACTCCAATGATTCAAGTTCTAGAGACTATCGAAGAAGAAATACCGCTCGCTCTAGATGAAGTGAAGTACAAATTGGAGATTGTGAATGTTCTGCATAATGTTATGAGACCATTGGATGTTGTCAGGGAGAGAATGAATGATCTGGACACGTCTGCTGAACGCACATTGGAAACGGATGTGGCTAATATTCTCGTGGGACCGACAAATTATTTTCAACGTGTTCTTGCTGATCTTGTGGAGAAATTTGAGGATGGAAATCATTCAGACGAACGGATGCGAAATGCAGTGTTGAAGCTTCATGGATTGGTGGAACCATTGTTTGAATTTCACAGTACATTGTCAGTTGTTAGGAGTAGTCGAAGAAGTTCGGTGATGGAAACGGAATTACTGGAGAAGAGGAAGAATGTTATTCTTCTATCAATTGAGGGCTTGAGTAATTCTTTGGGGGAAATAATCGAGAGTGTTGGAGGAAATGGAAGAAATGGCGATATTGATGCACTTTTGGATTCGTTGATTACTTTGAATGCGGCTATGTCATCTGTTCAACGACATGTTTGGTATGATGTTGATTATAATATTTAAATACTTAATTTTATTTCTAATTCTGTTCAAATTTTAACTCTGATTCTGATTCTCTTATTCTTAATTTAATTAGAATTAAAATCAGAACTAAAATAATAATTACAAACTAATTTTCAATAAGTAAAAAAATCCTTTATAATAAAGATTAATTATGATTTCAGCAAAGCGGAGTACAGCAGAAGAGTCAGTTGCATTGGAACACTTCAGACTAGAATAACACCCGCACTGAATGAACTCTTAGGCACAGTATCAACACTCCAGGAGAATCTTGATCAGGAAACTTTTGATATTGTCTCAAATCCACTGCAGACTCTTCAAAAACAACTTCAAATAGCTCAAACGCAGTTGAATGAAACTTCTGATCAACATCTCGATGAAGAAGCAATTGTCGAAGGTTTCATCTACCCGGCTGATAGACTTCTCTCATCCCTTAATGTTTTGAAAGAAAATCAACAAAATACTGAAATAAAAGAAGATTCTTTGCGTTTATTGCAAACCCTACAGGAAGCTGTGGTAAATTTTGAATCATCATTGTCCACATTGCACAAAGAACTCATCACTGACAGTGAGAGTCAACAATTGTCAAAAGCTGAAACCCTAGGTGCTGTTCTTGTACCACTGAAGAGTATACACTCGACAATTGGATCAATTATCAAGGAGAGTGGAAAGAGTATTCAAACGGAAGCAAAAGACAATGGAGCAGATTCCAAAAGTGAAAAGATTCCAAAAGATGAAGACCAGACTCAAAAAGAAGAAAGTACCTCACTTCCGACTGTATTCACGACCGTTGAGACAATTATTGACGAATGTATCGAAATATCGAATTTGCAAACTGAAGCCTTGCTGGAAGTTGCGAGAGCTATTCCAAAAGCGGAAGTGGATGAGAGTCGATTGAACGTTGTTAAGGAGCAAACAGCTACACTGCATGATGAGGAATCTAAAGGAGTAATTCTTGAGGAGTCAGGAGAAATCAAGTTGGATGAAAAATCAAAAGAAGAAAAATTAAATATTCATCAAGCTTTGATAGTGGAGACAGCAGATATTTCAGAAGAAGGATCATCAATGCAGAATTTAGACAGAAAGGAGAGTCTTGTCGCATTTTGGTCTCTAATGGACGAACCACTAAATGCACTCAAGGAATCAATTGCCACAATCATTGACGAGCAGGTGAATTTGGAGGAAACTGGAAAAATTGATGAAGCAAAAAGTGAAATGATCCTACAATCTGAGGTAGTTCAGCAATTAACTGAACTGCAATCGTCAATAGCTGCTATTCAGGAATTGACTCTATCGGAAGCTGACCGATCGGAAGAGGTCACTTGGCAGGAGGAGAGTTTTCCTGCTTTGCAAAATTTAGCGAAAGCTTTGGAGAAGTTGGGAGAACATTTACCAGTGATGGAGACAATCGAAATTGAAGAAGTAGCTTCTAGCTTGGCAGATGATACAGTGACGGCTGATAAATTGAAGACATTGGTGCAACCTCTTCAGGAATTGAGAGAATCACTTGCACTATTAGTGGAAGATAATGTATATCTAGAACAGGAATCAGAGAGTGTGGATGAATTATCGCCTATGAAACAGGAAACGGTGGGAATTGTTATCGAAGATGAAAATAAATTGGTTGCTGAAGAAACCATATCTAAATTCAAAGTGGAAGAAAGTATTCAGAAGAAAGAAGAAGAACGAGATGAAGGCCAAAGAGAGATTGATGATGAGGAGGTAAAACGAGTAAAAGAAGAGGAGAATTTGAAGCAGAAGGCTGAAGAAAAAATTATGAAGGAGAAGAAAGAAGAAGAAGCAGAAGTAAAAGAAGAAGGAAAAGAAGAAGAAGTAGAAGTTAAACAGATTAGAGAGAAAAAGGAATTAAAAGAAGAAATTGAGAAAATGAAAGAAACTGACGAAGAGCAATTGAAAAAAGTACAAGAAGACAAAGAAAAAGTAGACAAAGTACAAGTACAAAAAGAAGAAAAAATAAAAGACGAAGAAGAGCAGAAAAAAGATCAAGAAGAATTGAAAACTGTGGACGGTGAACAGAGTCTAAAGCAGGAAGAAGTGATAAATAAGAAGAATGAAGAAGAAAGAAAACAAAAACTCGAAGGAGAAATTATAAAGAAAGAAGAACAACTACTAATGAAGGAAAAAGAAGAACAAGAAAAGGAAAAAGAAGCAGTAAACAAACAAGAGATAGAAACAAAGAAGAAGATAGAGGAAGAATTGAAAAGTCGTGAAGAAGAGGATCGTATAGAAAAAGAAAAAGAAGAAAAGGAACGTGAAGCAGAAGAGAAAAGAGTTGAGGCTGAGAAGAAAGAAGAAGATGACAAATTAAAGAAAGAACAAGAGCGTGAAGCAGAAGAAAAAAGAATTGAAACTGAGAAGAAAGAAGAAGAGGAGAAATTAAAGAAAGAACAAGAACGAAAAGAAGAAGAGGAAAGAATTGAAGCCGAGAAGAAAGAAGAAGAGGAGAAATTAAAGAAAGAACAAGAACGTAAAGAAGAAGAGGAAAGAATTGAAGCTGAGAAGAAAGAAGAAGAGGAAAGATTAAAGAAAGAACAAGAGCTTAAAGAAGAAGAGGAAAGAATTGAAGCTGAAAAGAAGAAAGAAGAAGAGGAACGTTTAAAGCAAGAACAAGGACGTAAAGAGGAAGAAAGAAGAGTTAAACGTGAGGCGAAGAAGAAAAAAGAAGAAGAGAGATTGAAAAAAGAACAAGAGCTTAAAGAAGAAGAGGAAAGAATTGAAGCTGAGAAGAAAAAAGAAGAAGAAGAACGTTTAAAGAAGGAAAAAGAACGTATAGAAGAAGAGGAACGATTGAAGAAGGAACAAGAAATTAAAGAAAAAGAAGAAGAACGATTAAAGAAGGAACAAGAACTTCAAGAAGAAGAAAGATTAAAACGCGAAGAAGAGAAGAGAAAAGAAGAAGAGGAAATTAAACGTCAGGAGGAAGAGCAAAGATTAAAGGAAGAACAAGAACGTAGAAAAGAAGAAGAAAGACTTGAAAAGGAGGCTGAGGAGAAAAGAAAAGAAGAGGAACGTATAGAGAAAGAAAAAGAACTCAAGGAAGAAGAGGAAAGAATCAAGCGCGAGACAGAGAAAAAGAAAGAAGAAGAAGAACTACTAGCAAAAGAAAAAGAAGAGGAGGAACGATTAAAGAAGGAAAAAGAACGTATAGAAGAAGAACGATTGAAAAAGGAACAAGAAACCAAAGAAGAAGAAGAACGATTAAAGAAAGAACAAGAAATCAAGGAAGAAGAAGAAAGAGTAAAGAAAGAACAAGAAATCAAGAAAGAAGAAGAACGATTAAAGAAAGAGCAAGAAATCAAAGAAGAAGAGGAACGGTTAAAGAAAGAACAAGAACTTAAAGAAGAAAAGGAAAGAATTGAGGCTGAGAAGAAAAAAGAAGAAGAGCGTCTAAAGAAGGAAGAAAAACTTAGAGAAGAAGAGGAAAGATTGAGAAAAGAACAAGATTGCAAAGAAGAAGAAAGGTTAAATCGTGAGGCAGAGAAAAGAAAGGAAGAAGAGGACCGATTGAAAAAAGAACAAGAGCGTAAAGAAGAAGAGGAAAGACTTGAGGCAGAGAAGAAAAAAGAAGAACAGGAACGTTTAAAGAAAGAACAAGAAGAAGAAAGATTAAGAACAGAAAAAGAACGTAAAGAAGAGGAACAAAGAATTGAACGTGAGGCTGAAGAGAAAAAACAGGAAGAAGAACGATTAAAGAGAGAGCTAGAGCGTAAAGATGAAGAGGAACGATTAAAGAAGGAAAAAGAACTTAAAGAAGAAGAGGAACGATTAAAGAAGGAAAAAGAACTTAAAGAAGAAGAGGAACGATTAATGAAAGAAAAGGAACTTAAAGAAGAAGAGGAACGAATCAAACGCGAGGCAGAGAAAAAGAAAGAGGAAGAGGAACGATTGAAAAAAGAACAAGAGCGTAAAGAAGAAGAAGAACGATTAAGAAAGGAACAAGAACTTAAAGAAGAAGAGGAAAGAATTAAAGCTGAGAAGATAAAAGAAGAAGAGGAACGTTTAAAGAAGGAAAAAGAACAAGAAGAGGAAAGATTGAAGAAAGAACAAGAACTTAAAGAAGAAAAGGCAAGAGTTGAGGCAGAAAAGAAAAAAGAAGAAGAGGAACGCTTAAAGAAGGAACAAAAGCGCAAAGAAGAAGAGGAACGCTTAAAGAAAGAACAAGAACGTCTGGACGAAGAGAATCGATTGAAGAAGGAACAAGAACTCAAAGAAGAAAATGAAAGAATTGAGGCTGAAAGGAAAAGAGAAGAAGAGGAGCGTGTAAAGAAAGAAAAAGAGCGTATTGAAGAAGAGGAGCGATTGAAAAAAGAACAAGAACTGAAAGAAGAAGAGGAAAGAATTAAAGCTGAAAAGAAAAAAGAGGAAGAGGAAAGGATTGAAGCTGAAAAGAAAAAACAAGAAGAGGAGCGTTTAAAGCAAGAACAAGAACGTAAAGAAGAAGAAAAAAGAGTTAAACGTGAGGCAAAGAAAAAAAGAGAAGAAGAAGAGCGATTGAAGAAAGAACAGGAACGTAAGGAAGAAGAAGAAAGAGTTGAGGCTGAGAAGAGGAAAGAAGAAGAGGAACGTTTACAGAAGGAACAAGAACTCAAAGAAGAAGAAGAACGTTTGAAATTAGAACAAGAACGTAAAGAAGAAGAAAGGCTTAAACTTGAGGCTGAGAAGAAAGAAGAAGAGGAGAGAATAAAGAAAGAACAAGAGCGTGAAGAAGAAAATGAAAGAATTGCAGCTGATAAGAAAAAAGAAGAGGAACGTTTAAAGAAAGAACAAGAACGTAAAGAAGAAGAGGAAAGAAATGAAGCTGAAAAGAAAAAAGAAGAAGAGGAACGTTTGAAGAAAGAGAAAGAAGTCAAAGAAGAAGAGAAAAGAGTCAAACGTGAGGCAAAGAAGAAGAAAGAAGAAGATGACCGATTAAAGCAAGAACAGGAGCGTAAGAAAGAAGAGGAAAAAGTTGAGGTTGAAAAGAAAAAAGAAGAGGAAGGAGTTAAGCTTGAGGATGAGAAAAAGAAAAAAGAAGAGGAACTAAAACGTCAAGAAGAAGAGGAACGATTGAAGAAAGAAAAAGAACAGAAAGAAGAAGAAGAAAAACTCGAAGCCGGGAAGAAACAAGAAGAAGAGGAACGTTTAAAGAAAGAACAACAACGTAAAGAAGAAGAAGAAAAATTAAAACTTGAAGCTGAGAAAAGGAAGAAGGAAGAAGTAGAGGAACTTAAACGCCGAGAGGAAGAGGAGTGTTTAAAGAAAGAAGAACAATTGAAACTTGAATCCGAAAAAAAGAAAAAAGAGAAAGAAGAGTTACCAAAAAAAGAAGAACAAGAACAACTAGAATCCAAGACTGTCGATAGGAAGAAGGATGCAAAGGAAAAAGTCAGAAGAAAATCAAAGGATCAGAAACGCAAAGGTTCTGCAGAAGCACTGAAAGAAGAAACTGAAAAAACAATTAAAGCCAAAGATAATGGTTTGAAAGACGATGTTGAGCAAAAGGAGAGTTCAGCAGACAAAACTCCAGCAGATGATCAATCCATCATTAAGGATACTAAAAAACCTGAAGAGGAAGTTCCAGAAAAAGATAAACCAAAAATTGAAGAAACAAAGAAAACCAAACGTAAGGCATCCTTGAAGCAATCAAAAATTGAAAAAAGCAGTAAAGTCGAAGAAAAATCGCAAACTACCGAAAATGGAGAACAAAATGGATCACAAATTGAAACAAAAACTGATTATTCCAAAACAACAACTACAGATACTGAAGTACCTAAACAAAAATTAAGACGATCCTCAAAACAATCGAATCAAGAGGAAATTGTCTCTTTAGAGAAAATGGAAAAATCCCAAATTGAAAATGGAGCCAGCACAAAAACAATTAAATCTTCAACAAAAGAAATGCGTCGAAGAAGTAGCACAAAAACATCATCTATTGATGATTCTCAAGACTCTGGACTCAGGAAACGAGAAACTGATAAACCCAGGATAACAGATGATCACGAACGAAAACGTCTGTCAGATTATCAATCCGATGATTCTTCTTCGAATACGATAACTTTGGGTCGAGAGGAAAAATCATCAGCTAGGGAGAGAATCAGGCAGGAGCCGGAAAGATATTCCAGAACTGATTTCAGTTGTTCTGAAAGGATCACTCCTTCAGCCTCCTTCAGGAGCACGACGACTTATTCAGAGTACTCAGCAACGGTACATTCGAGGCAAAGTAGAGAAGATTATTCCACTCTTCGTCCAGCGGTTGTTCAACGAAATAAATCCTACGACAGGGAACGTTCAAGATCATCAAAATATTATGAATCACCAATCAGTTCCTCGACATCGTTTCTAAGACCCACTGAACGTTCCATTTATGTTTCACCCACTGTTCATTATACCCGCAGAAGACCTGGTAGCGTCAGTCCTAGTTTAATTCCGGAAATTGATTCGTCAGCCTATTATTTATCAACTGAAGGAAGTTGCACACCAGAGGTAGGAAAATTAATGATAACTCTGATGAATTGAAAAATAATCATCAAAAACAAAAAAGAACCGTCTTTTCTGTTTTTGATGATGTTTTCCAGAAACTTTGGGAACAATTTTGAAATTTCGAAATGATACCAAGATAGCAAGTAATCTTGCAGCAATCTTGGTGAAAGCTTGCCCCAAGATTACTGCAAGATTACCTACTGTTTGGTTTATTGGAATTTGAACTTATCTCCATTTTTCAGAAAAGCTCCATCGATCGAGCAAAGTGTCCCTTTTTCTGTACAAAATTAACGAATCGAACAGTGGCCGAGGGTTCGAGATTGAGATTAACTTGCACGGTGATTGGTCAACCGGATCCTGATGTTCATTGGACGAAGAATGGCGAGAAGATTCGACCTGGAAGTCGTGAGCGGATCAAGTTGGAAAATGGATTGGCAATTTTGGAAATAAATTCAGTTCTTCCTGAGGATTCTGGATGTTACGTTTGTGTCGCGAAAAATTCTCATGGCCAATCAATCAGTGAGGCTGTGGTGAGGATTTACGCCGCGTTCGAAGCCATACCATTGCCTCCAACTTTTACAAGTTCCATAAAAGGTGATTTGTTTGTTTAATCTTGTTTCGATGATAACATGATTTTTAGAGTTTAGCCTTACTATTTTGTTACCACTGCTTGATGATCATCTGATCATTAATGATCAACTGATAAATAATGATTAACTGATGAGAATTGATCAAAGGATCAGCGTTGATTAATTGATCATGTATCAGCTATTGTTAATCTGGTGGATTTTAGAAGGTACTGATCATTGTTAATCACTTGATCAATTAATGATTATAATATAATGATCATGACTTTATCAGAAACAGGTGAATCACTAATAAACAAGTAAATTAGCTATTGGTGATCAGCTAATGTATTCTAGAAGATACTTGATCATCACTAATCACAAGTAATGATCAGAAACAGGATCAGAATCAGCTGAATCAATAATGATCAAATGAATCAGCTATTAATGATCAACTGATGATGATTGACGGTTTGTTGCAAACACTTAATCATTGCTATCACAATTCACAACTGATCATTATTTAATCAGAAATAGCTGAATCAATAATAAACAAGTTGATCAACTTGATCACTATCCATTAGAGCAGAAAAAATTAATATTTTAAAAGATAATTTTAATTTTTTTAAAGATAAAAATTGAATACTTGACGATAATCATTTTTTTGAGGAGAAATTAAATTTGTCCGCAGATACTTATAGATTCTCAGATCATGAATTGATCCTGGAATGCAGAGTTCGAGGACAGCCAACGCCAACTATAACGTGGTTGAAGGATGAGATTGAATTGCGAGGAAATCGTTACAATCAAAGTTTTCTTGCTGATGGTATTTGCCGTTTGAAAATTGCAAATCCAGATGCATCAGACAGTGGTGAATATGTTTGTCGTGCTGACAATGATGTACGAAAGGATCAAATTCGTCATATTGTTCATTTTGAAGGTAGATTCTTCTTTTCGTTGCTCGACTTCATTTTCTCTCTGCTTTCTTCTTATTCTTCTTTTTTGTCTCCATTTTTTCATTTTTTCCTTTCTCCTTTTTATTCTCTTCTCTTATTTTTCCTTCTTCTTCTTTTCCCTTTTCTTCGTTTTTTCCTTTTCCTTCTTATTTTCTTCTTTTTCTTTCTCTATTTTATTATCTTCTTAGTTCTTTCTCCCTTTTCTTTTCTTCCCTATTTTTAATTTATTCCTCTTTTTTTTCCCTTTTCTTTTTTTCTTTCTTTTTATTTTCTTCTTTTTTCCCTCTTCTTCTTTATTTATTCTTCTTCTTTTTGTCTCTATTTTTTGCCTTTTTTTCTTCCTCCTTCTTATTTTTTTCTTCTCTCTTTTCTTTCTTTTTATTTTCTTCTTTTTTTTCCCTCGTCTTCTTTTTATATTCCTCTTTATTCAGTCTCTATTTTTTCTTTTTCCTTTTTATTTTCTTCTTTTTTCGTCTTTTTCTTATTTCTCTTTTTTTTCTTCTTTCTTTTGTTCTTTTTATTTTCTTCTTTTTTCTTTCTTCTGTTTCTTTTTCTTCTTTTTTTCTCCCTCGTCTTTTTATATTCCTCTTCATTCCGTCTCTATTTTTTCTTTTTTCTTTTTATTTTCTTCTTTTTTCGTCTTTTTCTTATTTCTCTTTTTTATTGTCGTCTTTCTTTTTATTTTTTCTTTCTGCTTTTTTTCTTCTTCTTCTTTTCTCTCTGGTCTTCTTTTATTATTCTTCTTTTCTCCAACTCCGGTTTTCCATTTTTTCTTTCTTCCTTTTTATTTCCTTCTTTTTTCTTTCTCCTGTCTTTCTTTTTCTTTCTCTGTTTCATTTTCTTGATTTTTCTTATCTTTTTTCTTTTCTTTGTTTTTTCTTCCTTTTTACTTTCTTTTTTTTCTTTCTCCTTTCTATCTTCTTCTTTCTCTGTTTTATTTTCTTCTTTTTTCTTTCTCTTTCTTATATTTTTTCTTTTCTTTGTTCTCCTCTTCCCATTCTTCTTTCTTTTTCCATTTTTTTCTTCTCCTTATACTTTGATACCTTTATATTTTACAATTTTGATAGCTTCATCAGTTTTGAAAAATTCGTCCAATAAAAATTAAAATGTGATGTAGAATATAAAAATGCGGAAAAGTAATGAAAATAATTTTGAATGAAGGTCACGAGCAACGATTCACGAGCGCACGGGAACGTATTCTGTTTGACGATAGGAATCGAACTTCCACTAGAGAGATTGGTCGACGTCCATGTTTCTCCAGTCATCTCATGGATCACAGTGTTCCGGTCGGTGGTACCATTGCCTTACAGGTTGAAGTTGGAGGTAAATTTTTTTGATTCAATTTTTTTTTTTTGAATTAATAAAATTAATGAATTTGTTTAATTACTTAATTAATTTTCTGATTCATAATCAGGAACGCCAGCACCAAAAGTAACGTGGTTACGTCGTGATGATGAGAGGAGGGAAAGATCTTTATGTTCGAAATTCCGTACATTTACGGAGTCGGGTGTTCATACGTTAATTTTACCGGAGGCATCGGAATCGGAAGCTGGAACCTACGTTTGCAGGGCGTCGAATGTCTTTGGTCAGACGGACACAATTGCTAATGTTGAAGTTCTTGGTCCAACCAAGTTCGACGCTAATGGAAAACCCGCAATGTTCATTTCTCGACCCGCTGAGAAGACAATTTCTGCTGTTGTCGGCGAAGACGTTTCTGTTTCATTCAGATTGGCAGGAGTTCCAAAACCACGTGGTGGGTTTTTTTATTTTTAAAAATAAATGGTTTTTTAATTTTTAATTAAATTTAATATTTTATTTTCTATTTTAATTCCTACAGTATTTCCATATTATTATTTTTATATTTTTATTTATTTTATTTTTTAATCTGTTTGTTCATTTATTTATTTTCTATTTATTTTCTATGTCTGTTAAGATTAAAAAAATTAAATTAGGGTAATGATGAAAATTTCACTACTAAAAGTAAAAAAATTATAACTTTTAAAAATGAAAAATTGTAATATAGTTACTTTTCAAGAAATGTTTAATCATATGTAAAAATGATAAATTATCTTCATGTCGTAGTAACGTGGATGAAGGGATTACGAGACATCACTAATGGACCGAGATCATGTAAAGATAATGTTGACGATTATGTTCGAATCACTCTCAGCAGAATTATTCCCGCCGATGAAGGTACTTATTGTATTTTGGCAAAAAATCGTTACGGATGTGATAGAGCATTTTTTTCAATCAAGGTATGTTTCTTCATATTTCACTTTCGTTTTAAAATTATTAATAAAAGTATACCTATTTTATTAATTGCATAAAAATGTTTAAAATATTTTTAGCAATTAATTATAGGTTTAAATTTTTTTATGTACTTAATTACAAATTCAATTTTTATTAATTAACTGCAGACTGATTTTTTTTACTAGTTGAATATAAATTTATTTATTTCTTAAATGCTGTTTAAATTTTTTTTTTAGTAATCTTAATTATATAGTAAATAAATTATTCGATTTATTTACTAATTGCATACAGATTTAATTTTGTTGCTTATATATATAGGTTTAATTTTTTTAAAGGTTTCGCTTTTCTATCAGTTAATTTTTCTGTTTAAAAAAATATATGTTTATTTTTAAACCAGAAAAATATTTAATTTGTTTATACTATGCAAAATATAATTTAAAAATTTCAAAGATTTACTATTTTCTGAATTTGGACTTACAATTTGTGATGATTTAAGGTGAAGCAAAGAGCGAGATCACTGACGCCGACGTTCTTAAGCGACATTGGAAATCATCTGTCGGAACATGAAAATGAAGAAGTATCTTTGAACATAAAAGGTAAATTGATTTTTTAAAAATTTTACAAAAAGTAAAAATTTTAATCTTATAATAATTTTCAATTTCAATTTTAATTTTCTCCATAAATTAAAAATTTTTTTTTTGGTTTATAAATCTATTTTAAAAATTTCATTTTTTACGATGTGGTGAAATATTTATTTCTCTAAATGATGAACATTTTCAGCAATCGATAATTTAAAAACATTATTAACATTATTAAATAATATTAATATTTTTAAATAATATTTTTAATTTATTTAATTAATTTTTATATTTTGAGATAATATTTATATTCTTTTATTTCACACTCTGAGAGAATAGAAATTTGCTTAAAATATCTTTCGTTAGTTTATTTTTTGCAAATCGAAGTTCACGATTAGAAAAAAAAAATGCTCGCGAAAAAGCATGCGAGTGAGAAGTTATTTTGAAAATGCAATAATTGCTTTTACATTTGAAGTGGCTTAAAATTTATTAGTATTCGCAAGAATGAGAAAAGTAGTGTGTGTGTAACATATAGAAAGAGCAATAAAAATAGCATAATAAACAAGAAAATTTTCACGCATAAACCCACCTACATTCTGAATTCAAAAATGAACACAAACCGTTGGGTTATTTTTGAGTTTAGAGAGACTCTCCCCTGCTACTCTCATATCTCCGGTCACTTCATCGGTAGTGTTCCAAAATTGAAATTCAGTTCGAGAGTTGAAATACGCGCGGGTCCTATTTTCCCACGAGTAGTCAACTTATCTATCTATATGCAAGCGGTCTAATTTCATGCACTGCATTTAATCTTATATTGCGTGTTCTCTTAAATTTTATCGTTGAAAATTTTTTTTTTGAATAAATTTTGCAAATTTAACATTGTTTTTATTGTTAAAAAAAATTATGAATATTCGTAAAGAAATTATTTCTTAATTGCGGTGGAAAACGAAAGAAAAAATTGATAATTATTGATTCGTAAATAAAATTAATAAATAAAAAGAAGATAATAAATGAAGAGATTATAAAAAGATACTAAATGAAAAGAGGCAGTAATAAATGAAGAGAGAAAATAAAAAATAAAAATAGAAAATTGTAAATAAAATAAATAAAAAATAAAATGTGTAAAAATAAAAAAAATTACAGATGAAAGTAATAAACAGTAAATAAAATACGTAAAAATAGTGGAAAAAGAATAAAAAAGATTTGAATGAAAAAATATTATTAGAGAAAGTCATTATAAGAAGCAATTATTGAAAGGAAAAAAATTATTTGGAATTTTTGTATTAAAAAAATATATGAAAATTATCGAAAAAAATAGTGATGTTTCATGATGGATAATGAAAATAATCATGAATCTATTAGTGATGAGAAGCAGAATTTAATCAAGCGCCTTCGACTTTCGTGGTTTAATAGAGAATGTTCGAGTCAAGAATTGGTGGATTTTCAAGGTTTCGTATCTAATTTTTGAACTTTTATAAATATTTAAATAAAAAACGAAAAATTTTAAAAATGATATTTAGAGTTAAATTAGTCTCCTTTTTTTTAAACATTTATTTACTTATTATAGTAGTAAATATTTTTAAAAAAGGAAACTAATTTAAATAAGTAAAGAAATAAAATTATTATTAATAATTATTAAACAACTAAATACGTAAAAGAATAAGTAAATAAATAAATAATTAAGAATTTTTAATTAATTTTAGTTTCAATTTTGTTCATTAAATAAATAAATAAATAAATAAGTGTTTAGAAATAACAATAAATTATTTTAATTATAATAATAATAAATATTTTAAAACATCATAGTTACAGAAAATGTTAAAAAATAATAAATTTACATTTTTCAATGTAGGTGTGATATAATAATTATTAAAAGGTGATTCTTCAGTAGATTATATAACGAGATTTAATATTCAAGAATATTTTGAAAAAACATAATTAATGAAAAATTATATTAGCTAAAAATATTTATTAACTAAAGAAGGTATTAACTAAAAATTTTAATAACTAAAAATTATTTTATCTAAAAAAATTAAACTAAGAATTGTAATAACCACAAATTATTTTATCTAAAAAAAATTAAAGTAAAAAAATTTTTTTTCAGATATTCCGGGACCAATTAGCAGCGAACCGATTGTTTTGGACAGTGGTAGAAATTGGCTGTCTTTGAGTTGGGGCAGAGCTGAGCAAAGAGGTCCGGCTCCAATTGTTGGTTATAAAATTGAAGCCTGGTTACTTGGAGGTGAAGGTGGTGCAAGATGGGTGACGGTAATTATTTTCTCTTTTCTCTGTTTCCTTTTTTTTTTTTTTTTTTTTTTTGAGAGGAAGAAAAAAATTACAAATCAACTTTTTCTTTCTTTTAAAATTTAGTTGGGTGAAAGTCCTATAAATTCGTTCGACGCTTTTAATCTTCGATCGGGAAGTGAATATAAATTTCGCATAACACCTAGAAATCGTTATGGCTGGGGTGAATCTCTCCTAAGTACAGAGACATTTACAGTTAATGATAATGTCGAAATTCCGGAATTCGTCAGAATTCTTCCTGGTCAAATCAAAGCTCTCGAAGGTACCACCGTTAAATTGGAGTGTGAGGTAATTTTATATTTTCCTATAATCTATGTTTTTTTTGTTGCAAATGTAATTAAATAAATATTTATTATTTTGTATTTATTATTATTTACAGCAGTTATTTATTTATTTATTTTTCTTTATTTGTTTTCTCTTTATTTTGGAATTAGAATAGAATTAATTTTTTTGATTCTACAAATTTTGCTCTACAACTCTTTCAATTTTATTTATTATTTATTTAGTAAAAAAAAATTGTTTTTAAATAATCATTAAAATTTATAATTGAAAAATGTTTATTTAAAACGAAGGTTCGAGGGGACTCGAAAATAAATTGGTTTCGAGAGAACAATGGAATTGATCCTAATGATGATCCAAGATGCACAGTTTCTCACAATGGTACCAAGTGTTCGTTAATTTTAAGTAAAATTCAAGAGACTGATTCTGGAAGGTATATTTGTGAGGCAACGAATAAAGCTGGAAAAGTTTCGACCTTCGCCAGATTGATGGTGGTGAATGATGAAAAAATTTTGCAGGCTGACGAAAAATTGAGGAGCAGGTAAAATTAGAGTGAAAACCACAATATTATAATAAGAAATAAATTAAAACCTAATTCAAATATAAATAATTCGAAATATTTCAAAAATTTAAATACAAAATCTTTAAATTATTCGACAATTTTTTAAACTGTTCAAAAATAGATTTTGAATATTTCAAAATATTTAAAAGTATTCAAAAACAGTTTTAAATATTTCAAAATAGTTTTAAATTATTTAAAAAAAATTTTTAATACTCTAAAATATTGTAAAAAATCACAAAATATTTTGAAGTATTCAAAAACAGTTTCAAATATGTCGAAATATTTTTAAAACATTCAAAAATAATTTAAAACGTTCATAAATAGTTTGAAATATTTTTAAATAATTAATAAGCACATAAAATGTTCTTTAATACTCCAAAATATTCCAAAATAGTTTTAAATACTCTAAAACAGTTTAAAATATTCTAAAATAGTTTTATATGCTTGAAAATAGTTTTAAAAATTCCAAGTTTTCGTCAAGAATTAAAATAGTTTAAAACACTCTAAATTAGTTTTAAATATTCCAAAATAGTTTTAAATATTCCTAAATAGTTTCAAATACTCCAAAATAGTTTAAAATATTCCAAAAAAGCTTTAAATATTCCAAAATATTTTAAAGTATTCTAAAATAGTTTAAAATATTCCAACATAGTTAAAAATATTCCAAAATAGTTTCAAATACTCCAAAATAGTTTTAAATATTCAAAAATAGTTTTAAATATTAAAAACAATATTTTAAACATATTTTTTTTTAAAAGATATTTCGATGGCGCAACTGTGGAGAGTCCTCCTCAATTTGCAATGAGACTACGAGACAGACGAGTACAGGCGAGCTATCCAGTGAGATTGACCTGTCAAGTTTTAGGATTCCCCGAACCCCAGGTCACTTGGTTCAAAAATGGCAAAGAAATTCACGAAGACGGTAAAAAATTATCAGAAAAATAAATAAATAAAAAAAAATTTTTATTTAAAATTAAAATTCTTCCCTGGTATAATTTTTCCTAAAAATTAAAAAAAATTCCAGGCTTTCACGCATTTTGGAATGACGAATCACATTTCCATACTCTCGAGATTTCCTCGTCGTCAGTTGAGGATTCTGGTTGTTACATGGCGACTGCAAAAAATTTATACGGCTCCGTTTCCTGCCGCTGCATGATCGTCGTCGATAAAGGAATTCGCGCTTACATTGCTCCGGAATTCACCTGCGGTTTGGATGCCGCCTACACCTTGAGACCTGGCGAGGAATTGCGAATGTCTGCTCAAATTGAGGCATATCCAAGTGTTGGTGTCGTTTGGTGAGCAACCAATTTTGCAAATTTCTGTTATTTATTCCTTTGTAGAACGATTAAAAAAAAATGTCCTTGTCAATTTTTGTTATTATTCTTCTTTTTTAAATTATTTTATCTTTTTTTTGTAATTTCTCTTCTTCTTCTTCTTCTTCTTCCTCTTCTTAGTATTCTTCTTCAATTTATTTGATCACTATTTTATTCTTCTTCTTCAATTTATTTCATCACTATTTTATTCTTCTTCTTCAATTTATTTTATCAATATTTTATTCTTCTTCTTCTTTAATTTATTTTATCTTTTTTTGATATTCTTCTTCTTCTTCTTTTTTAAGTTATTTTTTTAGCTTTTTTGTTATTACTCTTCTTCTTCAATTTATTTTACCATTTCTTTTAATCTTGTTCCTTAATTTATTTTATCTTTTTTTGTTCTTCTTCTTAGTATTCTTCTTCAATTTATTTTACTAATTTTTTCTTCTTCTTCTTTTATTTATTTTATCTTTTTTGTTATTATTCTTCTTCTTTTACTTCCTCATAGAGGAAGTATTTTAAATTATTTTATTTTTTTTGTTATTACTCTTCTTCTTTAATTTATTTTAGCACTATTTTATTGTTCTTCTCCTTTAATTTATTTTATTAATTATTTTTATTCTTTTTCTTCTTTAGTTTATTTTTTTTTGTATTCTTCTTCTTCTTTCTTAATTTTTTTATTTTTTTGTTATTACTCTTCTTCTTCTTCAATTTATTTTACTACTTTTTTATTCTTCTTCTTCTTCTTCTTTAATTTATTTTATCTTTTTTTGTTATTACTCTTCTTCTTCAATTCATTTAATAATATTTTGTATTCTTCTTCTTCTTCTTCTTCTTCTTCTTCTTCTTCTTCTTCTTCTTCTTCTTCTTCTTCTTCTTCTTCTTCTTCTTCTTTCATTTATTTTATCTTTTTTGTTATTACTCTTCTTCTTTAATTTATTTTACTAATTTTTTATTCTTCTTCTTCTTCTTCAATTTATTTTACTAATTTTTTATTCTTCTTTTATTTATTTTATCTTTTTTGTTATTATTCTTCTTCTTTTACTTCCTCATAGAGGAAGTATTTTAAATTATTTTATTTTTTTTGTTATTACTCTTCTTCTTTAATTTATTTTAGCACTATTTTATTGTTCTTCTCCTTTAATTTATTTTATCTTTTTTCGTTCTTCTTCTGAGTACTCTTCTTCAATTTATTTTATTAATTATTTTTATTCTTTTTCTTCTTTAATTTATTTTTTTAGTATTCTTCTTCTTCTTTCTTAATTTTTTTATTTTTTTTGTTATTACTCTTCTTCTTCAATTTATTTTACTACTTTTTTATTCTTCTTCTTCCTCTTTAATTTATTTTATCTTTTTTTGTTATTACTCTTCTTCTTCAATTCATTTAATAATATTTTGTATTCTTCTTCTTCTTCTTCTTTAATTTTTTTTATCTTTTTCTTGTTATTACTCTTCTTCTTCAATTTATTTTACTACTTTTTTATTCTTCTTCTTCCTCTTTAATTTATTTTATCTTTTTTTGTTATTACTCTTCTTCTTCAATTCATTTAATAATATTTTGTATTCTTCTTCTTCTTCTTCTTCTTTAATTTTTTTTATCTTTTTTTGTTATTACTCTTCTTCTTTAATTTATTTTACCATTTTTGGTATTCTTCTTCTTCTTCTTTAATTTATTTTATATTTTATTTTTTCTTCTTCTTCTTCTTCTTCTTCAATTTATTTTATCCTTATTTTATTCTTCTCCTTCTTTATTTCTAAATTATTTTATCTTTTTTTGGTTATACTTCTTCTTCATCTTCTTCAATTTATTTAATAATTTTTTTTGTTATTATTCTCCACCTTCAATTTATTTGTTTATCAATTTTCAATCTGATCCGAAGGCATCGCGATGGAGTTCGCCTTCGACCGAGTAGAAGAGCAGTGATGACCTTGAATCACAACGGAGCTGTTGAATTGTGCTTGGGCAATGTCACCAGCAGGGATGCGGGAATGTACAGTTGCACAGCGACCAATGAAGTCGGACGAGCGGAGACTTCAACCAGGGTTGATATTTCACTTGATGATCAAGAGACTTCCGGAGAAAAATTAATTATGGAACCTAGTTCTGGAATTCCGTTAGTATTTTCTTTCGTTTTACTTTTTATGACTATTAAGACCAAGAGATTACTTCAATTTTTTTCTTTTTCTTCAGTTATCAGTGGCAAAAGTTGCTTTTAATTATCATCAACAATGATTGATGATAACTTTCCCTTTAATACCTTTTCTTTCTTTTTTTTAATTATCAGTGACAATAGTTGCTCTTTATCTTCAGCAACATCTATTGCTGATAACTTTCCATATATTCCCTTTTCTTCCAATTCTTTCTTTCTCTTAAAGTTATCAGCGTCAATAGTTGCTGATAATTTCGCTTTTAATTGTTACAGTAATTGCTGATAAGTTTGTCTTGAATTATCAGATACAAGAAGCATTGATAACTTTTTCCTTTAATTAACAGCAGCGACAGTTTCTGATAATTTATTTATTTATGAATTTAATAATTCATTTAATAACAGCAATAATAGTTGCTGATGACTTTCCCTTCAGTTATCAGCATCAATAATTTTTGATAACTTTCGCTATAATTATTGCTGATACCTTCTCTTTAATTATCAGCAACGATAAATTAAAGTTTTGTTAAAAACTATCCCAAAAAATAGCAATGAAGGCAATAATATCAAAATAGCAATAATATCAAAATAGCAATAATATCAAAAATAGCCGAAGAAAAAGGAGTAAAAAATTAAAGAGAAAAGCAATTAGAAATTCAAAAAAAGCATTCGAAACACTCAAGAAGCACTTAATATATATTTGACATCAATTCCAATTTCTCGAGATGAAATAACTTTTTTTTTCAAAAGACATTTTATATTTTCGATCATCAGGTATTCACAGAAGCCTCTTTTCGTTACGAAACCACTTTCATCGGATGCTGTTGAAGGAGATACGATCATCATAATGTGCGAGGTCGTTGGCGATCCTAAGCCAGAGGTCATGTGGCTTCGTGATTTTCTAAAGGTGAGTTAGTCCTTTTTTTTGATGAAAGAGGGTATGTATTTTTTTGTGTCCCTCTTCTGAATACATTGTTTCCATTGTTTTCATTTTGAAGAAGCAAAAGAAAAGAAAGTCTATTTATATTATAAAACAAAGTTCGCGTATACACAATAAAAAAGTGTACGTTCATTGAACCGTCAACGGGTTGATAATTGCGGTGAGCATGAGGATTTTACGGGTGTGTGGTTTAAACTAGGAAAGATTACGTAATTTTTGGATGACGTGTCGTTAGTGTTGCTCTAATGTGGGTCAAGGGTGTCGCGAAAAGAAATATTATGCCCATGTAAGATGGATAATCGACGCCGTTGATGTCTGCCGCCTCAGACGTGCCTGTTATTATTCGTCAAGATACTTTTTATTTTCATTATTTATTTATCTTTTTTTCGATTCTTTTCATTCGTCACAAATTTATTTTTAAGCGCCATGCGGCGTGAAATATTTTAAAGGACTTTTTGTTATATTCATTTGCATCCTCTCTTGTTGAGTGTGATCAGTTCTTTGGAGGATTTTTTTTTGGTACAATCGCTAGTGGTTTTTATTTCTTGTTGTACTTTTTTGGATTTATAGATTGTAATTATTTTCTAGATTTAATAATAATAATAAAAAATAACAGAATTAATAATTATTAATTAATTAAATTTTTCTTTTTTTGAATTTTGCGCAAATATATTATTTCATTAAATTACCGCCTAGATGGCATGAAAATTCACTCACAAACGAAATGAATCAAGTATTTTCGCTTATTTTCTAATTTAATTTAATTTTTTTCTATTTTCTCTAATTTTATCAACTATAGAAATTATTTACAATATTTTTTATTTAATTATTGCAATTTATAAAAAAAATTTACATTATGATTAATTGTAGCAAAAAATTGCAACAAATAAACAAAATTAAAAATAATTAATTTAATAAATAATTAAAATTAAAATAATTAATTGATAATTCATTTAAATTAATTAAAAATAATAAAATGAACAAAATGTTTGTTTAAAAATAAACAAACAAACAAAAATTAAAAGTGGCCAAAAATTTACGATGAGATAAAATATAATCATGAAAATATAAAGAAATAGAAAAAATAGAAGAATATAGAAAATAGTAAAAATAGAATAAAATAGAATACAAATAAAAAATAGAAGCAAAAAAGGCAAAAAATTGTAAAAAAGTGATTTGAAAAAATCAGAACAAATTGGAAAAAGTTGGAAAAAATTCAAAAACAATTTTTCCAAAAAGCGCAATTGATTTAGGAGCTCATTAAAAATGTGGAGTAATAAAAATCTTTATAATGAGAGGGAGGCTGAGTGGTGTCGTGTCGATCCCCACTCTTGACAGATCTTCAAGTTAAGAGATCGGTTTTACAGTTGAAGGTGTAACGTCGCGTGCCGCGAAAGAGTCTTCGGAACGCGTTGGCGTTGACTGTCTATTGATCCGCGATTTTCGCAAAAACAACAATGAGAAAATAAACAAAAAATTATTTTTTTCAATTCGAAGCAAAAGAAAATTATAAATTCAAATTATTCCTTCTGAATAATTCAACCTTGTTTCGTTAATTTTCGTCTATTTAGTTATTTATTTATTTGTTGTTTCAAGTTTCAAAATTACAATGATGTTTAATTGTGATGAATTGTTTTTGCCCCCAAAATTATCCTTGAGGAAATTTTGAATCAAATTGGAAACGTAAGTTAAATAAATGTTTAGTTAATTTATACAGCGGAAAAAATTATATTTGATTCGAATAAGTAAATAATTAAAAATTAAATTAAATTATTAATTGATAATAAATTAAACTATTAAAAATTAAAAACTGGTTACAATAATTTAAGGATGAATAGAAATTAAAATAGCAATCAACAAAAATTAAGTAATCAATTAGTAGAAATTAAATTACATAATTAATAATTTATGCTAATTTAAGTAACGATTAATAAAAATGAAATTAACAATAAATAAAAAATTATAATAACAATTTAATACTAAATAGAAATTAAAATAGCAATTAACAAAAATAAAGTTTACAATCAATAGAAATTAAATTAACAATAATTTGTACAAATTAAGGTAACAATTAATAAAAATTAAAGTTAAAATCAATAAAAATTGAAATTGACAATTATTAAAAAATAAAAATATCAGTTAATAACAAATAAAAATTTAAGTAACAATTAATAATAATTTAAGTAACAATTAATCAAAATTAAAGCAAAAATCCAGAAAAACAGAAATAACAGTTAGTAATACTTAAAATAACAATTAATAATAATTAAAAAAACAATTAATAATAAATAAAAATTAATAATTATGAAATAAATTAAACAATTACTTAAAAATTAAGAAATAAAAATTTACCTTTTTATCCAAGCAATTTTTATTATAACTAAAATAATTTCTGAGGGAAATAATATTTAAACTATTGAAGTAAATAATATTTTTCCAAAAGAGACAATTTTTAATTGGAAAATGTTGTTAGTTTATTTAAATATTAGTTATTCGCCGCAAATAAAAATAAAAAACTCTAATAATAGACAAGAAATACATTATTTGCAATAAATACATTTTTTTCTACAAAAAAAAAAAATTTAGAACAAGATTAAGAAACCAAAAATAATAGAAAATGGCCACATTTTCTATTATTTTTGTTTTCTTAATTTTGTTCTAAATTCTATTTTCTTCTTAATTTGATAATTTACAAATTGAAAATAAATTACTCGAACGATTTCAGTGTCAATTAATTCATTAGGAGTCATTTTCCAATTCATCATCATCATCATCTGTGAAAATGGGCGCACTCTTTATACATATTTGGAAGATTTTATCTTGTTCTAGTACGCAAGGTGTTTGCAAAGAAAAACCTGAATGAGGTGTCATTTTTCGCGGATATAATAAGATCATTGGATAGAAAAAAATTTTAAATTATTTTTGTTTCTTTTTCTAAAGGGATATAGTTAGTATGCATTATATATACAATATGTATACGGAACTCTCGTTATAAGCAGGGGTCAATTAAATAATTTACTCCCTCAATTTTCATTTGATTTAATTGAGTATTTATCAAGTTAATTACTTTTTAAGGTTCATTTTAAACAAGTTCATCAAATGAAAAATGGTAAACTGGATAAAATGAACCGGCCAAAAACCGAACCGATTAAACTTTCGCTCCCTATATGGGCGAACGCATGTCCAGAGTTTATTTCTTAGACTTATCCGCGAAAGTGTATATGGGTGATTCTCCTGAAAGGGACCACTTCACGTGTCTCCAACATGAGGTTCATTATTTAAATTAATTTTTCATTAATATTTTATCATGTTTAAATTTTTTGAAAAATTTATTTATAATCTACGAAGATTTATCTATCTTTATATAATCTTCTATTGCTTATATTTAAATTTCTTCCTATTTAAAAAACATATTTAATTTTGTCATCGAATTTTGGTTAAACAGAATGTATATTTTATAATTATATTTTAACGTATTTAAACAATTTCAACATATTTATGATATATATCAAATTAAAGTTTAGAATATAAGGATTATTTTTTACTTACATTTGTTTAAAATAAGGTAAAAAAAGTTATTTAAATTATTAATTAAAATAGTATTATCAATGAGAGTAAAAATTAAATTCATCTCCGAAGCCTCATTTTCTATATAATAACATCATATTTTTTAACGTTTTAAACATAATATGTAATCGATGTGAAAATATTTGATGATTAAAACTAAAAATATTGTTTAAAAAATTGTAATATTTTTAAAATTAGAAAAAATGAGAATTTTTTCATTAAATTATCAATTCATCTCCGAAGCCTTTTTTATATTTGATAGGCGTTTTCTTTTGTTTTTAATTTTTTAATCATTGTTTTGAAATATTTAACCCTCAAATTAAATTATTAATTTAATAAAAATAAAATATACAAGCAAAAAGTGCAATAAATTAAAACATAACAATTTATTATTTAAAAAAAATATTCCTACCGAGTTTTTTTTACAAAATAATTAATTTAAAAGTTATAATTAATTATACTTAACCTCTAGAACACATGATAGTAAAATGTTCCTGGAGGTCTTATTTCTGAAAATTAATTTTGCGCAACTTATATTTTTATCTTTAAACATTTTCTAAACTTATTTATGAAAGAAAAGTAAGAAAAAAAGAATAATTTGATTTTTTGGAAATTCAACCAAAAAAGGGTCCCTTTCAGGAGAATCACCCATATACACACACAACGCTATTAAATGGCCATAGAAAATTAATTATTTTTATATTAAAAAAAAAAAATAAAAAAGAAAATTGTGACCTATTTTCAACATAGGTTTATTTTTTCGTTTTATGGAATTTACAATCTTTGGCATTCATTTGGTATTGATTGACACTTGCTTATTTTTCTCACACTGATTGAATTAATTTGATTTACTTATTATTTATATATTATTAATTAATAATTAGGTATTTATTATTAATAACTAATTATTATTTTTTATTTATTATCACTATTACTATATTATTATTAATATTATTATCATTATTATTATTATTATTATTATTATTTTTATTATTTTTATGCTTATTGTTATTTGCTGTTATTATTTATTAATTTTATAAATTGTTGATTTTATAATTATTGTTTTACATCTTTGTTATACTTACATTACATTATTTTTATAATTATTTTTATTCATATTTATTTATTTTGTTTATTATTTATTTGTTTATTTGTTTATTTGGTTGTTTCCCTCCTTTCTCTCCCTTAGTTTATTTATTTAATTAATTTATTTATTTTTGATATAAAGTTAAATTAAAAATTTTTTGTTGAATGAAACTCGTTAAGGATAATTTTGATTAACTTTTAAAAAGTAAATGAAGAACAAATTTTTGTTTTTTTTGCGGAATAAAATAACTGATGGGGAAAGTGATAATTACTCGTAATTCATAAAATACGATGGCATTTTAATGATTTGTCTTAAAGTGAAATTGCATAATTAATGCCCTGAAGAAATAAAATATGATCTGCGTCTACTTTAAAAAGTCTTTGCAAATTTATTTGGGAATTAAATATAAGAGACAGTATTTTTTTTTTTTTTTTTGATTGAATGAATGATAAATGCTCAAAAAAATGATTTACAATCAGATAAAAATTTCTTTTATCCCTTTACATTATATTTTGTTACTAGAGTTCAACAATTTAATTACAATAATTTTCTTGATTATAATAATAATATAATAGTTATGATAATTTTTAAAAAATTTTATTTTATTTAAAGCGAATTAAAAAGAAAGAAATATAATTAATTAATAAAATTGATGATTATTTGATTGAATTATTTTTTTACACTTCACCACTTTGGTAACCAAATTTGGATCATAAAATCACGAGCATAAAAATAGTTGGTAGCAAATATATAAATAAAACATCTCACTTTGCATTAATCTTTTACTATCGGGTAAAGGAATATTTCCTGAAACTCATAAATTTTTGCTATTATCAATGAAAAATTTTCCCGTAGTGAAGAAAATCAATAATAATAATAAAAAAAATATTAATAATAATAAGTATCAGTAATTCGAATGCCATGATCAAGGCAAAAACTGGATTCCATTAGTCTGATTTATTATGCCAACCTTGCGCGTCATTTTAATCCGTTGTACATTGCGTCGCGATAATTTTATTTACGTAAATTCAAACATCGTAAATTACTTAATTTTATCAATGAATAATTTTTTTATCCTTCATTATATGTACAAAAAATTATTTATTTCAATGAGCGAATATTTATTTTTTCAGCCCGATTATTATAGAGACGCAACACATTTTCGACGAATTGGCGCTGGTCCTCAATATCGACTTGAAATTCCATTTGCTAAACTTGATTTCACTGGGACTTATACGGTTATCGCGAAAAATTGTCATGGTGAAGCAAAAGCGATAATATCGTTACAAATATACGCAAAAGGTAGGGATTTATGTGTGAAAAATTAATTTTATTTTGGGGGTCGATTATGTAATTTTATTTTTATTTTTACTTTTAGTTTCATGTTTACATTAATAGATTTTCATTTTCACTTTTATTTTTACTTACACTTTGATGGATGTTTATTTTCAGTTTTATTTTTACTGACACTTTGATATTTCTTTTTTACTTTCAATTTTTTTTCACTTTCACTTTAATATTTTTTATTTTTACTTTCACTTTTGTTTTGACTGTCACACTTTGATGTTTTTACTTTTACTTTCACTTTTGTTTTTACTTTCACTTTCACTTTGAAATAAAGCGAAAATATGAAACTGTCAAAGTGAAAATGAGAATGAAAGTGAAAATAAAAATATCAAAGTGAAAGTAAAAATGAAAGTAAAAATGAAAGTAAAAATAAAAAGTCATAAAAATAAAAGTGAAAGTAAGAATTTTTCAAAGTAGATGTGAAAATAAAATTCAAATCAAAACTGAAATTACAAATCGACTCTCTATAAGTTATGAAATATTTTTAGTGATAAATTAAAAATTTAATATTCTGTTATTAATATCAAAAGGGCAAGGCAAAGGTGACAGAATGAATCAGCAGTCAACAATTCGAGAAGGGTAGGTAGTAATTTTCTGAATTTTTCGTTTATAATTGTGCAACAATTAATTGTATTTAAGTAATTAATTAAAATAATAGTCAATTAATTAATTACAATAATAAATAATTTTGCAATAATGAGAATTTTTTAAAGTTATTAAAGTCAAGTGATCAATTGATCCAATTGATTTTTCCATCAAATGATCCAATTGATTCTTTTGATAAGTTGGAAAATTTAGAGTAATTCGGAAAATAACTAATAAAGTAAAAACAGATTAATAAAGGCAAAAGTTGATCAATAAAATGAAAACTGATCAGTAATAGAATTTTTTTCATTGAACGAATTTCTTTTTTTCTCAAAGGAAAATTTTAAGTCTGCCAATCATAAGGAAGGAATTGCGTGATCTTCAATGTTGTGATGGTGATGCTGTTGTTTTGGAATGCAAATTTTATGCTCCTTCAGAAACGCCAAATATTCGCTGGGAGAAAGATGGCAAGGTAATTAAAAAAATATTTGATAATCATTCTATCAATTTCTAATGATTAGTTAATTAGCTACCAGAAAATAGTCTAGTTGCGATGATAGTTGATCAGATTCAGCTGATAAATTGAATACTTTTTGACAATTAGTTAATTATTTAGGAATAATTATTACCAAATGATGATCACTTAATGGTAATAATTACTGAGTGATTTTTAATTAATGGTAATGATTACTCAATGATTTTTAATTAATGGCAATGTTTACTGAATGATGATCATTTAATGGTAATGATTGATGAAAGATTTTTACTTATTGATAATGATTACTGAATGATTTTTACTTATTGGTACTGATTACTGAATGATTTTTATATATTGGTAATGATTATTGAATGATGACCACCTAATTGTAATGATTACCGAATGATTTTTAGTTAATGGTACTAATTACCAAGTGATAATAATTATTGAATGATGATCATTGAAATGTAGTATTTTACTGAATCATAACAACTTAATGGTAATGATTTCTTAATGATTAATAACTCAATGATCATGATTACAATGATGATTATGAAGAAAATGATAATAATATAAAATAATAAAAAAATTATAATAATAAAAAATTAATTTCTTTTTTCATTGGTAGACACTGTCATTAAGCGGAGATTTCTCCGCTGATTTTGATGGTGAAACTGCAAGACTCAGTATTCAGCATGTGTATCCAGAAGACGAGGGTGAATACACTTGCATTGCCTCAAATCAATTGGGAAAAGCTTTCACATCTGCGTGTCTCATTGTTGACGGTGAGTGGATAATCAGAATAAATTAACTCGCTCTTTTTTTTATCAACTGTCATTAAGTGATTTTAATAGTCAGCTAATTTAAATTATAAAATGTTACACAATTTAACGCTAATTGCACGTGATGGAATGTCAGGCATTAACTTAATGACTCATGAATTTAACAGTTTTTTTTAATGTTTGCACTATTTTACACTTTTTGCTGATTAGTAGATCAACTCTTGATCATTGAAATCATTATTAGATTGATGATTTTTTTTTTGATTCAATTCAATCAATCTTGATCAGTGGATTCATTCATTCAATCTAATGATCGATTAATGATTTTTTTTTAATTAGTGAATTAACTGATTAGTAGATTCATTCATTCATTTAATCTAATGATTATTTTCATCAGTGAATTAGTTGATCAGTGGATTCATTCATTTATTCAATCTAATGATTTGTTAATGATTTTTTTGGATAAGTGAATTAATTGACCAGTAAATCAGCCTTTGATCAGTGGAGTCATATATTCAATCAATAAATTTTTTTGGATCAGTGAATTAATTGATCAGTAGATTAGCTCTTGATCAGTGGATTCATTCATTTATTAAGGATTAATTAGTGGATTAATTGATCTCTTGATCACTGGATTCTTAATTGAATGAATTGATGATTCTGTTGCATCAGTGGATTAACTGATGAGTGGATTAACTAATCAGTAGATCAACTATTGATGATCAATAGATCAAATTTTAAAGATCAATAGTTCAAATTTTAGAGATCAATAGATTAAATTTTAATGATCAACAGATTGATATGAAATGTTGATAATCAATAAATCAAAAGTAGACGATCAATAGATCAACTGATGATCCATTTGTCTTGAACAATCATCAAGTGATCCACTGATCAGTTTTCGTTCACAGGCAGTCATTTGGAAATAAATGATCAACAATAATTAGTAAAACGTATTTCACAAGTCTTATCGAATAACATTATCGTCTAACGTCAATCAACACAGATTCAGGAAAAGAGTTATTAAAAAAAATAGAAATCACTCAGAAAAGGATTCTTAATAAATTCGTTACGCTTGAATTATTCCAGTACCCGAGGGTAAGGAGAATGTATTAAGTCAACCACGCCTTATGAAGCCCATGGGACTATTATCAGCAGGGTCAACTCCTAGATCAACTCCAAGATCGACGCCTGTTCGCAGTCTCTCACCGGCTGCTGGTGCCCGTAAGAAAAAAAAATAATTTATTCTCTTTACTCAATTTTTTTTCCCTCTTCTCTAAATTTACTTTATAAAAGAATGTTTTTCTTTATTTAAAATATATATTTGCTCGTTTGTGTCGGCACACAAAGTATTCCAAGAAATATATATAAGATACAATGAAGTGAAAAGATTTACTTTCATGAATATTTAGCATGCAAGTTTAATGTGCGCACACACAAAAAAAGAGTCATTATTGTGCAATACTTGATTTGCACTTTGACTCAGCATAGCTGTCAGGACAAGTGTCGATCTCAATGGTGGTCGATTTATTATGCGAAATCGAAAGTAAATGTTTGTTATATGTGAATCGAACAATGTGTAAATAATAGATTTAGGTCTATGATAAATAACAAATTTCGAATTTTTTGTTCTGCAATTATTTTTTTCTTCTTGAACACTATTTTCAAGCTATTTGTTTTGTTTATTCATGAAAGAATAATAATAATAAGAATAAAGGAATTTTTAAAAGGGACTTAAGCTAGAATCATTGATGATCATTACTGATGATTTCGTCGATTCGTTGATTTTATGATCATTCATCAATTGATGACGATCCTTCGATAACCTTGAATTGAAAATAATAAATATTGTAAATGCCATCAATCTTTAAATGATCATGATCCTTTTTTGAACTTTCTATAGACCTTTCTAAATAATATGATGAATTATGATCATGCATGATGAATTATGATTATCATGATCCTATAATGTCCTTGAATCAAGAGCAGTAAATATTAATGATTTAATGATTTAATATTTATAATATTATTGATTGCAAGATCAATTATTAATTTTGATCATGATCCAATGATGGCCTTGAGACGAGAGCGGAAAATATTGATTACCTGATGAATCATCCATTGATGACTTAAATGATAATGATCAATCGATCAATAATTGATGATGAAATATTTGGACCAATTATTGATCAGTTGATCCATACAATTGTAAAACTGCTGATCAATATTGATGATGTTACAACTGGACCAATTCTTGATCAATTGATCAATACGATTATGAACCAATTGTTGGTCAATTGATCAGTACGATTGGGAATCAATTGTTAATCAATTGATTAATACGATTGTGGTTTAATTGTTTCTCAAAAGATCAATAGGATTGTGAACCAAGTGTTGATCAATTCATTTTACACTTGTTGATCAATTGATCAGTACGATTGTGAACCATTGTTAATTAATCAATACGATTGTGGTTTAATTGTTTCTCAAATGATCAATAGGATTGTGAACCAATTGTTGAATTAGCGATTTTAAATGACATGTTTATTCATCAGTTGATCATGATCCTTTAATCATTTCTAAAGACCTTCCTAAATTTACGTTTCTAAATGAAATGATCAATCAGTGAATTTATCATCAATCAACTGATTGATTGATGCTGACCTTGAATCGAGACCCTGAATGAAATGATCAATCATGATTCTACGATGACCTTGAATCTTGTGTTTTTCAGATGGCCGCGAATTGAGAGCAATAAATCTTCCAAGACGAGTGGAAGCTGGTGTCAATATGAGAAGAAAGCAAAAAATAGCTCCTCCGAAATTTTACACGGTTCCTCATAATAGAGTGGCAGAGGAAGGCGAGACAATAAGATTCCAGTGCGCAATCACTGGTCATCCGATGCCCTGGGTGGTTTGGGATAAAAATGGTGTCTCCGTTACTCAAACGCCAAGAATAACAATCAAAGAGAAAGATGACTTACGAGTTCTGGAAATCTCCCAGGTGATGTCCGAAGATGCAGGACTGTACAGAGTCACCCTTGAGAATGATGTCGGACGCACTGAAGCTACAGCACGTTTGGAAATAATCAGTATGTTTTTTTTGGTTATCATAATCATTGCTGATGAATATCAGGAATATCCAAATAGTTGTTGATTGCTAATGATCAACATATTTACTAATTGCTAATGATTATTATCATCTGTTTCTTGGTAATGATCAACATCTGATAATTGGTAATAAGCAGTAAATATTTATTGTCGTTGATCAACATCTGCTGATTGCTAATGATCAATATATATTTATTGTTTATAATCAGCAACAGCTGATTGCTAATGATCAACATTTGTTGATTGCAATGATCATTATTTCTTTTGATTGCTAATGATCAATACTTCTTTTGATTGCTAGTGATCAGTATCTGTTAACTGATTGATTGATCAATAAAGTTCAGCCAAATCTAGAGCCAAAATTAGATCAACAATAAAATTTACCTTAATTATCAGTCAAATTTTTTCAGATCGACACAGTGCAGTTCCTCGTCCAATTCGAACGAGAAGTGCATCGCCTAGAACCTATCCAACATTCACTAGAAGTCTTCTTGGTTGTGCAACGAGGGTCAATGATTCATTTCAATTGCAATGCGACATTAGAAGTTCTCCAAGTCCAACTCCTTCTTGGTACAGGTTGGCATATTGAATATTTATGCAATCAATTAGTTGAGCATTAATTTGTAACTGATCAATTAATGAAATACTTTTTTCTTGTCTTTCCCCCCTTTTTTTTCTTCCTGTGAATAGAAATGGTAAACGAATGGAGCGATCGAGTAGAGTTAGAAAATATTTTGATGGACGAACGGCAAAAATAGAGATCTTCGAAGTGAAGAAAACTGATACTGGTGAATATGTTTGTGAGGCTTATAATTTTCTGGGATCAACAAGAAGTAGTTGTCAAGTAATTGTCTTTGATTCTGATGATCCCTCGACACTGGATAAAGAGGCACCGAAATTTCTACAAACTCTTGCGAAAGAATCAATAGTAATGGAGGGACATTCTTATGAATTGCAGACGAGAATTGCAGGTACTGTTTTTGATTTTAATTGATTTTAATCAATGATCAATCAGATTAGTTAGATTGATTGATTGAAACAAATTTATATTCGCAGGTACTCCTCCGTTTGAAATCAAGTGGCTGAAGGACAAGAAGGAAGTTTGTGACACTGACTGCTACCGATATGTTGTCTACGAAGATGGAGGTTTAGCTCTACGATTAGCCAATGTCAATTCCTTGGATGCTGGTGAATACACCTGCCTAGTGCGAAATGCTTTTGGATCATCATCATGTAACGGTTTATTCGCAGTTCAAGGTAATGAGAAAATAGAAGAATAAAAAAAATTTTCTTTAATTTTTGTATTTTAACTGAAGAGAATTTATTCCTCTATTCTAGACTATAAAGGTGGATCGAAAGCTGCATTTTGGTTCACAAAAACTCCAGTTCCAGTTCTGGCTACCAAGGGCGAGACCGTTTCATTTTGTGCTAGGATTCAGACTGAAAGATCCATTGAAATTGAATGGACCGTCAATGGAAAGAGTGCTAGAGAGAATCACAATTGCAAGGTTTGGATGAATCATCATCATATGTAATGCCTCTTTCAATCATCATCAACATCATAACTAATACCTCTTCATCATTAGATGATGATTGTTGATCAGAATTTGCTTTTGATCAATCAGAAAGTTTTAATTAAAATTTGATTGATCCTTTGGAACAATCAAAAAAATTTTTAAACAAAATTTCCTCCGAACAGTAAAAAAATTTTTTTTTCTAAATTACATTGTTAAAATAATTTTAGGTTGAGAAAGACGGGCCAACGACAATATTGAGGATAAATTCAGTGACTTATCGTGACTGCGGTGAAATTCGTTGCACAGCATCAGTGACTGGAGGTCGAGGTCCATCGATAAGTTGTGCCACTGATCTTCGTTTCTTCAGAATTCCCAGATCAAGAGACAGATCTCCATCGCCTGTAAAAATGTTCCTATCACCACTGCCAAGACGTTCGACACGTGTCACCACAAGTCCCAATCGTTACGATAATAAAGAGAATTCAAATAGAATATCATCATTAAATGAAAGGGCAGACAATAAAATTAATAAAATTAATAAAATTAATGATTTGCATAATCGTTCACAAATCGAGATTTTCTGCAACAATTCAACATCTCAGCAGAATCAGGAAATCATCAAGAAAAATACAATAATTGAAGATGAATTAATATCGGCGAAAATTTACAATAATCGACAAATTAGAACTGAGACTGAAAATCAGAGGGAGGAAAAAATTGTTCGTAATTGTCTCAATAAGTTGGCAAACTCTCTTGGCAATCGGAAGGAGAGAAAAATTGAAAAGGAAGAAGAAATAGTAAGAGATGAAGAGAGAATAGAGATTATTGGAAGAATTGAAGAAGTGAAGACGAGAAACGTAGAAGGTGGTTTCAGGAAAGAAGAAACGAAAATAAGAAAAGGAAAACGAAAAGAAGAAAAAGCAAAGCAGAAAAGAGGAAATGAAGAAAGAAAAGAAAACGAAAAAAAGAAAGTAAGAGAAGAAGAAAATTTACAAACAAAAGTGAAGTCAATAAAAGAAGAAATAGAGAGAGAAATGAAATCAGCTGAAGAAAACGAGCCAAGAAAATATGCTAAACGAAAAGAAGAAATAAAGAAGAAAAACTCAAACCAAAATTCGCACAAAGTATCTTCAGAAGCAATGCAGCTAAATATATCTTCAGAAGAAATGAAGCAAATTAAACCTTTAGAAGAAATGAAGCAAAACAAATCTTTAGAAGAAATAAAGAAAACTAAATCTTTGAAAGAAATGAAGCAAAATAAATTTGTCGAAAAAATGAAGCAAAATAAATCTTTAGAAGAAATGAAGAAAAATAAGTCTTTAGAAGAAATGAGTCAAGATAAATCTTTCACAAAAATGAAGCAAAATAAATCTTTCGAAAAAATGAAGCAAAGTAAATCTTTAGAAGAAATGAAGCAAAACACATCTTTGGATGAAAGGAAGCAAAATACATCTTTGGATGAAAGGAAGCAAAATACATTTTTGGATGAAAGAAAACAAAATACATCTTTTGAAGAAATGAAGAAAATTAAATCTTTCGAAAAAATGAAGCAAAATAAATCCTTAGAAGAAATTAAGCAAAATAATTCACTCAAAAACATAAAACACAATAAATCTTTAGAAGAAATGAAGCAAAATAAATTCGACGAAAAAATGAAGCAAAATAACTCTTTAGAAGAAATGAAGATATCTCCAGACAAACCGAAGATGAAAAGAGACGAAAACAAGAGAGAAATGAACACAAACGAAAATCGAAAAATAAAGAAAATCCCCAACAAATCGGAGCGAAGAATTGAAAAAGAAGAAAATTGGAAAAATGAAGAAAAGAAGAGAAGCAAAAATAAAAAGAAAAGTACAAAAAAAGAAGAAGAAGAGGAAAATGTTGACAATAAGCAAACGGAATTTATTGCAGTGAAACCGGCTCTCGAACAAGTAAATCCGGAAACTTTAGAGGTAAAGAGATACCTCCCCACCCACGAGTCAGTGAACGGAGAAGAGTTGGAATTTTTGGATGTGTACGAGCGTGACGAACCGGCAATAGTATTAAAAGATCCATTGGACGTAATAGCGCTCAGAGGTTCAACAGCGATTCTCAGTGTGTTGTATCGAGGTCAACCGGAGCCCACAGTCAGATGGCTTCAAGCTGTGAGTAGAACAAATACATTTCTGTAATAATCATAATGACTTGAAAATCGATACGTCATTATATTTATGTTAATGTCTGATAAAATTCATATCAACATTACAATTTTTTTTTTTTTTTTTTGACTTTTTATAAATCAAAAAGAGAAACTCTCGTATTATCATCAAAAGGCACATCTGTTCGAAAATAGACACACTGCTCTTCTTGAAAACGAGCATGAAATCTACTAATCCAGTAGTTTATTGAATTAACGATAACACAACATTGCGTTAGTTTCAGTCTTCAAGATAACGAGTTGCTTACGAGTTTAGCTAAAATAATAATTGATTCTTGATCGTGAATTTTTTTTAATAAATTAATAATAACTTTTTTTTTAATAACAACCTTTCAGAGTTAATTGAATAGTAATTTTTTGAAAATTACTCTCTAAATTTGAATTGGTAAAAATATTTACTAATTTGAATTAGTGACTGACTTTTTGCTTTTGAATTAGTAAAATTTACTAATAAATTTGTAGAAATTACTACTTATTAGTAAAATTTACTAATTCAAAAGTAAAAAGTCAGTCATTAATTTAAATTAGTAAATATTTTTACTAATTCAAATTTAGAGAGTAGCCGAAAAATTGTGAGAAATTCGCGATTTTCAAATAGGTTAATTTTTCCTTCAGTAAATTATTTTTTATTAATTTTTTTTTTTAGATCATTTAAGTCATTAGTGAAAACCGTAAAATTTCCTAAACCCTTTCAAGTGTCTCAAATAATATTTTATCCAAAAATAAGCAGAAAACTTGCAGAAAATTAACGATTTTCGAAGAATTAATATTTTTCGGGTTATTTCTCTAATGGAATTTTTTCATCAGGACAAAGTAGGTCATTTTATGATTAATTTAGGTCTATTATGAAAGAGAGAAATTTTTCGTTACCCTTTTAAATTTATTGAAATTTAGCTAAAAAATTGCTACACTATAACGATTTTTGAAAGGGTTAATTTTTTTTCGGTCAATTATGTTATGGTATTTTTTGTTAGGCCAAAATAGGTCATTATTAATTATAAACAAATTTTTTTTAAACCTTTGCAGTGGATTAAATAATATTCTGTAGAAAATAAACAGAATTGGTAGAAAATTAGCGGTTTTCATAAAAGAGTTAATTTTTTTCGAGACAATTATGTAATGGAATTTTTCACTAGAATAAAATAGGTTATTTTATATACCGTTAGGTCAATTCTATTATTAGCGAAATTATTTTTAACCCTTTTCAAAAAAATTTTTTCGTGTCAATTCTCTTATAAGAGAATTGACGCAATAAAAATTATTTAAATTTATTTAAAAATTATTTTAAAAAATATTTTTTCCACGTCAAAATAGGTCATTATATGACTTATTTAGGTCAATTATAATGGTAGAAAATTTAAAGGAATCCCTTCTAGTTGCTTATTCATAAATTATTAAATATTAACAAAAGAATTTTACGAACTATTTTTAAAAGGCTTAAATTTTCCTTTCGGTTAATTATGTTATGGTATTTTTTTGATAGGTCAAAATAGGTCACTTCTAAAATTTTTGAGTGGTTTGAATAATATTTTGTGGAAAATAATCAAAAATTGCAGGAAATTAGCGGTTTTCATAATTTTTTCAAGACAATTAGTTAATGGAATTTTTCCACCAGGACAAAATAGGTCATTTTATGACTAATTTAGGTCAATTAAAAAAAGAGAAATTTTTCTTCAAATTTTGGAGTTTATAAATAAGCCAAAAAATTGCTAGAATTTAACTATTTTTGAAGGGATTAATTTTCCTTTAGGTTAATTATGTTATGAAATTTTTTTTTAGGACAAAATAGGTCCTAATAAAAAAATAATAATATTTTGTGGAAAATAAGCAGAAATGCATGAAATTCGCCGTTTTCATAAGGGTTATTTTTTTTTTTAAGGCAATTAACTAATAGACCTTTTTTCACCAGAAAAAATAGGTCATTTTATGACCAATTTGGGTCAATTAAGAGAAAGAGAAAATTTTCCTGCAAATTTTGATTTTTGAAAATTATTTAAAAAATTGCTAGATTTTAACGATTTCCGAAGGGATTAATTTTTCTTTCGGTCAAATATGTTATGTTATAATACGTAATTTTATTATGAATTTAGGTCAATTATGATAGAAAGAAATTTTCCTGCACTCTTTGGAGTTTCTGAAATAATAGTTTATTGAAAATTAGCCCCAAAATTTTGGAGATTCGCGATTTCAAAAAGGAATAATTTTTCTTACAGTCAATTATATTATGGTATTTTTTCGCTAGGTCAGAATAGGTCGTTAGTGACAGTGGGTTATGCTATTTACCCTCTAGGTCAAAAATAAGTGATTATTGTTGAAATTACATTTCAAATTAGAGCAGTACAATTTTTTTTTACCTAAATAAAAATAATTTGTTTGAAAGTAAAAAAAAAACAGTTTTCTTTATTTACGAAAAAAATATAATTCACTACTAAAATTTGTAATTACGAAAAAAATCGTTTCATCTCAGGCAAAATATCAATTTTTTCTGTTTATCGAATTTAATAACAAAAGTAGAAAAACACAGTAGAAAAAATAAATAATAATAAAAATATGTTTATTTAATAATTTATTTATTATTCAATTATTATATAATAAATATAATTATTCTAAAATAATTACCAGTGTGCTTGGATGCAAAAAACATATAAACGAATACAATAATAAATATCATATGTTGCTGATTCGCTCAAGTCGCGAGTTTTAAATCGAAATAAGCTAAAAGACACACGGAAAGAATTCTTAATAGAATTTAAAAAATGCGGCTGATGATGATTCATCGTGTACGAGGCAGAGAAAACGCGTGACACGCACAATATTACTTTCATATATTATTATGGTTTCTCCCACTCGTGAGTGCACATTATGTTATCGGAACGAAATTTTTCAAACCAAACGTGTCAGTCATTTTAAAGTTTATTTCTTTCATATTTTGTGCTTTTATTTCTGTGTTTTGTTTTGGTTTTTTTTTCTTGTAATTTGTAAATATGTGTTTTTGAATTATTGTTTCCTTTATTTTTTTTTTCGAAAAAAAAAGAAGTGAATGCACATTTTTATATGCAGTGAGATTACAATAGGTAAGAAGGAAACATGAATTAGTCGGGCTTTTCATGTGACCTTGTTCGTACCACGTGGAATAACGACTTGTTGCTTTTGTTCACTTTTGTTCAGCTTCACAACGACACTTGATCTTTTGCTCGACTCAAATTGCTCTTTTTAAGCGAGAGAAAAGTATTTTGTTTCATGCCTATATAAGAACATGAATCTGTAAAATGCGTAAAACGCATTGTTAATTCGATAACATGGCGATTTTTTTTCGGCTCAATATAGCGGAAAAATGAGATTGTTTCTCTTATTGCAAATCAGTTTTATGATAGATTACTACCGTGCACCCATTTTTTTTTAATTTTTAGATTCTCTTTTTTTATATCTTTAATTATATACTTTTCTGAATATTTACATTATATTTTTATTTTTATAAATTTTTTTAAAACTTTTTTTACTATATTTTGTTATCTTTTTTCCCCCCTTCTTTATGGTTGTTTATTATTGTATTTTTATTATTATTAATTTAATTTTTTTTCATTTCAATTAAAAAATTTTTTAAATTCTATATTTTAATTCAATTTTGTCTTATTCTTTATTTTTTATGTTTTATTCTTCTACTTTTTATTTATTTTTCTCGTCTTCAACTTTTACTTTTACTTTAATAAACAAAAAAAAATTGATATTTTACCTGAAACAAAGTGGATTTTTTATTCATACTGAACAAAATTTTTTTTTTATTCTTTAGGGTCGAGTTTTGATTCCAAGCGAGAGAATTCGAATCGAAACCGAAAAAGGCACATCGAGACTCACTTTGGAAAAAATAACAGCTGACCAAGCTGGAAAATACGCGGTTTTCGTTGAAAATTCTTCAGGACGCGATTGGAGATATTCGAGTCTTGCGGTTGAAGGTAAAATTACAAACTATTATAGTAATTATTTTATTATTATAGTAATTTTTTTTTTATTTTAATAATTATTTTATTGTTCTAATAATTAAGTTTCATTTTAATACCTAATAGTAACTCGTATTTAGTACTTATTTCTTTTTACAGTGTAGATATTAATTATAGTTTATATAATTTAAATAAATTTTGATTACAATTAATATAACTTATGTAAATATATTTTGATTAAAATTAATTTTTTTTTAATGAAAGTAATTAATTAATTAAATTTAATATGTACTTCTAATTAATTTTAATACTGAAAAACATATATTTGATTCAAGTAACCGATTACTTTTCTATTATCAAATAAATTTTACTTGAATAAAATAATTTTTACTCGAATCAAATAATTTTTACTTGAATTAAATAATTTTTATCTCAACTAATTAAATTTTATTTGAACCAAAAAATTCAGTATATAAAAAAAATACCATTTAAGGGGAGGTTCTCATTGCGGGAATCAAAAAAATTTATTTCTTTTTTATTGTATTTTTTGAAAGCTATATATATGTAGAATATGTGTGTATAGCGATTTTTTGATCCGAAGAATATTTTCGTTCTTATGGAGTCTTGAACTCACCGGCGTCCCGAGCACTGAATAACAAATGTCAGGCAAATCGAATCGATTTTTAAAAATTTTGCAAATCTGACCTCAGAATCGTAAAGAGTGACCCTAAATACCTATAGATATTTATCAAATACGCAAATTGAACAAAGAATTGGAAAGAATTTAATTATTGCACAAAAATGTTTCTCAAACTTTAAACGCGTTTTTCTCGAAACAAGATTTTTCAAACTGGTGGGCATCGTAGCGTCTAAACTATTTAGTCAATCAACTTCGGGTTTGCGGCTAATTAAAGGTAACTAAATTCTACTGGGGTTATACCTATAATATGGTAAAATTGTTAACAATAGAGATTTTTACAAGAGGTCAAATATAGAAAAATAATGCAAAAACGCAGTTTTTTTAAAAATGTGTCCGCCATTTTGTCATTTTGTTAACTTTTTAACTATTTTATAGGTATAACCTATTCTTTAGGATGTCATCTTTATAAAAAATTTTGAGTTTTTGTTTTAGACTAAAAATTGCGCAGTGTAGAATGCCCACCGTTTTCCATATTTAAAAAAACATTATTTTCTAGATGCGCCATATTGGCCGCCATTTTGCATTTTTTTAAAAATGAAATATATGTTTTGAAAGTTCAAGAATGTATCTTTATTTAGAAAAAAGAACTACATCGCTAAGTCATAGCCGCTCTTTGCAAAAAATTGTCAAAGTTTGTGTTTATTTTGGCCTTTGCAATGAGAACCTCCCCTTAATTGACTTCAATAAATAATTAAAAATAAACTAATTTATAGTTTTACATAAATATTTTAATTAAATTACAACAGTCGAGCCTGTCGGAATACAACTCTATTTTTAAAATATTTTTGTATTCAAAAATGACAAACAATAATTTTCACATAGTTCCAGAATATTGCAAAAAAATAAAAATATTACAAAATTAAATTATAAAACAATTTTTTAAGAATTATTTACTGTAATCAAAATTTTAAAAATCGAGTTGCATTCCGATAGGTTTCACTGTATGTATCCTCGAAATCTGAGTACTGAAGGGAGAGTAAATAAATTATAAATTTATAATATAAATAATAATTTATAAATAATTATGTATAAATAGTTATAAATAGTTATAAATAATTAATAAATCATATAAAATTAATTTATTATACTATTCAATTGTTATTAAGTCGGAGCAATCGATTATTTATCAAGAAAACAGAAATTGTTCACGTGTAGAATGAATGACGACAGTTGAGTTAGATTACGTAATAGACAAAATAAACCAAAAAAAATATATATATAAACTTGGGAGAAAAATGAAACTGTAAGCTAGGGTAGGGAAGAATATATCTTCTTTGGATGTAAAGCTATAAACTTCACATAATGAGCTTAAGTAGGCGTGTTCTCGGTCTAGTTCTCCCCAGACAAGGTAGTCTAGCTCCAATGACATCGTGTGAGTTTAAAATCTAAAGTTTATATATGTTTATTTCTCAAATCCTTTTGCATAGCAGACGTTTCTTGATCGTCAACGAAGCCAGCTGTTTAAATATCTAGTTTCAGTGTGTTATTCCATTTACTTGAAAAAAAAATAAATTCCAATTTGTTTTTATCAATTTTTCATTGCGCTAATTTTGAGTTTTTTGATTTTTTGGAAAAAAGAGAAAAATTGTGCCTTGGAAATTGTTAGTGATCTGTGCTCAACTGTAAGTCTTAATTTAGTAATTTTAGTTTAACAATTAAGGTTCGAATTGTGTTAATTAAGTTTTCGAATTTAATATCAATGAATTAAAATTATTTAAATCGTTCTTTAGATACATTGTTTTTTAGTTCTTTTTTGTATTAGTCAATATTTTTTATAATTATATTTTTTATAATTAAAAGTAATAAATCAAAAAATTTCTAGTGAATTTGAATTAGTAAAATTAGTGGTAAATTACTTAGTAAAATTTAAATTAATAAAAATGTTTACCAATTTGAATTGGTGACTGACTTTTGGTTTTTGAATTAGTGAATTTTACTAATAAATATAGTAATTTCTACTAATTTATTAGTAAACTTTACTAATTCAAAAGCAGTTATTAGTAAACATTTTTATTTAATTCAAATTTAGAGAGAATAAAACGTATTTTTGATTCTAGAAATTAAATTTATTTCCAGAAATTTATTGATTTATTTATTTAATTTTATTAATTCAATATTTTATTATTCAATCATCAATATTTAATATTACGTTAAAAATTTCTCGTGAGTGGAAATGAAAATAAAACCCTTAAAAATTTTAAAGAGTCATTCCCGGAAATTCCCGGTATTATTTCCGGAAACTTTTTCAAGTGGGATTTTACTTTATATTAATTTTGATTTTAACTACAATAAATCGCAGTAAATCACCAATTTGTTAATTAAATTAGCTTAGTGTTACTATGCGGAAGGATTTCCGGAAGTCACTCCCCCAGGAAGTGTGAACCTTTCAGGAGTAGTTTCTGGAAATTTTCCTTGATAATACAGAAGATTTTCGACAAAATTTTCCGAAAATCCTTCCACGGGGATTTTTAATTATTGTAATGAAAACATTTCTAATTTGTAATGTAATAAAATTACAAGTTTGTAAAAAAGAAAAAAAAATACTGTTAGTATTTTGTTTTCAATTTTAGAATTATTTATTACTTTTTTAATTCTTTTTTTTGGGTGATTTTTGTTCTCAGGACCACCGGAAGCACCAGCGGGAGTGCCAATAGTGAGCGCATGCAATGTGGGCAAAGAAATTCCAGGTGTCAATGTAGCATGGTGTTCTCCGTCATACGACGGTGGATGTGCACTCACTGGCTATGCGATTGAAATGCGAAATATTGATGAAGAAAGTTGGACTCTTGTTTCAGAAACATATCATTCACTTAATCACACAATCGCTGGTCTCATACCAGATGAGACGTATCTATTTCGAGTTAGGGCAATAAACATTCACGGAGCAAGTGAACCGAGTTTTGAATCCGTTCCGTTTACAGTTCGACGGGAAATTGAAAACGAGAAGGAAATGAAGGATCAAATGTCGGATAAGGAAACCGAAGACGAAAGTATGTATTCGTATATGTTAAGTATTTAAAATTCACTGGTATCATTTGGAGAAAAATGGCATTTTGCTGTTTTTTTGCCGTTTCTTTAATATTAATTCACAATTATCTTTTTTTTTGGTACCATATAATTTATAAGTGGTACTATCAAAATAACAGTTGGTACCATTAAAGTAATTAATGGTACCATCGAAATAATTATACCACTCAAGTAAGAAGTAATGATTGGAACCAATTAATGGTAACAATTTAGTAGATCGATTGTGGCCTTTGTAATTTTGATGGTACCAATTATTGTTTTGAAAGTACCATTTATAATTTCAGTGGTACCACTTATTGTTTCAATGGTACCACTTATTATTTCGATGGTACCACTTATTATTTCGATGGTACCAATCAATATTTCGATGGTACCATTTACTACTTGGGCGGTACCGTTATTAATTTCGGTGGTACCATTTATTACTTTAATGGTACCATCTGTAATTTTGATAGTACCACTTATAAATTCTATTGTATCATTAATTCGCTGGTACAATTAAATAATTTTACGGGTGCAGTAATCTCGATGTTATTACTTACTATTTAATTGGTACCAATAATTAATTTGATGGTAGTATTAATTTTTTGATGGTACTAATCCAGGTACTGATGATACCATTTTTAATTTACATTGTACCAGCGATTATTTTGATGGTAAAACTTGTGGTCTGGTACTATTTACAAATCGATTGTATGATTTGTAACTTTGATGGTATCAATCAATATTAGGGTAGTACCATTAGTATTTTAATGGTACCAATAATTATTTCAATGGAACCAATAATTATTTCAATGGCACCAATACTTATTTCAATGGTACCAATAATTATTTCAATGGTACCAATACTTATTTCAATGGTACCAATAATTATTTCAATGGTACCAATACTTATTTCAATGGTACCACTTATTATTTCAATGGTACCACTTATTACTTCAGTGATACCAACAATTATTTCGTACCATTTATTACTCATAGTACAATTTGCTACTTCCGTGGTATTTTTTCTTCTCTTTTTTCCTGTTTATTTATTGTTATTTTTCTTTGTTTCTTTTCTTTCTTTTTATGGATTTTTTCTCTTCTTTTTTCTTTTTATTTATTTATTTTTGCAATTTTTTTTTCTTGAAGGCTTTGGCGAGAAGAACATGGAGAAGACAGTAGTCACTCCCGAGGACGGAAAAGTCTTCCACGAAAGATACGATGTAATGGAGGAATTGGGAAAAGGTCGATACGGAATTGTCAAAAGAGTTGTGGAAAAAACAACGGGACATGAATTCGCATCGAAATTTGTGAAGACAATAAAAGCAACGGATAGAAAATTAGTGCGTGAAGAAATAAAAATAATGAATCTACTTAAACATCCGAAGCTTCTTCGTTTGTCAGCAGCTTTTGAGAGTCCGAGGGAAATCATCATGATCACAGAATAGTGAGACTATTGTTTAATTACTAATAATTAAATATAATTAATAAATTAATTTGGTACTTAAATTAAATCGTTATCTTCATATTTTGTAATAATAAGTTAAATTAATTTGCTAATTAAATTTGATAAATTGAAATAAATAATATTAAATTAAATTTTTAATTAAAAATTTCTAATTATTGTTTTCTACCATTTTTTATATTTTCTTTCTTCTAAAATCGAGTTTTTGATAATTTTATTGATAAATTTTTAAGCAACATTTCTTTTTGCTTCGTTTAGCATATCAGGCGGTGAGCTTTTTGAAAGAGTAGTTGCCGATGATTTCACACTCACTGAGAAAGATAGCATTCTCTTTATGAGACAAATTTGCGAGGGCGTTAAATACATGCACAAAAATAATGTCGTTCATCTGGATCTCAAAGTGAGTTGCAATTAATTAAATTAGAAAATATATTATTATAATAATTATCATAATTATAATAACAATAATAATAATAATAATAATAATTGATATAAATATTTTTTTTTACTTTTATTATTGTTAATAAAATAATGGTAATTAGTAATAATAATAAAATTTATAATTCTAACATTTTCATTTTATGTATTTATCTTTTTTTATTTTAATTTCAGCCAGAGAATATAATGTGTCGAACTCGAACGTCCCACAGTATAAAATTAATAGATTTTGGCTTGGCACAAATTTTAAAGCCAAATGTTCCAATTCGTGTACTTTTTGGAACGCCGGAATTTATTCCACCTGAGATTATTAGCTACGAGCCTATTGGCACCGAATCCGATATGTGGAGTGTGGGAATAATCTGTTACGTTTTGTGAGTATTTAGAAAAAAAGGATTCAAAATTTGAATTATTTAAAAATAAAACTTTCAGATTAAATTATTTTTTTTTTAAATTTTATTTGAATCGCTGATTCAGTTATAAATAATTAATAATAATAATTTAATTATAAATAATTATTATTAAATAGTAATTAATAATAATAATTTAACTATAAATAATTATTAAGAATAATTCAAATATAAATAATAATTAATATTAATTCAGTTATAAATAAATTCAATTTTAATTTAAATCTACAGATTAAGTGGACTCTCTCCGTTTATGGGCAATAATGATACGGAAACTTTTGCCAATATAACAAGATCTGAATATGATTTCGATGACGAAGCATTTGACGCAATTTCACAGGATGCCAAAGATTTTATTGGCTGTTTATTGATTAAGAGAAAAGAGTAAGTTTCCTTTTAAGTTTCCACAATTCCAAAAATTTCTATTCATGTTTTTTTTTATTTTCATAAAATTATTGTAAAATTTTTAATAATATGATGTTTTATAATAATATGATATTTTTTTTATATATGATTTTATATTTATTTATATTTATTTTATTATTTTACTTTATTTGTTACATTATTTTATTATTATTTATTCTTATTTATTTATATATTTTATTTATTTTTTCATTTTTATAAATTAAAAAAATTATTTATTATCAATATAATAATTATTAAATTATTAATATAATAATCACAAAATTATTATTATTTCAATAATTAAGAATTATACAAGAATTTAAATAATTGGAACGATTTTAGATCTCGAATGTCGGCAAAGGAATGTTTAGAGCACTCGTGGCTGGCGCAACACACGGAAAATATGAGTCAAGTTGCTTTATCGACCGAAAAATTGAAGAAATTCCTCGTACGAAGAAAATGGCAGGTGAGAAAACAAATTAAAAAAAAAAGAAAACTTTTTTTTAACTTTTTCCATTGTTTGTGTTTCGAGTGTTTGATGTGCTTGTTTGGTACACTCACACAAATTTTAATAGATTTTTAGTTTAAAAAACAAAGAAATTTCTAATAGCATGTGTGTTTTAATATTTTTTGTCTTTTGTTTGCGTTTTGTTTTTTTCTAAAACAGAAAACAGGAAATGCACTTCGAGCACTTGGCCGGATGTCGAAATCGGCAAATAGTAGACGAAGTCCTTCACAATCGTCGGGACCGTCCTCTCCCGTTTTGAAGGAATCATCATCCTTTGAGGAGTCATCAGATAAAAAAAATACGAGTACAAGGGAAAATTCTTTTGAAGAAAATATCGAAATTTCTTCAGTTGCCAAAGAAGATTTTTCTCGAAAGGAAGATAAAATGACTTTGAAAATTGTGTCAGCAGGGGAAGAAATTTTATCTTCGGGAAATGTTTCTTCTTTCGCTGATGAAGAAACGGAGAAATCTTATTCTCGTCGGGAATCAGAAAAAGTTTCTTCAGTCGATGATGATGCATCAGATGAAGCTTCTTCTTTGCGTTCCGAAATACCGGTGAAAACTACTTCTTTTTCTGCTGACGAAATAAAAGAAAAATTGTCTTTTGCTAATGAAGAATCAGAAGAAGCTTCTTGTTTAGCTGCTGAAGAAACAAACGAAGTTTCTCCTTCTCTTCCCGAAGCATCAACGAAATCTTCTTCTTTTCCTACCGAGACACGAAAAAATTTATCTTCTGTTGCCGAATCAACAGATGTTTCTTCTTCTACTAAGAAACGATCGGAAAACATTTCTTCTTTTACTAATGGAGAATCGAAAAAAGTTTCTTCTCTTACTAACAAAGAATCAAAAAAAGTTTCTTCTTTTATAAATAAAGAATCGAAAAAAGTTTCTTCTTTTGCTAATGAAGAAACGGAGAAAGTTTCTTCTTCTGCTAATAAGGAATCGAAAAAAGTATCTTCTTCTACTAATGAAGAAACGGATAAAGTTTCTTCTCCTACTAATGAAGAAATAGAAAAAGTTTCTTCTCCTACCGATCAACAATCAGAAGAAACTTCTTCCTTTGCTGCTGAAGAAATAGAGTATGTTTCTTCTTCTCCTTTCGAAGTATCAATGGAAGATACTTCCTTCGTTGAAGAAAGGAGAAAAAATTTATCTTCTCCTGTTGCCGAATCAACAGAAAACGTTTTTTCTTCCAGTGAAAAAACACAGGGATATTTCCTTCCTATTTCTTCAAATTTCGAACCCATTTATGAGAATATTTCCTCACTTTCACTGAAGAAAGAAAAGAATACTGAAGATATTGTCGAACCTGAGGTATTTGAAGTATTTGAAGTATTTGAAAAATTGGATATTGATGAAGCTAGTCAAAAAAGAAATTCAGAATTCAAAGAAGAAGAAAATGACCGAAAAGAAGAAGAAGAAGAAGAAGCAAAAGAAGAAGTAGAAGGACAAAAAGAAACTGAAGAACTTCCTTCTGGAAATATTTTGAATATTGAAGAAATTATGGAAGAAGTAAATTCTAAACTGCAAAAATTTGCAACTGAAGAAAATGACAATGTGGAATTAGCGGAAAATGAAGCTATTGAATCTCAAACGAAAGAAGCGAACAAGCAAAAATATCAAGTCAGATTTTCCATTGACGTAAAAGCTGACGAGATGGAAAGTGATTCGGATTTTAATTTCGAGCAACTGAAAAATTCAAAGAAGACTGATGACAATCGAAATAAAATCGATTCCGATAAGCAGGAGGTTGAGGAGGAGAAATTCAACCAAGATGACTTCAAAAATGGAGTATGTAACACTGTGTGTGATCTTAACACTTTGCACGAAGGTGTGTATTTTTTCATTTACTCAAATTCGATTTTTTTCCTTTTTTCAGAAAATATTTTCTCATTTTTTTTATTATTTATTTTTGTCTATTTTTCTTCACTATTTTGTTATTATTTATTTTTATTTATTTTCTTTATTATTTCATTGTTCTATATTTTTATTTATTTTATTTATTATTTTCTAATTCTCTATTTTTATTTATTTTTAAAAATATTTTGTTATTCTTTATTTTTTATTTATTTGTTTTCGTTAATTACGATTTAAATTATCTTATAATCTTTTTTTTTACCAGAATTTTTTTTATTTGATTAAGTGAGTAAAGGAGAAATCCTTTCGCGAAGAGAAAAATTTTTCTATAGAAATTGCCATCTTTATTTAGTTTTCAAGAAATGTTTCACTGACAATTTTTCTTTTGGCGTTTTTTTTTACAGACGATTGTGGTGAGAACACACGGAACACACGGGTAATTAAAACAAGTCAAGGTCGGCACTATCTTCACACGGGGAATGTGAGTCGAACGGCAAAAATATTCGAGAAGAAGGGAACAGAATCACATGCCGGAAGTTCAGTGAAGGAGAAATCTACACGGCCATTATCACGAACAAATACACAACGTGAAAGAATACAAAAAGCATTTGAGTTTTGGAAAAAGTAACTTCCTTGAGATGACGAGCAAAAAAGAAAAGAAAACTTAACGAAAATAACTATTTCACAAATAAATTTTAGCAAAATTATATTATTTTTGTAAAATTTATAAAAAAAGGGAAAAAAAAATTCTAATGGAAATATTTTTTATACGAAAACGAAGAAACATATTTACGATATATAATTAGAATTTTTTAATTTATATAGAATCAAAAAAAAAGTTGATTTAATGAAAATTGTATACTCTTTACTTTAACGATAGGGGAGAATAATAATTTAATTGAATTTTATTTATTCTCAAGTTATTCTCTCAAATGAATTTTAATTTGAAGTGAAAGAATATATTTGATTCTAAGCGAACGACGATTAATTTTGCGATATTGACGAATTTTTTTTTTCGATTACGACTTAGCAAGATTAGATAATAAGTAGCTGATAATAAGTACCTCTGATTTATACAGTATATTTATTCGCCGATTAATTAAGTGCATGATCGTTATTCGAAATAAATTTCTCGTTCCTGTTTATAAACGCCTTTCATTCAAATTTTATTACTGGGGGTTTTTTTTCCTGTAAACCATGTGCAATAACTAATTTTCATTAAGGTAAAACTTTTTCTTCCTCTTTTTTTTCTTAAATTAAAAGAAATATAATATTATCTAAAAATATATATTTAAAAATATATATAATAATTATTTCAAAATATATTTTTATAAATTGATTATCAGTAATTAAATATTTTCTTGAATCAAATAATTATTATTTGAGTCTATTATTAAATGGTATTTTTTTCGTCTGGAATTTTTTTCCAAAATCGGTTGTATCTTCAAAAAAACACAAAAGGATAAAAATTTAAATTCGTACGAAATGAATTTCTTACATTGTTTCGAACAAGGAGAAGAAAAAGAAGATAGAAGAAGAATAAAAAAGAAGAAGAAGAAGAAGAAGTGTAGTCTAATTCGTAGACAGAGTAATTCTACTGCAATTTTCTTTTTTTTTCTTACCTTTTACTTCTCCCTTTTCCTTAAGCCTTGCCCCTTGTATACACGTTCTTCCATTCCTTCGTCATTTAACAACGGTCAGTCACCTTGAAACGTACCTGGAACATACAAGTTTTTGCATTACACTTTAACATTAAAAGGCCTGTAAATTTAACAAATTTAATTTCATTGAATTCATGAAGCAAAATTCATTTTTGTAATTACATTCTATTTGGGTTTCAACTAGGGTTATTAGTAATTTTGGATGGTACCATTCATTATTTTAATGGTACCGCTTATAATTTTGAAGGTACCATTTACTACTTGGGTGGTACCATGTAATACTTCGATGGTACCGATTATATTTTTGATGGTACCGTTTGTAATTTCAGTGGTACCATTTATTACTTCGATGGTACCGATTATATTTTTGATGGTACCATTTACTACTTGGGTGGTACCGTTTGTAATTTCAGTGGTACCATTTATTACTTCGATGGTACCGCTTATATTTTGTATGGTACCATTTACTATTTGGGTGGTACCATTTGTAATTTCAGTGATATTATTTATTTCTTTGATCGTACCGCTTATATTCTGGTTGGTACCAACAATAATTTTGATGATACCACTAATATTGTATAATGATACTACTAAAATTAATGACACTACATTATTGGTACCACCAAAATAGTAAATAGTCCCTTTAAAATTAACAGTGGTACCATTCAATTAGTAAATTCGATACTACCACTTCTAATTTTGATGTTACCATTTATTATTCTGGTGGTACCAATAATTATTTGGAGAATAATTTTTACAATTTAGATGGTACCACATTCTAATGATACTTTCAATATTTTTGGTGGTACCAGTTATTATTAAAATGGTACCATTTCTGCTGGATCATACCAGTACTAGTAAATAGTAAATGGTACCAATAATTATTCAGATGGTAAAATGCAATATTTTAGTGGTACCATTTATTATTTAAACGGTACCATTTTCTATGCGGATGGTACCATTTCCTATTCGGATTTATTTACTATTTGAGTACCTTTTACTATCGGATCGTATCTGTAAATGGTACCAATTATTATTCGGATGGTACCAATCACTATTTGGTAGGTGGTACCATTTGCTATTTTGATTTATATACTATTTAGTACCATTTACTATTTAGACGGTACCATTTATTATTTTCATGGTTTTACTAACAGATAGTAGAATGGTATCATTTTTTTGTTGCGAAAAAATTGTTATGTTGCGAAAAACATTTCTTTTTGCAAAAAGAATATAAAAATGAAAAATTATGGAATAATACCAAAAATGGTACCATTCACAAATTCGACAGTATCATCGGTAGTTTTGGTACCAAATTTTTCAACTCGGAAACTAAACGAATTTTGTAAATCCAAAAATCTTCAATTAATTTTGACCTATTCCATCATTTTTCATTTTTATATTCTACTTGCAAAAAAAAAAAAAATGTTTTTCGCAACATAGCAAATTTTTTTTGCAAGAGACAAAATGTTTTTCGCAACATATCAAATTTTTTTTGCAAGAGACAAAATGTTTTTCGCAACATATTAAATTTTTTTTTTGCAAGAGACAAAATTATTTTTGCAAGAAAAAAACAAATTTACGACAAACTATTTTAATTAATCCATTATATTACACACAATTCACCCATTTTTCTTTACCAGAAAAAAATTTCCACCATCGCTGATCAAAAGTACCGTTCAGATAGTTTTTTTCTCCCATCATCATCTCATCGTCATAGTTTTTCTCTATTTAGGAATTCCAGATAATCACCTCGTCGCGCAAGGACATTTGTAATACAATAATAATAATACTATAATAGAAATATCTTCTTTTCATATTGAAAGATTTAAATCTCAATTAGAATTTCTATCACTTCTCCTTCCGGTTAAAATATATAATTCTTGACAAAACTGAGACTTTTACACTCCCTGTCTGATTCTTCTAAAGATTAAGGTGTGTCCTTCAGCCTTCGGTTTGTGTAGTTGCTATGTAGTGTTGGAGGGGACAAGGGAGTGGAGATTCTGGTATATGAGAGAAAGGGAGAGAGAGATAGGAAAAGCGATGAGTGTGTATGTGTGTGTGTGAGTGTTTGTGTCTATACCGTTGCATCTGAATGGACCAGAGGTGAGCGGCGAGAGACTCAGTGGAAGACAAGCAGCCTCCACGTGAGTCTCGTGTCCCATACTTGGCGAACTTTGTGAATATTTTTCCAATTATTTCTTCACTCCTGTAAATGTCTATTTCAAGCCAGGTAGGCTCTAAATAGTTGGGTTTTATAAATTTCTTTCTCTTCTTTTTCCTCTTTTTGTTCTTCTTTTTTCCTATATTTTTTGTTTACGTTTTTGCACTCATTCTTCTTTACCTTCTTTTTCCTTTTTTCTCCTTTTCCTTGTTTTTCCTTCTTTCTTCTTTTCCTTCTGTTTCCATTTTTTCTTCTTTTCCTTCATCATTCTTCTCTTCCTTCTTTTTCTTTTTTATATTCTTATCTTCATCATTCTTCTTTTTCTTCTTTTTTTCCTTTTTTTCTTCTTTTACTTCTTTTTTTCATCTTCGTTACGACTAATTATTTCTTTATTCGATTCTATTTCCCCCTATTCTTTTCTTTTTCTACATATTATCACTTCATTCATTTCTATTTCTATCTTCTCTTTTTCCCTTCTAGTAATTATTACTTAATTAATTTCAATTCCAATCTTTTTGCTCCTTCTAATTATTTCCTCATTTTTCAATTTCTCCATTTTCTGTAATTATTTCTTCATTGTCCTCTACTAATTATTTCTCTCCTCATTTATTCTTCTTCTACTTATTATTTCCTTACTTAATTTTTTCTCCTAAATTTTTTCCTCTTTTTCCACTAATTATTTCTTTATTTACTTCTTCTTCTTCTTCTTCGTTTTCTTCTTTCAATAATTATTTCTATATTTTCTTTATTTCTTCAGCACAATTTGTTTCCCCCTTTTCTTCAATTCATTAAATTATTAAATATTTAATTTAAATTCTAATTAAACTACTAAAAAAAGAAGAAGTGAAAAATTGTTTTCTTCTTTTAGTTTCTCTTCTACTTCTATTTTTTTATTTCTTCTTCTTCTAATAATAATAATAATAATGTTAATAATTATTATTTCCCATTTATTTAAATTACTTCTTAATTTTTCTCTTTTATTATTACTTCTCCATTTATTTTTGTTTTCTAAAAAAATGAAATCTTCATTAAAATAGTTTCTAACAGGTGTCGAAAAATAATTTACATCAATTAATTACAAAGTTCCGTATTAAACGAAGAAATTAATAATTGTTAACAGTTAGAAATTGCTGAATAGATTTTTTTCAAGTTGATAAAATTATGTTAATGAGTGAAGTCCTACTTAAGTGATGGCTCGTCCTGGTTGTACGCAACTTATGTCCTAGTTATTTCCGCGAGGATTCGAAAAATTCAAGATGGATATTGTGATGAAGTTTTAACTTTACAGTTCTTCAGTGGATTTTAATTCTCAATAAAGTTTCTTTAATTCAACGAATTTTAATTTTTGTTTCATATATTTTAGTTATTATTATTTTTTTAATATTTCTTTAAAATATTTTTTAATTACAATTTTAATTAAATTTTAATTAAATTTTAATCGGAATTTCTTTTCAATCTTTTTTCTTTATTTTTATCAAAATTTAATTTACAATAAAATTTCATATTTTAAATCGTCTTAATTTTATTATATGGAATAAAATACATTTCAATTTGATTATATTCAATAAAATACGTTTAATTATTTATTATTTCGAATAAAATACGTAACAAATTTAAAATATTAAAAAAATTGATCCAAAAAGTTCCTAATACTTCAGAGTGAAGTTTCAATTAATTGAAAAGTATACTTTACTGTTTTTAAATAAAGTTTAATGTTTTCATTTTTTGGAAAACTTATTTTTTTATTTTGTTCATTTTTTTGTTTTTTCATTGAAAAATTTATTATTTTTAAGCAAAATTATGATGAAATAAATTCCTAATTTGCAATTTTAAAATTATAATTATATAATAATGTGACGTGCTCCAAAGAAAGATACCTAAGAAGCAAAGAATTTTGAGGTTATTTTCGTGTAATTTTTACATTAATTAAAAATTTTAGTTTAATTGCGTAAAACAAAAATCAGTTTCTATTAATTATTTTCAATGTAATGAAGACTTGAAGATTAGTTGTTGGAATTTAAAGTTGATTATCATTTTGTATTTTCCTTACAAAAATTACAAACATAAACTTAAATTTTCTGCCGCTTAGGTACCTTTCCTTGGAGAACATCAAATATAATTTATTATAATTATTATTGTCATTAAATTGTTATAAATAATTATTTTTATACCAAAATGTTTGTGAATAATTATATTTATAATAAAATGTATTATAATTATTAATTAATTATAATTATTACTGTCATTAAATTATTATAAATAATTATGTTTATAATAATAAAATTTAGTTATAAATAATAATTATTACACTGTAAGTAAATTTTTTTTGGCTCTGAGTCAAATATATCTGGGTGTATAATAAAATAGTTATTAATAATTATTGTTTTAATATAATACAATAATTAATTAATAATTGTAATTATACTATTAGAAATTATAGAAAACATAATAATCACTAGGTATAAAAATATTAAAGTGAAATTAATAATATGAGAAGAATAAACATAATAATTTGAAGAAGAAAAAAAACAATTCTGACACTATCATCATTAAATCCTCAAAGACGCAGGTGAATGCATACATTTGTGACCTACACTGAACACCTGTATTATTCATTAGCAGCTTATATACCTGGGGTCACAAATTAGACGCGAAGAAACAAAAAAATTGTTCAAGAGGGAAGAAAAAAATAAAATGTCATCTTGAAGACTTAGGAGTGTCGTTAAATATATAAATTTATTACACTGAGAACTTGTGGTTTTTTCTTCATTCTATATGGTATATATATATACATTGAAAAAAATTTGTCATTCAGCAAAACACGTTGTTTTGTATGTGTATAGGTGAATGTATCGAGAATCGAGCTGAATCGAAGGACCGAATAATATACCGTAAGTTACACCTTTCGAGAAATAGGGAAGGGGGGGATTTGAGGGAAAAGCGGTCACGTTGATACTTGCTAAAGGTTCTCCTCAACAGTCTCGTGTGTGCGATCGTGCTCAAAATGCAATCGCAGTGAAACTTTCTGCTTTGCTATGCGCGCAAATAAATCGTTTTATCCACGATTCTTGTATTCTATTGTATATAAATTTGTGATTTTTTTTATATCTCAATTTATTTCAAAGTGACGTCTAGTGAATTTGTTATTGTTTGACCTTGAAATATTTTTACATAAATTTTTCTTTTCTCATGCTACACTGGTTCATTCACTTTTCATTATATCTGGCGCCAATTCAAAATAATAAAAATAAAAAAAGGATACACACTTTCAAATCAGTGTTTCAGTTCAGTGAGTGACCCTATTTTTGCTAAATGCCGGAAGATTGTTTATTCAGATAAATACACTGTTGTTCAGGAAACTGGAATTTCAATGGTAATAAATAAAGTGTTTCCTCTTTTTTTTTTAAGGACTGAAAAGAAATTCAGTGATGCTTGTTTTTTTTGTTTAAAAAAAAATAATTCGAAAGTAAAAAACGTAAAAATAAAATAAATTCTTTGTTGATGAATTAAATTAAATTAAAATCATTAAATTCCTTATTATTGAATTTTTCAGTTTTTAAAGAGAAATATTTTTGTAAATATTTTTAAGTAACAGTTTTAATATTAATTGATAAATGGAAAAATTCTTTGCTATTGAATGTTTTGGTTTTCAAAGAGAAACATTTATGTAAATATTCTTAACTAACAAAGTTTTTACAAAATAAAAAATTTTTTACTATCGAATTTTTTGGTTTTCAAAGAAAAACATTTTTATAAATATTCCTAACTAAAAATTTAAATAGGAAGATGTTTTCAATAAAATAAAAAAAACTGTGTTTATTTTTGTACTTTGCTGAAAAAATAGAAAGTTTTCGAAAAAAGAAAGCCTATTTAATTTTGAAACTAGAGAAAACTTTCTTGGGTCTTGAACAATTTCCATAAATTTACTGAAATGTAATGATAATAATTTAGTGAGTCTATTTTTTCAATATGAAGAAATTTTTCACTAGTGGATAAAAAATACCAATTTGTTAGAATTTTTCCCATAAATAATGATAGATTTTGTTTGAAAAATTATTTTCCAAATATTTCTAAATTAAAGAAATCGACTAATTTTTAATTTAAAATTTAAATGAAAGAGTGAAAGATTTTTTTTTAAATTGAAAGAAATTTACTTTAGTAAATTCTATATAATTATTTTTTCAATTAAAATTTCTGGTTGAAACAAAAAATCCTAAAGAAAAAAATATTCTTTTCATTAAAAAACAATTTGTTTGAGCAAAAATAACCGCAGACTTAATAATAGAACAATTTCTTTAAACGGAAGGAAACTTATTAAACTACTTCATTTAAGAAAATAATAATTTCTTTGTAGGCAAAAACTGTTAACTTCTTTTAATTAGGAAGCAATTTATTCGAGTAGAAGATAAGTGCAAACTTCTTTTAATTCTAGAGCAATTTTTTCAAAAGGAAAAGAAGCTAAAATTTAATTTCAAAAAGGAATAATTTTTTTTGTAAAAAAAACTGTTTTAATGAAGAAATAGTTTATATGAGAAAACAAACTTATTCCTTTAATATTAGAATAACTATTTTGAAAAAGAGAAGTGTAAATTTCTTTCAAATAACAAATAATTTATTGTGGAAAAAATGAAAAATCCTCATAATTATAAAGCGATTTTAATTAAATATAAAGAAATTTAAAACATTATTTAATAAAAGAACAATTTTTTGAAAAAAACGTAAACTTCTTTTAATTAGATAATAATTTATTCGATTAAAAGATAAGTGCAAACATTTTTCAACCTAGAGACAATTTTTTTAATAAAAAAGAACTTAAAACTCATTTATTAAAGAACATTTTTCTTCAATCTTTTAATTAAGAAATAATTTATACGAGAAAAAAAACTGCAAACTTGTTTTAAATAGAAGCATAATTTCTTTGAAGAAAAGAACTGTAAACTTCTTTTAAATAACAAATTATTTATTCAGGAAAAAGATGAAAACTTCTCATAATTATAAAGCAACATTTAAATATAAAGAAATTAAAAATTTTATTTAATAATGAACAATTTTTGTTAAAAAACTTTAAATTTCTTCTTCAGAAACAATTTATTCTAGAAAAATAACTGTAAACTTGTTGTAAATAACAAATAATTTATTCAGAATAAAAAAAATGTCTTTTTAGAAGGAAACTTCTTTTAATTAAAAAACAATTTATTTGATTAAAAGAACTGCACACTCTTTTGTTTAAAGATAAATTTCTTTTTGTTTAAAGAAATTGTTTACTAACTAAAAAAAAATTCTTCACTTCGTCTTCAATAGGAATTGAGGTGAATTTTTTTATTTTAATTATGAATTGATTGGTTTTCGACAAAAAATTTTTTTAATAGAAAAAAATTTGTTCTAATTCCAGAAAGTTTGATTTAATTCCAGAAAAGTTTTTTTTAGTTCCAGAAATTTTTTTTGAATGCAAAAAAAGTTTTTTGAATACAAGAAAATTTTGTTCTAATTCCAGAAAGTTTGCTTTAATTCCAGAAAAGTTTTTTTTAGTTCCAGAAATTTTTTTTGAATGCAAAAAAAGTTTTTTGAATACAAGAAAATTTGTTCTAATTCCAGAAAGTTTTTTTAATTCCAGAAAAGTTTTTTTTTAATTCCAGAAATTTTTTTTGAATACAAGAAAAGTTTTTTTAATACAAGAAATTTTTTTTTAATACAAGAATGTTTTTGTAATACAAGAAAATCTTTTATTTAATACAAGAAATGTTTTTTTCTACATTCAAATTTTGTGAAGCTAAAGATGACACAACACTTTTAAATACTTCTTCATCATAAATAGAATAAATCAAGAGAAATTAAAATTTTATTTGCAAATGAGAAGCAATAAGAAAGTAAATTTAAAAAATTGGAAAAAATGTACTTATAATTGAAAAGGAGTAAAATTTTGGTTTTCTTTAAAATTTTAGAAATGCCTAGTCCGGAGCTCGAAGCGGTTAATATTCTCGAGACCCTTGAATCCGGTCTCGCTTTACTTCCTGGGGGAAGGGACCGCGAAGGCCGTCCCCTGGTTGTGGTAAATGTCCCGCCAGGTGATCCTCCCTCGAGTTCCAAGTCGAAATTAGAAGCCCTTCTTGAATATTATCTCACAATCTTCAGGTGAATCTTTTAATACTTATATATATATATTATTTTCTTCAATTCAATTTATTCTTCTTAATTTAAATTCAATTTTTAATGAGGTGAAGTTTTCTTTTATGTAAATACGATTGAATAAATAAATAAATAAATAAATAAACAAAGTACATGTTTATTTATGAATAAATACATTTATTATACGGAGTATTATTATTTAATATCATTTTTATAATATAACGGAAATAATTAGATAATTAATGTATTTATTTATTCAATTATTTATTTATTAAAATATAATCGTATAAAAATATTAAAATAATTAAAATAAAAATATTTAAAAAATTATATTTTTTTAATGTTAATAAAGAAATAAACATTTTTATTGTATTTAAATTTAAATAATAAATTAAAAATAATTTTTATTTTTTGGGAAAAAAATTGTCGAATGATTAATAATGTTAAACGAGAATTATTAATATTTCAGTGAAGAAACTAAACAAAATGGATTGTGCCTTTTAATTGATGCTCGTTATGCTGTTTGGCGAGTTGCGAGATCTTTTATTCGACTTTCGACTCTTATTTTGGGCTCTAATGCAACATCAACTATTGCAGTGCGTCCCGATGGATTTTGGGACAAACGGGTTGATAATTGTACCAAATCTCATAAAGAGGGGGAGGTAAGTCACTAAAAATTTTTTTCATTATAGTCCGAAAAAAATTAATATTTTTTGTACAATATTTTTCAATTTTTCAGTATTTCAATTATTGTTATTGTACTTATTATTATTACTTATTAATTATTTTTAATTGTATTATTAGGGGAACATAGTCTAGGTCGGCCACCTTTTTGACTTTTGTTTATAACTTTTTTTTAAAAATGAATTTGGACAATTGAAGTATATGGTTGGAAAGTCCTGTTTAATAGGAACATTTTTTCTGTACAAAGTAAATTGACAGGTTTAAAAATGAAAAAGTTATAAAGATTTAAAAAAAAAAAAATTTGTAGTCCAGGTTGGCCATTACAGTCAAGGTCGGCCATGTTTAAAATTCAAAGGGCATTAATCGTTAAAAAATAAAATAACATGTTTGGAGTTACGGAAAATTGATTCTTTATTGTTTACAGTTTGTAACTTAATGAAATAACAAAATAATAAAAATAAACAATATAAAAAAATAAATATAAATAAAAAAAAATTTTGCACTAAAATATTAATAAAATTAAATGAAACTATTAATAAGATGATCAATTATATTATGAGTTATACAGAATTGCAGTTTTTGCAAATGAAGTAGCTCGTCCTCATCTTTGCGCATTTTAAACACATAGTGGCCGACCTTGACAGTAAGTAACATTACCGAATTGTTGTAACCATAAAGAAATACGTTTCGGGATTCGATTTTTTACTTTGTTTTCCTTTCAACCATGAGTCCCACAAATTTTCTGCATACTTGCCTTGACGATTCAATTTGTTTTTTATCTTTTATTAATGGTTTTTCACATTATGCACAAAACTTTTTTTGAGCTTTTTTTGTACCGACGTCACAGAAAACACAATTTTCGATTTTCCGAAAATGTAATTGAACAAAAAGTTAGGTTTCACTAAGACAAGCTTCGACAAAAATGCGCGTAGGTGGCGCTAGTGAACTTGACAAAAAAACGCGAGTGGCCTACCTAGACAGTAGACCAACCTTGACTACATTCCCCTATATTTGATTTAAAATTGAAGCTATTTATTATAAATAAATAAAGTTATTAATATTTTTATTATTTATTTATATTTATTATTTATATTTTTATTATTTTATTATTATTTATTTTATTAATAATAAATTATTATTTATTAATTATCAATTATTATTGTTTAAATTATATTTTATTAACGAAATTTATTTTTAAAGTAAACTAAATTAACTCAAATTAATTTAACTTTAAAATAAAATGAATATTTCATTTTATTTATAAATTTTTATTAAACAATATTATTTAGTATCAAAAAATTTTTTTTCCAGCCAATATACATTCCGGTTACAAGACTGTACACTTTCATTCGACCTAATCAATTGACCTACGACTTGGGAGGAACAAAATCTTTCGATCACACGGAATGGATTCAAAATCGTGTGGTAATTTAATATATTTAATTAATATTTAAACAATTTTGAGAGGAAATTAAAAAAAAAAAATTTTGGAAAAACATTGTTAATTGTTTTTTTTTATTTTTGCATACTCAGCATATCGAGGAACTTGCCAACGATTCTTTGAAGTTAATTACAAAAATGACAGAACTTGGAAATAATTTAAGGAGTTTGGAAAAAATTCGCTCAAGAGAATCCAAAGATAATCTTGCATCATTTTGGGAAATTGGAACTGAAGTTACATTCGCCGCTCGACGAATTCTTCATACAGGTAAATAAAATATATTTTATTTTTATTGATTTTTATTGATCAATAAATACTGAATTTCTAAGCTTAAATTAATTTCTTCTCAACGAAATTAATTAATGTAATAAAAATTGCAAAAAATAATTTTTCTATTGTTTGTAAATTTTAGGTCGTCTTTTGGTGAATAGTTTACTGAGTAAAGAAACTTCGCAGGATATTTTAGATGCAGTTCAAGAAGTTAATAAATCGTTGGACACAATAGAACTCAAGCAGGTGGAAATAAAAAAAAATTACTGTATTTATAAATTATATTAACTATAATGATAAATAAATTATAATTATATAATTATAAGTAAATATTAAAGTAAAAAAAATATATAATTACAAGTCTAATTAGATGGTAATGAGAATAATATTCTTCTCGCCAGGTGGAAGTCGAAAGCGCTTGGACGGAAATGGAACGCAATTTAGATACAGTTAGGGAAATTAAAAACTTGGAGGAAAGTGTTTCGAGAGTGACCAATTGGATTCTGGGTCCAGCTGATTCTATGCTTAATTCACGCTATCAAATTGGATTCGACGTCGCTTCATCCGAAGAATTAAGGAGGGAACATGAGAAATTGGAACTCGAGTGCAGAGTATGTTTAACGAACAATTTTTTATAGATTAAACTAATTAATTATAATTAATTAAATAAATTATAAATAATTATTATTAACTTATTGTTTATTAATTTATAATTATTGTCAATTATTTTCTTTAGTATAAAGAGAACAATAATTCTAAATATAAAAATATTCTCTTGTCATTCGTTTCATATAATCTTTGTAATTTACCTAATTATTAAATAATAATTATTTATTTAATTATATTTTTTAAAATTGAATTTTTATATTAATTATTTGCAGGACACGTATGGAAGATACGCTGAACTACTTCATAGAATTGATAATGTACCAAACGGATGTATATCCAGTGATCTCAAGTCCCAAAGAGATTTTATGGATTTTGTGTGTCGAAGTTTTGCCACTAGATTAGAGAGGCGACGAAATGTTCTTATTACTTCCCAAAGATTTTTTCGACTCGTTTCAGAGGTAAGTTAATCCCCCTCCCCCCTCAAAAAAATTAAGATTTATTTTGAATATTTCTAAATTAAATATTTTATTTTGGATTTTTTTTTATTTTGCATATATTTTCGAAAAATAAAATAATATTGTCAAAAAAAAAAAACTTGTTATTAGTTTCAAAATAAAAAAAAAATAATATTAATTTATTTATGAAATAAATATTAATCAATTAATTTATTTCGGAATGTTACAGTATTTTGACAAAACGAGTGAAGTGTTCGATAAGCTAATAATGGGAAATCGATCTTACGATTTCTTGCAGGCGAGATTAAAATTACAAAAACTCGAGAAGAGTCAATTAATGTTGGGTAAATGTATTTTGTTAAATTTGAAGTATTTATTTAATTAATTAAATTAATACAATGTATATGTTAATTTATCCAATTAAAATAATTAATTAGGTAAATTCTCATTTTATTAATTGAGAGAGACCACAGTTGGAAAGAAAGTGAATAATAAAAATTTTTCTTCTAGAAACTCTTGAGAAAGAATTGGTGAAAGAAGGTGAAAAATTGTCGGATATTCTTTCAATGCCAGTAAAGGATGCATTGTGTCGTGATATTCACGTTGATTATGGTGAAGATATAATTAACGTTCGCGATATTTTAGACGCGACAAATGCACGAAAAAATATTTTCAACGACAGTGTTGAACTACAAAAATTGGCGTTAAATCAAATTACCCTGATACACACCTACGAAAATGATGCTCAACAGGTAAACAATAAAATTACTTACCAAAAGAATTTAATGTTTAAATTTGTTTTATTTCAATTTTTAATTCAAATTAATTTCATTTCATTAAATTAAATTTAATTTAATTTCGTTTCATTTAATTTCATTAAATTTAATTTTATTTCATTAAATTTAATTTTATTTCATTAAATTAAATTTAATATCATTTCATTTTTAATCGAAACTAAATTAAGAATTTTAAACATTTCTAATCGAAAATAAGCTAAGGAATAAAAATATTTTTTGATCAGTAATTAATTAAGGCTGTATTATTTTTACTTTTTATTTAATTTAATTTTTAATTGGAAATAAATTAAGAATTAAAAATACTTTTAACTCGAATTAATTAGTCAAATAATCTAAACATTAATTATTTGGTTTAATAAGTAATTATTTGGTGTAATTATAAATTATTTTCTAAATTTAATAATTATTTATTCAAATTAGTAAATATTTGTTTTAATTAATAATAATTTAGTTTAGTTAGTAATTATTAAGTCCAATGAGTAATTATTTATCCTATTTATTTTTATTATAAATCATGAAAAAAATACCTGCATTTTTTCGATCTGTCAAACAATATTTTTTAAAGAAAAAAAAAAACAAAAAAATTTATTCTAATTAGTAATTATTTGTTCTAATTAATAATAATTTGGCTTGATTAGTAATTATTTAGTCAAGTTAATAATTATTTATTCTAATTAGTAATTATTTGGCCTACTTAATAATTATTCAGCTCAATTAAAAATTTTGTAGTTTAATTAAAAACAAATAATTTTTTCAGTTGTAGAAAAGCTTAATCGTTGGAAAATTGAGAGATAATAGAATACAAACATATTTAATTAATTCTCGGATATAATTACATTTTTTTTTCTTTCAATAATTGTTTGGAAATTTATAGGCTGTGCATTGGTTGAATGATCTCTTCGACGTTCTTCTTGGAAGTCACGTTGAAATTGGTTGCAATATGAACGAAATTCAATCGCAAAAGGAGGAACATCAAGCATTCCAAGATACGGCAAAGGTAATTAAGATAATTATTATATAAGAAAATGAAACTCGTTTCCTCATTTAACGGTATTTATGTATTTTAAAACAAAAAAAAAATAGGGCACGTATGAGTACGGAAATCAATTAATAAATGGAGCTCGAGTTCTTAGGCTTTCCTGTAAATTATCACTAGCTGAAAATACCGATTTATCAGTGAGATTACGATTGGCTTGGAGAAAATTACATTCTGTGGGACAGGAGCAACTAACAAGATTGAGAGTTTGTGCCGTTTTTCACAGAAATGTCGACGACGTAAGCACTTTACTTTAATTACTCTTATTATTTTTGTCTAATTGCCCTTTTTCAGAAGAGAAAAAAAATTACAACTTAAAGGACAAATTACAATTGAATATATTGTCTTTTCGTTAATTACTTTGTTTCTTAAATTAATTTGATTTTCAAATTATTTTAATTCAAACTAATTTTACTATACTTTTGTTAATAACTAATTTAATAAAAAACTAATAATTAATTTTATATTTTCTTCTATTTTCTTAATTATTTAAAGTTTATTTTATATTTTTTTATTTTACATTTTCCAATTAATAATTAATTTTCTATTAATTTTCTATTAATTTCTATTAATAAAAAATCTCTGATTTAGTTAAAAATTAATTTAATATTATAAAAATTAATTTAGTATATATAATTAATAACTATCACAATTTTTTTAACTACATATAATTATTTTAATTAATAGTCGTTCGTAAAATAACAGTGAAAAAAATGTGAACGTTAATTTTGCAGCACTGTAAACAATTAGGTGATATAATTGAAGTTGTGGAGAAGTTGTTGGAGAGACAAAAATTAAAACTGGAATCCGGAACGTCGCCGGATGTTGAAACATATCCAAAAGTGGAAATAAGAGAAATACTGACAAAGAGGGAAGAACTTTTACCGGAAGTTGGACGAATGGTGAGACTTGGAAGACTCCTGAGGACAAGATTAAAAGATTCTTTGACGTTTCAACGGTAAATTTTTTTTAGTTCTTAACTAAAGAAATATTTTTTCAACAATTTAGTAAAAATTTACTAGAGAGATGGGAAATTAATAAAAAATTGCAAGATTGTCTGATTAACACTGGCTTCTACTACTTAAAAAATTAGTATTCAAACTTAACGATTAGTTACTACTTATATTTTAACAAAATTAATTGCGATGTCTGACAAAAACGGGACTTTTTCTACTGAGGCAAAAAAAAAATAAAATAAAATAAACGATTGTCTGGCTAAAATAGAATTTTACTACTGAAAATTACTGAATTCCAAGAGAAAATTAAATAAACGGTTGTCTGACTAGAATAGAATTTTACTACTGAAAATTACTAAATTCCAAGAGAAAATTAAAAAACGATTGTATGACTATAATAGAATTTTACTACTGAAAATTACTAAATTCCAAGAGAAAATTAAAAAACGATTGTCTGGCTAAAATAGAATTTTACTACTGAAAATTACTGAATTCCAAGAGAAAATTAAATAAACGATTGTCTGACTAAAATAGAATTTTACTACTGAAAATTACTAAATTCCAAGAGAAAATTAAAAAACGATTGTATGACTATAATAGAATTTTACTACTGAAAATTACTAAATTCCAAGAGAAAATTAAATAAACGATTGTCTGACTATAATAGAATTTTACTACTGAAAATTGATTAACTTTATACAGTGTCTGATTAATAGTGTCTTTCCCTACTGATATAAAAACAAAGATTTAATGTTTCAATAAAAATTATTCTTACTATTGAAAAAAAAATTATGGTCCTTTAAAGGTCAGACTGATGACTTGACTGCGACTACTAAACACTAATTTAATAAAATTTTAAAGTCTGACTAATGAGGAATATTACCACTAGTGTCAAACGAACTAAAAGTTTTTCTGGTTTTTGAACGATTTGCTAAAAATTAATTTACTACTTACTTAATTATTTTTGAAAGCGAAAAAAGAAGTAACTGTCTGACTAAACTTGATATTTACTACTGACATCAAAATTACAAAAAAAAGTTTTACGATCGACTGGAAATTATTTTTTCAATTGACATTTACTTTTTTTTTACTAAAAAGCATAGCAGCAAAGAAAAAATTAATTTATTAAAACTGTTAAAATTGTCTGACTAAAATAGAAGTTTTCTACTGATTAAAAATTAACGAAAATTCGACGTCAGACTGAATTTGATGTAAACTACTGAATAAAAAAATTAATAAATGCAGAAGTCTGACTATAATTGACTTACACTACTGATAAGAAATGAATAATAATTTACTGTCTGACCAAAGTTGGATTTTACTACTGATTTAAAAAATTTTGAAAATTAAGAATAATATTAATGCAGAAGTCTGACTATAATTGACTAATACTACTAATAAAAAATTGATAATTTATTTATGTCTGACCAAGTTTGACTTTTACTACTGAGACAAAAAATACAGAAAATTAGAAAATTCCTCTCTCTTATTGACTTTTGCTACTGATAACAATTTGAAAATATCTTAAAGTCTGACTAAGACAAATATTTTCTACTTGTATTCAAATTAAAATTTTTATTTTGTCTGACTGAAAATTCTTTTTTCTACTAAAATATACAAACAATTTTTTACTACTGAAATTAACTGCTTATTTTTACTATTAAAGTCTATTACTAATTTTCACTAATAAGATCAATTACTAATTTTTACTAATATGGTCTATGACTAATTTTTACTGCTAAAATCTACTACTAACATTTTTTTTACTATTTCCAAACAATATGTGTTGTCTGACTGAATATTGATTTTACTACTTAACGGAGATAAGAAATATTAATTTTTCTACAATTTGGAAAAAAAACTTGAAATATTAAAAAACAAAATTCAATAATTTAATTTCTAATTTATCATGACTAATTTATAGCTTTCATAAATTTTCATCAAAAGAACGATGATTTATTTCTACTCTTTCTCTAAATTTTCTTCTTCACTCTAAATTTATCCAACCAAACGAATGCTCTATAATTTCCAACGTATAAAACATGCAAATAAAATTTCAAATCTCATTTTATAACATCAAATATTTGCCTAACGTTTTTGCGCAAAAATTTCTTAAAATATCATTTTGGAAGCCAAGAACTGATTTTATCCAGCGGCAGAAAAACAAAAAACGCCCAAGAGTATGGTGAAAATAACCTTCTTCCTCCCCCACCCCACCAAATAAACTTTCAATTTCCCTCACCTCCAGTGTTTTCAAACTCTTTACGCGCATGCACTGATGGCAATGACGTTCCAACTAAATTAGATCAGTGACCTACCTTTTCATTTCTTTCGCGCTGTCAAGACCTCCCTGTCACTTTTCTTATGTAATTTCTTTCCCACAATTTGCAAATATTAAAAATATTATATTAATTATTATTAAATTAATTCATTTTCAATTCTAAATTATTAATTTAAATAAAAAATGTAAAAACAATGAAAAAAGTGAAAAATCTGACTTTTTAAAGAATTTTTAAGACTTTAAATTTGAAACTGAAAACAAACTGACTACCCTAGTAATAAAATTAATAACTGTTTATGTTAAAAATTCGTTCATTTTTCTATTTATGTTATTTATGATCGAAAAAGTCGAAAATTTAATTTACTATTTTTTTTAAATACTACACAAGAATGTCCGATTTGGAGAGAAAATCGCCGGATGAAAGTGGAAATTTATCAGCGGTCGAGTCAATTTCAAATAAATTACTCGAAGTTACGAGGCTCGCGGAAAAATTGGACGCGAAACTCAGTGAGGCGGGTGCTAGGACCAAACAAGATGACAATAGTTCAAATAGTCGTCTAGAATCACCGCGTCAAACAACTTGTGTTGATTTGCCGAGAGATGAGAGGAAGGAAAGTCCCATTGAGGTTCGTTATTTGTTTTAAATACGAAATAAAAAATTAAAACCAATTTAAAGGAAAATAAAAAACACTAAAAATAAAGTATTAAAAATTACAAAGCAATTAAAATGAAAATAAGAAACATTACAAATAAAATCAAAAAATTAAAAACAATTAAAAAGTAAGTGGAAAATATTAAAAATAAAATAGTAAAAAATAAAAATAAAAATAAAAATAAAAATAAAAATAAAAATAAAGTAAAATAAAAAAAAATAAAAAAATGCTTGTCAATTATTATTCAGAAGCAATTTATCAACAAAATCTGATTACATCTTTTGTGAAAAATTTTTAAGTAGGTACCTATCATTTGTGTGCATAAATTTTTGTTATAAAAAATTTAATAATAATATTACTTAATTAAATGAATAATTAATAATTTAAAAAATTAGAAATAAAATAATAATCTTTTTTTAATTATAATTTTATTTCTAATAATTAATAGGTTGTGGGTGATCAAAAATTATCTGACAGCGCAATTGAAGATTCGAATTTAGAAGAATACGTGACAGCAACTGAATGCTCAACCACGCCAATCATTCGATCTCGAAGTGAATCAATTGTAACCAGTTCAGAATATGAAGATGCTTTATCAAGGTACAAAAAATAGCTCTCAATTTTATTTCTTGGAAATTATTTTAAAATTCTATTTTTTAAAGAATAAAATAATAATAACAATAAAATAACAATAATAAAATAATAATAATAATAATAATAATAATAAAATAATTATAATAACAACAACAATAATAATCATAAAATAATAATAATAAAACGCAATAATAATAAATCTGATTCTCTTGCAAATATGATGATACAAAATAATTTATTTTATTTTAAATGAATGAAATTAATTATTTATTATATTTATTTGAAATATTTACTGCAATTTTTTTAATAACAATTTTATTTACAATTAATTTTAATATTTGAATTAAAGTAATTATTTATTGTAAATTCTAATAAGTAAATTAGTCATAACTAATTTTATTTACGCATTATTTTAATATTTACTTTCTAAATTTGAATTAGTAAAATTAGTAATAAATAGTAATTTCTACTAATTTATTAGTAAAGTTGACTTTTCTTAATAAATTAGTAACTGATGACTGTTTGCTTTTGAATTAGTAAGTTATAGTAATAAATAGTAATTTTTACTAATTAGTAAAACTGATAAATTTAAATGCAAAAAGTCAGTCACTAATTCAAAGTAAAAAACATTTTAAAAAACATTTTTCAAATTTAGAGAGTAAATTAAATTAAATATTATAAATTACAAAAAATTAATTAAATAATGAATAACTTAAATATTAAAATGAGTCGGAAAAAAATTTGTGACTGGAAAAATTATTAATTACAAATTATAATAAATAAATTATTCAAAATTTAAGAAAGAATTAAGAAAGAAAGAAGTAGATTATTTGCCATTCTAATAAATAAATTATGTATTATAATTTCTAATAAATAAATTATTCATTATAATTTCTAATAAATAATATATTTATTAAAATAATTTACCAAGTGAATTAGTTACTATAGAGTGTTTCTAAGTTGCGAAGCAACGTTTTGATACATTTTTTGTCTCAATTTGATATCCTTAGAAAAACTATGATGTAAATTACAATAAAAATTAAATATAAATTTATATAAATATAAATAAAATGAAAAAAATATTCCCAAAAATTGAAAAGAAAGATAAAAAAAAATAAATTTAAAAAGAATATTTTTTTTTTTGGTGCGTTGAAATATTTTAATAAAATGAAAATAAAATTTTGTTCATCAGGAATGTTGATCACGCTTCAACGCCTACGGAATATGTTATACCTGTTTTATCAACGAAGAAAAGCGAGCCAGCAATTATAAAGCCAATAGCGATAAAATCAACAGCGACAGGATCTCAAGATGAAGTGAACTGTGATCAAGCTATTTCAATACAAAGATTCATTGAGGTAAAAATATCTATTGAAACTTGAACTTTAAATTAGTAAATTGATACTGATATGCGTATTGGCAATATCCACTCTACAGTATAATATAATGTATATTTATATTTTATATAAAAAGAACCAGCATCAGTTTTTCGTTTCAAGGAGCAATGCTCCCGCATGATAACCGCAGAGAAAAGAAGACGAAAAGATTTTCAAGGCCAATAAAAATGGTCGTAAAAATATTTTTTTCACAGAAGCAATTTTAGCTGTTTTTTTTTATTTTGAAAATTTATTTATTTTTTATTATTATTTTTCAATTCAATTTTTTTAAAACTTTTTTTACACTAAAGTATTAAAAATAATAAACATTGCTCTGTAGATTTGAATTAGGGAAAATAATCTAACTTTTTTTTTCGAATTTATTTATTTATTCATTTACACGGGCCGTGCCCTTTCGAATTGGTAAAATTTAATACTAAACTTTATTCTTAAACTTTTTTCTCTAAATTTGAATTAGTAAAAATTATTTGAATTAGTGACTAACATTTTTCTTTCGAATTAGTAAAATTTGCTAATAAATTATTGATAATTACTATAAAATTCACTAATTCAAAACCAAAATGTCATTTAAAAAAAATAAAAAAAATTTTTATCAAAATGATACTGGGAAGTGGTCTTTTTAATGTAATATTAAAGTTTCATTAAAATTTTCCCTTTGAATTTCAGGGAAAAAGCGGAAAGATCGTGAAGGAAGTGACTGAAACGACGACACTGCGAGTGTCTCATGATACTCGATTAGGAGTTTCATCTTATAAATTAGTTGCGAATACGACTCGAGATAATCAGCATCACTGTGATGTGAAGAAAATGCAAGATCTCAAACTAACTTGCGAAAGTGAAATGGAATCGAGTAATTCAGAAGTTGCGAATAGTATGTAATTTATAATTATTAAGTTTTGGAAAACTTTTTTATTAACGTAAATTTTTTTCTACAAGTTTATTAATTTCCCTGAATTTAATAGTAATCTATTTAAATAGTAAACGAAAAAAAAATATTTACCTGGAGCAGTGATAAATTTTTTTACAGTAGCAAAAGTCTTAACTAAAAAAACTAAAATTTTCGCCAAATACAGTAAAATTTGTAGCTACACCAGATAAATTTTTTTCCCTGTAAGAATTATTCTATTTTAATAATTCATATTAATATTTAATTTAATATTAAATAATTAATAAACTGACAGATTAGCTCTCTCGGATATTAAATAATTAATATTGAAGTAATTACATTAATATTAAAATTTAATTTAATATTAATTACTTTATTTAATATTAATTACTTCATTTAATATAAAATAATTAGTTTAATATTAATTTTTCGATTTAATATTGAATAATTACTTCAATATTCATAAAGATAAAAAATTACTTTTTAATTATTTAAATTAATTTTTCTAACCAATTATAATTAAATTAAATTAAAAATTAAAGAATAATAAACAATACTAATTTTAATAATAATAATAAAACAATAAATATAAAATAAGTCAATGAAATAAATAAATTAATAATTGATTTTTCTTTTCCAACAGCTGATCGTTTTTTTAAAGACTACGACACAGATTATTCAAAACACACTGCTACCGGTAATTTATTAAATGGTTTTGAATCAAAATTATGGTCACACGAACAGGAAGAGCATTCAATGTGTTCAAATGGCGGTTCACCGTCCACCACGTCATTAATAAAATTCAATAAAATAAAAATGCAAGAATTGTCACCAATGAATAATAACAATATTACGACAAATTATTATCAACGTTGTAAGGAGGATACAAAAGATGTGGACATTGATGGAATTGAAAATGGGTTTTTGTCGAAAATTCGTATGGTGAGTCAAAGAGGTTCTTCGTAAAAACAAAATTCTCATCTGAATAAAAAGAGCAAATTATTAAAAGATAAAAATTCCCGTTTTCTTTTATTTATTTTTTTTTATTTCAAAATAAGGGAGGGGGGTATGGACTAACATGCCATAGTGTAAAAAAAATGAAAGAAAATTAAAAAAAAATGGATGTTGAAGAATAGAGGCGAGCATACAATTAAGCATGAATTAATAACGCCTCTGCTGGTTAATTCATCTAACAATTTATGTTGTATTGTTATGTATTTAATGCTGTATTTTTTATTTTTGTAAATAAAGTGTCACAATTAATTTTCGATGGTTTATTTTTTTAATTTTGCCTATTCGCTGTTGTTGATAATTGTTATGTTGATTTTTTAATTTTTATTAATTATAATAATGTTCTTTTCTTTTTTGGCATAATTTTTCTTTTTTTGTTTAATATTTTCTTTATGTTTTTTTATCATTGTCGTCATTATTTTCTTCTTATTTTTCCTCTTTTTCTCGTTCTTTTCTTTTTTCTCTCTTTCTTCTTTTTCCTTTTCTCTTTCTTTTTTATTTTCTCCTTCTTCTTATTTTTACTCTTTTTCTCCTTTTTTTCTATTTTCTTTCCTTCTTCTTTTTCTCTTTCTATTTATCCCCTACTTCTTTTTTTCATTTGCTTCTTCTTCTTCTCCCTCTTTTTGTTCTCCTTCTATTTTCTTCTTTTCTACATTTTTTCTTTCACCTTCTTTTTTTCTTCTTAATTTCCTTTTTCTACTTTTTTTCCTTCTCCTTCTTGTTTTCTACATCTTATTTTCCTTGGTCATCTTTTTTTTATTTTCCAGTTTTTCTTTTTTACTTTACTTCTTTTTCTATTTTTTCTCCTTCTTTTTTCTTCTTTACTAGTATTTTTTAAAAATTAAATTTCAATAGTTTTATATTTAACTTGTCGTCAAAAAATTTTTTTTGACTATTTTATTTTTATTGTCACTCTCTAAATTAGAATTAGTAAAAATGTTTACTAGTTTATTAGTCAATTTTATTAAAAAAATTAGTAAAAATTACTATTTATTATTAAAATTTAGTAGAAATGATTATTTATTAGTCAAATTTAGTAGAAATGACTATTTATTAGTCAAATTAGTAGAAAATACTATTTATTGGTAAAATTGAATAGAAAATACTATTTATTAGTAAAATTTAGTAGAAATTACTACTTATTAGTAAAATTCAGTAGAAATTACTGTTTATTCGTAAAATTTAGTACAAATTACTATTTATTAGTAAAATTCAGTATAGATTACTATTTATTAGTAAAAGTTACTAGAAATTACTATTTATTAGTAAAATTCAGTAGAAATTACTATTTATTAGTAACATTCAGTAAAAATTACTATTTATTAGTAAAATTTACTAATTGAACAGCAAAAATTCAGTCACTAATTCAAATTTTAGTAAACACTTTTTTGTAATTCTAATTTATAGAGAATTTAAATTTACTTATTTTCTTTATTTATTCATCAGAGTTAATTAATTTTTTTTGTTTGTTTTCTACATCTTATTTTTCTTTTTCATCTTTTTTTATTTTTCAGATTTTCTTTTTAACTTTACTTCTTCCTTTTATTTTTCTACTTCTCCTTCTTTTTTTTCTTTTACTTCTTTTTTACTTTTTTCTCCTTTTTTCTTCTTCTTTACTACATTTTTCCTTCTGCTTCTTGTTTTTTTCTTCCTCTTTTCCTTTTTCTTCTTTTTCTACTCTTTCCTTGTCTCTTTTTTTATTTTCTCCTTCTTCTCTTTCTTCATATTTTTCTTCTTTTTCTCCTTCTTTTCTTTTTCCTTTCTTTCTTCTTTTTCTCTTTCCTTTTATCTTCTACTTCTTTTTATTTTCTTTGCTTCTTCTTCTCCCTCTTTTTGTTCTCCTTTTATTTTCTTCTTTTCTACATTTTTCTTTCTGCTTCTTGTTTTTTCTTCCTCTTTTCCTTTTTCTTCTTTTTCCTTTTCTCTTTCATTTTTAATTTTTTATATATTCTTCTCATTTTTCTTCTTTTTTCTTTCTTTCTTCTTTTACTTTTTCTCTTTTTATTTATCTCCTACTTTTTTTTCTTCATTTGCTTCTTCTTCTTCTCCCTCTTTTTGTTCTCCTTCTATTTTCTTCTTTTTACATTTTTTCTTTCACCTTCTTTTTTTTCTTCTTAATTTCCTTTTTCTACTTTTTTTCTTCTTCTTCTTGTTTTTTAAATCTTATTTTCCATTTTCATCTTCTTTTTATTATTTTCCAGTTTTTCTTTTTTACTTTACTTTTTACTTCTTACTTTACTTCTTATTTTATTCTTCTACTTTTCCTTCTTTTTTTCCTTTTACTTCTTCTTTTTCACTTTTTTCTTCACCGTCCACTTTTTCCTTTTCTTTTTCTTTTTTCTTTTCTCCTTCCTCTCCTTTTTCTTATTTTTCCTCTTTTTCTCCTTCTTTTCTTTTTCCTTTCTTCCTTCTTTTTCTCTTTCTCTAAATTCGATCATTATTCATATTCTTTGTCATCTTTTCTTTATTACTCTTCCCAATTCACTTTTTTCTTTTTTCTCCATAGTCATTATTATCATCATCAAGATCTTAATTTTTTCTTCTTTCGATCCACATTTTTAATCTTCTTCTTCTTTTTTTATTCATCATAATAATAATGAATTATTCTTTTCCTTCTTTTGCTTCTCATTTACATTCTTCTTCTTCTTCTTTTTCTTTTTTAGCATAATCAAAAATATCATCAAAATCATTATTTTCATTTTCTTCATTTGCTGGTAATTTTTATTTTCTTTATTTTTCTTAATAAAATTTCTCTATTCTACAGAAACTTATCCCTATTCCAAATAAACTTTTTCTTTTCTCCCATCATTCACTGAATATAAAATTAGCTAAAAAATTCCCAAAGGCCAATGAAAAATAAAAAAAAAAAAACTCGGGCTATAAAATCAACAATTTTTGAAAATTATGATGATAGACATTAAAATATATCCTATGGATAACTTTGCAAATAATCTAAGAAAAGATTCGCTAAATATACCGCTTGTGGATGATGATGATATGGACCGATCATCATGTCGGGAACTATCGGTGCCACTCGGGAATCCACCTTGGGGAAGTGGGAAGTTCTCTTATACCAGTTTAACTTTTAACAGTTTTAGTGTTTGAGCGGCCTTCGCGCCAGATTGTTGTATTACAATACACAAGTCGCTCGATTCTCAAACATGTCACGCGTGTCTCTTTATAGTGTTATTGTTCGCGAGTGAATATTTGCGGTTTCGAAAAAGAAAAAAAGAAAAATTTTATGTGTGAAAAATTCAATTTTTTATTTATTTTACACTAATTTCTTCTTATTATTATTACGTCCTTGATCTTCGAAATAAAATTTTCGTTTTTATTCCACTTTTTAAAATTTTTAGTTATTTTTTTAGTTTTTTTATTTTTATACACTTCGGATTATTCAAACCTCGTTAACAGTGAAATATAAAAAAAAAAATTTTTTCTAGCACGGAAACTTAAAAAAAAATTTATTTGAAATTTTAATTCAAGAAATAAAAGATTAAATTCGGTTTAGTAAAATATTGACTTCTTCTTCCAATTATTTTTGTTCTATTATTTTCTCTCATATTTTCCCATCTTATTTCGAAAAAGAGAAAAACTTCTTTTTTGTAAAAATCAAATAGAACAATATTTTGCGCCGGTGAATTTAAATAAATAATTTTGAGAGAAGAAAATTCAAATTCCAAGTGGTAGGAATATTTTTTCCATCTCAAGGACCAAGGGAAGATGAAAAACAAATTTTCTTTTTTAAAGTGGATCGAATACATCATGTGTGTTATCGAAATTGATTGTAGTGCGTATCATATAAAATACTTAAATACATTCTTATAAGTGGATACCACCTGGAATTACGAAATAAAAATAAGTATCAAAAATAAACACAAAATCTACATTGTAGAAAGTTAAATCAGTAATTCGAAAAAAAAAATTGTTTCAAATAGTTACCAAAAATAAATAATTTTTATTCACTTTCGATATGCATTATTTCTGGTACAACGAAAAGGCTACCGGTCAGGCAGGTTTTCTTTCGTCCATGTCGATGACGTCAGTGTGCGCTAAGATTCATATATATATGTACACACAATGCCGGGTTTTTAAAAGTTAAAAGAAAAAAATTGTAAAAAGTCATCAAGAAACATTAATTGACATTCCGGTTTATTATTATTATTAATTAGAGTGAATGAAACTTAATTTAATTTTTATCTCCGTTTTAAACAAGTCCGTTATCAACATTCTCATTATCTCCATCTTCCGCGGAACATTATTTTCTCCACTCTCTTGTTATTCAAGGCTAATGAATTTGTTCAGTCAATGTTAAGTAATTCGTTTGCAATTTATATTCGCAAAAGGTTTTTCTTCTTCGTCCTTTTTTGTTTAGTTTCTCTCCTATTTTTGGCTCCTTTTTAATTTTGATTTAATTTCTTATTTTTCGTCTTTTATTATTTTTTGTACTTATTTCTTAATTTTTAAATTGTATTTCTTAACTTTTAATTTTTAATTTCTAATTTTTAATATTTAATTCTTATTTTTTAATTCATTACAAATTTTTTGTTAACTTTCTTTGAAAGTATTTTTCTTTTAATATTTTTTAAAAATTAAATTTCAATAGTTTTCTATTCATCTCGTCGTCAAAAATTTTTGTTTTGACTATTTTATTTTTATTGGTAAACTCTGAATTAGAATTAGTAAAAAATTTTACTAGTTTATTAGTAAATTTTACTAAGAAATTATTAGAAATTACTATTTATTAGTAAAATTTAGTAGAAATGATAATTAATTAGTCAAATTTAGTAGAAATAACTATTTATTAATCAAATTAGTAAAAAATAATATTTATTTGTAGAATTTAATAGAAAATACTATTTATTAGTAAAATTTAGTAGAAATTACAATTTATTAGTAAAATTCAGTAGAAATTACTATTTATTAGTAAAATTTAGTCCAAATTACTATTTGTTAGTAAAACTTACTAGAAATTAGTATTCATTAGTAGAAATTACTATTTATTAGTAAAAATAACTATTTATTAGTTAAATGTAGTACAAATTACTATTTATTAGTAAAATTTAGTGCAAATTTATATTTGTTAGTAAAATTTACTAGAAATTAGTATTTATTAGTAGAAATAACTATTTATTAGTTAAATGTAGTACAAATTACTATTTATCAGTAAAATTCAGTAGAAATTATTTTTTTTTAGAAAAATTTAGTAAAAATTACTATTTATTAGTAAAATTCAGTAGAAATTACTATTTATTAGTAAAATTTACTAATCCAAAAGCGAAAAGTCAGTCACTAATTCAAAGGTTAGTAATCATCTTTACTAATTCTAATTTAGAGAGAATTTAAATTTATTTATTTTCTTCATTTATTCATTAGAGTTAATTAATTTTTTTTTCGCATAAATAGACAAGTGATTTTACATTAGGCGACTCGCAGGGTATTTAAAATAATAAAAAAATATTCTTTCATGGCTTCTGCGGTTTTTGCGCGTGTCAGTATTGGTCTAGGGCCAAAAATAATGTTTCTTCGAAGGCTTCTCTCCTAATCGACATACGAGGAGAAAGACAAAGAAGAATGCGGTGGAAAGAAAAACATTTTAGAAGGAAAACAAAACGAGGGAGAAAAGTTACATATCACGCTTAAAGTGAAAAGAAAAAGAAAATTTAAAATAAGCCCAACAAAAATAAACCACGATGAAATTGATTTATTACATAAATTACTTTTCTCTTTCTACACATTATGAAATTTAAATCATTCTAAAAGACTCTATTTTTCAAAAAATGAAAATAAACAAATTAAATAAGAAAAATAAGAAAAGAGAAAGAAAAAATAGAAAAAAAAATACAAAGAGAAAAGGAAAAGAAAAAAAAAGAAAAAAGAAATAAAAAATTAGAAGAGAAAATAAATAGAAACAAGAAAAGAAAGGGAAAGAGAAATAAAAAACTAAAAGGAGGATAGAAAGGAAAGAAAAAAGAAGAGAAAATACTAGAGAAAACGAATAGAAAAAGAAAAGAGAAAGACGGAGAAAAAATAAAGAGAGAAAAAAAAAGAAAAAAGGTGAAGAGGAAAGAAAAACAGAAATAGAAAAAAAAGAAGAAATAAAAACGGAAAAAGGAAAAGAGAAAAAAATGAGAAAGAAAGAGAAAGAATAAGAGGAGAAAAGAAAAAGAAAAAAAAGATGAGAAAGGAAAAAGAAAAAATAGAGTTAAAAAAATAGAAAAAGAAAAAGAAAGAAAATAAAAAACTGAAAAAATAAAAAAAAGTGTGAAAGAAGCAATAAAGTTGAAAAAAAATAATTTCACAAATAGTCAATTTAGGTTTGTTTGACTTTGAAGAAATGAAAATAAGCTCAGTGTTTAATCTTCCAAGCACACGATATAGACATATATAATTGCTCATTCGCATTTATATTTGCCGTTTGTATTTTTAAAATGCAGATTACATATTTCAAACACTCGTACAAAAAACATTCGAAAAAAACTATTATTAACTTTTATGCAAACTGTTTCTTTACTTCTTTTTTAGTCAGTTATTAAAAACATAAGTATTGCATATAATTATGGATGAATAATTTTCCTTCCACTGCGGTATTTAACTTTAAAAAAGTTTTAAGACAAAAATAAAAGTGATATAATCGACGATGACTAGTTTTCTATATTTAAAACAAAAAGTGATATACATTTTTTAAAAAAGAAAAATTGTCTCGCACATTATTTTTTCTTGCACTCTAATGCAGAAATAATTCCAGAAAAAAATTATTTAAAAAATAGTTTACGAAAGTAAACTATTTTAATTTTAAAAAATAATTTTTTTAGAGTTTGGTTACTTTACTAAGACTTTTTACAAACCAATTTCTTGAAACTGTAAAAAGTTATTATTTAAAATATGAATTAGGAGAGAAACTTTTTTTTTACTCAAAGTAATTTAAATGGATCGAGAAAATGTGTTTTTCTTATTGATGATAAAAATAGAAGACATTTTTATTCACGCCTGACTTAAAATTGACTGTTACTACTAATCGGATTTGTAAATCTAAATAAATTACCAGGTCTGATAAAGTACTTTCTTTAGCTGTTAGAAAATCGTGATACAATTTAATGGTATTCTTCTTGTCTGACTAAAAGTGACTTTCACTACTGACATTTAATTGATAAATTGTAATGAATAAAATATTTTTTGTAAACTAAAAAAGTGATACAATTCGATAGAATTTTTTTAGGACAGAGTAAAAATTGACTTTTACTGCTGAAAAATTTTCATAGTAAATTTTCTTACAGTAATAAAAAATAATTAAAAATAAGTAATTAAAAATAACTGACTAAAAATTACTTTTACTACTTAAATTTCATTAAAAAGTGTTTTCAAAGTCTGACCGTAATTGGTTTTTACTACTAGAATTGAATTGATAATTATTTCAAAAGTCTGATTGTAATTTGTTTTTACTGTAACTAGTTTTATTTACAGTAATTAAAAATATATAGTCTGACTAGAAATTACTTTTACTACTGAAATTTAATTAAAAAGTGTTTTCAAAGTCTGGCCTTAATTGGTTTTTACTACTGAAGTTAAATTGATAATTATTTCAAAAGTCCGACGCTAACTGGTTTTTACTACTGATGCTAAAGTTAATTACTGTAATTAAAAATAATAGGCTGACTAAAAATGACTTTTACTACTGAAATTAATTTAAAAAGTGTTTTTTAGGTCTGATTGTAACTGGAAATTACTACTAGGAGCAAAAATACTTATATACAAAATAGGAATTAATAGTCTGACTAAAAATGACTTCTACAACTAGAAAACAAAAATAAATTTCGAAGTCGGATTGCAGACTCCTACTAGTGCAAAATGAAGAAAAAATTTTGAAGTCTGACTGAAACTGACACCTACTACTACTAAATGAAAAAAATTTCAAAGTCTGACTAAAACTGACTTTTACTACTTTAACTTTTTTTAATACTAATTTTACTAATTTTTTTATTGTCTGAATAAAACCAAGCACTGCTACTTAGAGTAAAAATATAAATTGGAAAAATAAGAAATTAGTTAATATAAATTAAAAAAATTAAGAAATATGAAATATAAATTCAAAATAAGAATATGAAACATAAATTCAAAATAAATATATTTTTAAAAGAATAGAAATTAATAAATATTAAATTCGAAAAATAGAGTCAGTACGTATAAACTGTCAATTGATAATAAATCCATTATCGTCTAGTTCAAGGAACAAATATACAATCAAGGAATTATTCAATACCTATTGTATATGGATTACAGAGAAATCCTCAATGAAAATTATCCCGTTTTGATTTAAAAAAAAAGTGTCTCGATTATCGACCTTGCGAATTATAAATACCACTTGTTACGTAACAACATTTTTCGGTTTTCATAAATAATCCAGTTTTCGCAAGAAAAAAAAATAATAACGATTTATAATTGTGTTTCTGCACTACTGACAAGGTCACTGTCGCACATTACACATTTATTATTATTATATATATGTATGAAAAACTTGAAATGCTATGCCAGCGAATATTTTTCTGAACATTAGCCAACTATATCGTATTGCGAGAAATATAATACACTTCCATATGCACTTTGTCAATTCCTTCTAAATAACGTCAATCAGTTGTACCAAAAATCGATAATTATTCATTTCTTTTAGTAAAAGTTAAAAAATTTCGAAAAAAGAATTAATTAACGTTTACAAATTATCGAATGTTAATAAAGAAGTAAATATTAATAAATTAGTAAATATTCAAAAATAGGCAAATATTAAGAAATAAGTTAATAAATATTAAATTTATTTTTTCAAAATTGCAAAATTCGAAATAAATAAATATTAATAAAGAAGTGAATATTGATAAATAAATATTATTAAATAAATATTATTGAACAAATATTATTAAACAAATATTATTAAATAAATATTATTAAATAAATATCAATGAATAAGTAGTAATAATAAATCAAGTAAAATTCTTTAAAAAATTGGTTATCAATTTTGAAGATCAAGGACGAAATGTAAAAAAATCCACGAGTTCGAATTGAGAAAATTTTTCTAAAAAAATATTCTTCTCTACAACAGAATTGATTTTTGTGGGAAAATGAAATGAATAAATAATTTTTTTTATTAAATTAGTGGAGGAAAGTGTTTTGAGTGTAAAAACGATATAATGGTAAATGGATGTGAATCCGTCGACATGGAGGAGAATCGCGACGATATTGGTGATCGACAGGGGGATTTTTTGGCAAATAGATCTGAGGAAATTCCCCCCTCGCAACCCCCTGTGACAACCACAATCGGAACCATTGCACTGCAAAGTGGTGACACTCGTCTCGTTATTGCCCTTCTTCAAGTAAGAAACAAAAAAAAAATTTTTATATATATAGTAAATAAAAAATAATTATTTAATCAAACGAAATAAATAACAATTAATTTATATTATCAATACTTGTGTAATTAACAAATTATTAATAACAATTTTAATTGGTAATTTAATTTAATTTAATTTAATTTAATTTAATTGGTAATTCAAATTGTTAGCGTTATAATTAAAATTATTAATTGTTATAATTAAAATTATTAATTACTATTAATAACAGAAATTGTATTATTAATAGTAAAACAAAATTTTTTATTTTCAAATATAAATTTTTAAAATAATTTCATAATCAAAATTTAAAAAATTCACATATTAAGTACAAAATTAATTATTACTGTTCATATTTTCAAAAATTTTAATAAAATTTCACGAAAAAATTCAATTATTTTCTAAAATTTTAATAAATCCTTCTAAACAATTCAATTATTTTTTTAAATAGTAAAATCTTTACAAAAATTCAATGATTTTCAAAACAATTTTAATTTTAATTTAATAAATCCTTCGAAAAAATCCAATTATTTTAATAAATAGTAAAATTTTTCTCAAGAATTCAATTAATTTTATGAATAGTAAAATTCTTTGCAGGAATTCAATTATTTTCAAAACAATTTTAATTGAATTCCTAGGATGAATTCAAATATTTTAAAATATTTTCATAAGTTTCAATTATTTCCTAACATTTTAATAAATTCTTCGAAACAATTCAACTATTTTTATAAATACTAAAATTCTTTGCAGGAATTAAATTATTTTTAATCCAATTTAAATAAAATCACACGAAAGAATTTAAATATTTTCAAAAATTTCCATGAAATTCCATTTCAACAAGAATTTCAAATTCTCTAAAAAATGATTCAATTATTCTGAAAATATTTTTAAAAAAATTCTATATAAAAATTAAATTACTTTCAATACAATTTTTAAATATATTTGTGAAAAAAATTGAAAAAAATCAATTATTTTCGAAAAATAATAAAACTCTTGTGATGAATCCAATTATTTTGAATAATACTTAATTTTTACACAATTCTTTAAAGAAATTCAATTATTTTCGAAACAACTTTAATTGAATTTCTCCAAAAAATTTCATTATTATCAAATATTTCTATAAAATTATTCATAACAATTTAAATATTTTTTAAAATTTTAATAAATTCTTTCGAAACATTTAAATTATTTTTATAAATATTAAAATTCTTCGCAAGAATTCAATTGTTTTTAATTCAATTTTAATAAAATTCTTCTTCATAAAATTTAATTGCTTTCAAAATTTCCAATTAAAATTTTTATAGAAACTCCATTAGATTATAAAAAAATTCAAAGAAATTCTTTAAAAGAATTTAATTAGGACTTTTACAAATTTTAATAAAATTCTTTGCGGGAATTTAGTTATTTTCCTAAATAATAAAATTATAATTATTTACTCTTCTCAATGATATTATAATTAATTGATTAAAAAAATTAATTTTAACTATTTTATATTATATGTAATTTTTTTAACCTGACTTTTTTGTGTCACTATTATAGTTGATCTTTATGGATAAAATAGATTTATCATTATTTAATTAACATTGAGAATACACTCGTTCTTTACATATGTAGAAGAATGAAATCAGCTTCTGGGAAATTCAAAGAATATCTTCAGCTAATTAACATAAAGTTTTATTGGCTTATTAGCATAACATGGAAAAAATGCATTAAAGAGTTCTCTAAGATTAATGTACTCCCTATGACACTTTTTAAAAAGAAAAGAGTTCGTAAAGATTTAAAAGAAAAAAAAGAACAGGTTTTGAAAGTTTAGCCATACATTGAAGTCACATAGTGAGTTCAATGCCCGAAATCTATTGGGATATATCTAGGGATACACTTCTCATTATGAAAACCGCCTTCGTTCTTTCTTACGATTTAAAGATTAGAACATTTGATTTTTTTCCCGCGCCTCGAAAATCCAAAAATACATGAAAATTAATTTTTTTATCATTAACTAAAATCGTATCAAGTGACTGAATTTTTTTTATTGTTTATTTATTCTGTGAATAACTTGAGAGACTTTTAAATTTTTTTTAAAATTATTTATGTCAGTGGGACTTTTATTTTTAAAAAGAAGATACTTTGCGAAAAGGGGATTTTTCAAGTAAAACATAATTTTTATTGTTGTATACAGTCATGAATTATGAAAAAAATCCATGACAATAATTGCTCATGCTGCTTGAAAAATATTTTCTAAAAAATATATTCTTGAATTTTACTTAAAAAAAAAATTTTATATAATATTTTTTTAATTCAGAAAAGAAAAAACATTTTTTAAAGTACATTTTTCAAAAAAATAAATAAATTTTACGAAAAAAATTATTGTGAAAAAATGTAGGTACTAAAATTATATTTTCTATTTGAAAAAATATTTTGTAAAGTACGTTTTCTTTTTGGAAAAGTATATTAAAAATATATTTTCTTAGAAATTAAACTACATCGCTTATAAATATTAAAAATAAATTTTTCAAAACGAACATATATTTTTCGATATTTTCTCTAAATTTCTTTAATTATCAAATCCATAAAAATACCACGAAGCTTAAATGAACGAATCAGAACTTTTAAAATTCTTTTGATAATTATATTTTTCTTATAATAATATAGAAATTATAAATATTTCAAAATGTAGTTACTTACGAAAAAACTCGCCAGGAAAAATTTTGTTTAACTCACCTGAAACAAAAAGAAAAGAAAATACTTTATAATAAAATTATTATAAAAAAATGACAACAAATAATTTCTATTAAATAATTCTATTAAATTATTTTTGTATTAGAATTGAATAAATAGAAAATTATTTTTTTTATATACGAATTAAATTTCCCAACTGTGGAAATTGTATTCAAAAGGCACTGTAAATAATTAGCTTCAAGTAGAACAAATAGTTTTCGGTCAGACACAGAAATTGCAATATATTTTCTAAATATTTTTAAATAATTATAGGTGCTTCAATATTTTTTAAGATTCCTTTTTTCAAACGTTTCTGAATATTTTAAATATTCCTAAAAAATTTTTGAATACTCCCAAATATTTTTTAAAAACTCTTAAATATTTGTTAAAAATTGTTTATTTTATAAACTAGCAATAATTTGGGAACTAAAGCGCGCGGCTAACTTTTAGGATAAAATTAGAAATTTTAAAAATAATAGAATTTAAAAATTTGTAATTCAAATTTTTCTTGACAATACTAAAAAAATTCTATTTTTGAACAATTACAAATAATTGCAAAAATTCAATTCTTTTCAAGAGTAATAAAATTCTTCTCATAAAATTCAATTATCTTTAAAATTTAAAAAAAAATTCTCGTCAAAATCCCAATTATCTTTTTAAATAACAAAATTTTTCCCCAAAGTTCAATTATTTTCAAATCAATTTCAAATTCCCAAAAATAATACGCAAACATTTAATTATTCTCATATATAATAAAAATTTCTCAAGAATTCAATTATTTACAAATTTTTTATAAATTCCTTCGCCATAATTCAATTACTTTTATAAATAATAAAATTTTTGTTAAGGAATTCCAATTATTTTCATAAAAAATAATTAAAAATTGTAGAAAATAATAATTAATTTGAAATCATGAAAATAATTTTGAAAAAGTTAAATTTTAAATTTGTTACTGTAATAATATTCTTATAATATAAAACAATGATTTTATTACTAAACTTGGTCATCTTTAATTATTATAAAACATTAAGAAATCGATCACTCCGAGTCTTCGATTCGAAGCGATCGCTATCTTCATGTTTTATAAAAATTTTCTTGTAAGTTATTGAATTTAAAAAGATTTGAATTTGAAATTTTTAATTCCTATGATAAAAAATAATATTGATTAAATATTTATTTAAAAAAAAAGTTATTGATGTTTTCGAATAATTTTACAATTAAAGAAATTCGTAAATAAAAGTAACAGAACATTTTTTTGAGTAAAATTTTTTTCCTTCATTTTCCAAAAATTTAAAAAGTTTTAATTTTCTAATTTGGTTTCATATCTATTTTTTAAATTGAATAATTAAATAGAAAATTTTTTTTTAAATTAAAAAAAAATAAATCTTTGAAAACAACGTTTACAAAGTTTTATTGAAAAAAATACTGTAAAATAATTAGCTTCAAGTAGAACAAGTAGTTTTCGGTCAGACACTTTATTTTCAATATTATTTAATTATTTATTTATTACAAGTTTTATATATTTTGTAAATATTTTTTAAACACACTTCAATTTTTTCCAAACATTTCTTTTTTAAACATTCCTAAATGTTTCTTAATTATTTAAAAACAATTTTTTTTAATTCTGACAAATTATTTTTCAATGTTCTCATAAATATTTTAGTTCAATAATTTTTTATTTCAAAAACTTCCATTTTCAATTTGCAAATGTTTTTTAAACTGAACTACTTTTTAATTTTTTTTTACTTCCAATTAGAACTTAAGTCTCTTTTCAAATTGAATATTAAGATAGAAACTGTCGTTTAAAACAGATAAAAAAACGATTCTTGAAACTTTATTTAAAAAAATTTGTGAAAATAAATTAAAATTATTGTGTAATTTAAAAATTTGTGAAATAATAATAAAAAATATATGTAAGTGAGAGAAAATAAAAATATTTTTTGACTTCATGGATTGTTACCAAAATGAAGCCCTAATAAGTTTGTACTTTTCCTTCTCCGACATGTCATGAGAATAAATTGACTACCACGCGTGCAAGGTAGGATTTATTTTCTGCAGAATTTCGTAGAATCATAGTATAGTGCTACTAACTGTATAACTGAAGAGCATATATTCAGAAATAGCTTTCAACTCATATAGAAGGCAACGCCCCAAAAACCATTTAACTTTCATGTTGTCGTTCATGTCAATCACGTAGTCTTTTTATGACTCTAAATTTATAAAATTGTTTTTCACTCACATATATATACGATATATATTATACAAGCGCA